CTTTCTTTTTTTTTATTATTTACAGTGTCTTTTGAATTTTTTTAATTTTCTTTTCCTTACGTTTCTGTTTATTTCCTCCCTTTTTTTTATAGAAGTTGTTTTTTTCTTTTCTTATGCAAATATGTATAGTAGATTGATATGTAAGGTAAACACAATTCTGTGAATTTTTATAAGCTCTGTAAATCAAAAATTGGATGAGAAAGGAAAGGAAACAATAAAAAAAAGTTTCTTATCTTTTAGATGGAGTTTCAGCCTTCAGCCTTCAGTGTTGGGAGTTGTAGTTCCAGCATGCATCTAACCATCAGCTGTTCCAAGGTTATGTAAGCGGGTAATCTTATTGCTGACTTGTAGAGTTGTTGGCTGCAAATGATTTCGGAAAATATGTATATTGTTTTCAGAAGGGTGCAAATAAAGCACCAAAACCTTAGAGCAGTATTTTCAGGATAAAGGGATAACAATATTACACGCTGTTCCAGCACGCTGTTCCAGCACTCAGACCGGAAAAGCTCCGGTTTTACCCCAAATCTGCAAGTTGCTTCGATAATTTAGTGATTCAGCTTAGATTCAGTTTGGGATATAAATCCATTTGGAAGAGACTTTAGAAGAGGCTTGGTAGATCCAGGAAGCATCCAACGGCTTATCGGTCTATCGGTGCATTAGCATGTCGGCGTCTCACAGCGTCTCACAGCCCTTACAGCTCTCACAGCCCTCAGACCGCCATCACAATCCCCTCCTCTCGACGCACAGCTACGTCCTGCGTCCGCCCCACGTCCACATCACGCCCCCCCCTGTACAATCTGTATATAGTTTTTCCTAATAGTATACAACATCTATGTTTAAAGGCTTTAGCACTATACATGTATGCCGTAACCTGTCGATCATATGTTAGGACCTGCGATCTCTATTTAGTGAATCGCCTATTATCCTTTTAGTTTATCATACTAGACACTATACAACCCGCTATAACTCCTACTTAGTGCTTTTTATCATAGCACGCTATTTAGATGTTCTTTTTTTAGAGCCGCCACTGTTATAGCCCTTCAGGTTGTTAACAGTTTTTCGGCTCGGGTTCCATTATATAGTATCTACTTGCATATCTCCAACAGTATACAGCATTCATACGCTTACAGACTCTACGGACGCATAGATAGGACAGCGCTATTTAAGACATTAGAGTCTATTATATCTTTCCATCACACCTTGTTGATATATTCATCGAACTCTATATCATATTACAGATACAAGGAAACCAGTACTGTATCTTTTTGTTTTTATTGATACATATATTCTAAGTATATTAGTACTGTATCTTTTTTCTTTTGTTTTTCATTAATTTTTTCACTTTATGTATATATTTTTTTCATTCTTTTTTTACTTTGTGTATTTTTTTGACTTAGCACTTTTGGGTTTATATGAGTTTATGATATCATTTGACATACAATAAATTCTTTTTTGTTTTCTGACCATTTGGTCTTTTTACTCATGCTTTTTAACTTCATATATATTATGTTTATTATGTAGTATAGGCACATCCTGTCTTCTCCCAGTTTTAGGAACACCATTCTCATGTTTATTGCTCATTTTCATTAGGGGTTAACCCCCTGTGCTCAGTGTTCCGAATTTGGCTGTATCCAATTAGTTTCAATGTTTGAATTTGGTAGAAACTCATTACAAAGTCGTGAACAGATGGTATATGGGCCCGAAAAAGCTAGCTCAAATATACTCCGATACGTCCGCGCAATGCTGGAGATGTGGCAGGGAGGAAGGGTCATACCTCCACATTTGGTGGAGTTGTCCAGATATTCAAAAGGCAGTAGAATTACTATTTAATTATATAACAGAGAGGGCGGAGATAGTCCTAGATAAAAAAAAACGGAAGTTGCGCTATTGCATATGCACTGGTCAAAAGTCTCATTTAAGAAAGAGTGTTTATAACGCATTGTTTTGTTGCCTATAAAATAGTAATCGCAAGAAACTGGAAAAATAATCAAAGATTAGTATGGGATTTAATTAAAGAACAAATAATGATTCAGATTCAAATGGAAAGAGATATAAGTATTCCCTTCTTGAACAATCCGAAAAGATATGAGCTGTGGCAGCAATGGGTAAATGAAATATAACAGGTTAACTATAAGACTCCATCTCCTTAGGGAGAGTATAAACTCCTTATCCCTCCCCTCAGTGTCTGCAGACAGTTGTTAATTGTAGATTTGTATAAATACTGAAGATAACTACATTTGATGAATTATATGTTTGTATTGTTTGTGTTTTATATTGTCTTTGTGAATATGTGTGTAAAAACGAATAAAAACTTAATATTAAAATAAAATTAAATAAATGTAAAAAAAATTAAGGTGGAAAAAAAGAGTTACAGTAACTTTTTCAAGTGTCCTTCTTTATCCACTTGAAAAGTTGTAAAGTAAGATATAAACCTATAGAGTTTATCGATCTCGACATAAATAATCGACATTTCTACTTTTTTGGGGGGAAGACATGAGAAAATGAGAAGAAATCTACACACACTCTCTCTCCCTTTTTTGTTATTATAAAACAATTTACACTTATAAGTAAAACAACTAACAATTTAATGCTACATTAATGACTACGAAAGTTTCCATTGAAAGTTTGTCCAGCCCTGCTTGTTTGGCTGAACGTTCTTTCCGTAGAATGAAGTGGGTGACTCTTTGAACATACAGCTTCGATTAACCCGGAACTAGGTTATTGTCCAAGGGTTTTCCTTCCGGATTGGGAGTGCGCACGGCACAGTAGCGTGATTCTGTATATAAACTAAGCGCGGGTACAGTGCTGTGAAACGCTGCAGTCCCGGTATATTTTTGCTCCTTAGTATAAATTCTACACTGTCCATCAACAAATCAGTATCAGTCTGCCAACTCAGGAAGCTTTGTGCGTTTAAGTTAAACCCACGTGTATTCATCCACTGGCATCATGACCAATAAACGAAAACGGCAAGAAGATTTTCAGAAAGTAAAATTAAAAGTTGGAAAGAAAAAGCCGAGAGCCAGCAATGCCACCAACACCAATTTTACTTCTAGAGCCATTCACCTGAGTGAGCAACTGAAAGAAGACAGTGCACTTCCTACCACTAAGAAAAAGCTCAGCATCACGGTAAGACGATACCATGTGTAACGTGTCTGACAGTTTATTTAAAGGATGGTTTCCTATTCTCATAACACGTTAAAAAAAAAAAAGTAAACTAATCAGTTTACTCACTTTCCTTGTTAAGTGACCTTCAATCAGTGAGTACAGCCTTTGATTGGTTCTTTTTCTCCTAGCAGAAGAAAAAGCTTAGCTCAAGATGTGTGTGTAGATTAATGTACGTGTTTTTTTTTTTTTTTGTTTGTTTTTTTACACATTCTTTATTTTGGTCTTCACACAATTACAGACTGAATTAGAACTTTAAATTTCATGAGGACATTTAACATCTTTGGTTTGTCTTACTTTGGTAGATGGAGATAAACCTCAGTTGAGTGCTATAGAGTGACTACTGGCACATACCTAAAAACTGCACAATCAGGTAGTAGTGAGACATAATAATAAAATTGAACTAAAAATGCAAATACACTGGGAGTGTATGGTACGAGTGGTAGTGTGTAACTGCGCATTCTTTGTCATGTGGTATTGATTAGCTAGTTGTCCATCCTCATTCAGTTGGCCGTAGGAGGAGGGTGACTTTTCCCCTTGGAGGGTCTGTAGGTTCCAAGACAGCCTCTGTGCATTACTTTGCACCATAAGTGGAGCAATGTGCACCTGGCCCACCAGGGAGCTGGATAAGGGTGAGGTGAAGATGGTCTGTGAGGCTAAAGTACTAGCCAGGGAGCACCCAGAGAAGAACATTTTATTAAATAAAACTAAGGAACAACAAAAAACTAAAGCAAACAGAAGACATTAAGTGGCATAGAAGGCCTGTCACAGTGGGCTGAGATCAGGACCCCCGGGGCACAAATGGGGTGACAGTCGTCGAATCCCAGGTGTGGGTTTCAGGTGCAGGCCTTGAAGGGCGTAGAGAGTCCGGTGGGAGATCCAGCGTTCCTAGAAGTGTCTTTGCCACCTGCAGGTTTTTTGATGGGGTAAAAGGCTTCTCCATGTTATACCATCAATGTGTGAAACATGTGCCACCGGCATGTTATGTGCGCAGGACGGAGGTAAATGGTTGGAGGGATCTCCACCAAGCCATGGTGCCACCTGAGAGAGCTGCATAGAAGGTTAATGCCCCTTGTCTTGCCAAGTCCTTTCGCTGGTTTGGGTATCCGGAACATTCCATCAAGGTTTACTGATTTCACCCGTTTTAGGGGGCAGCGTAGCACCCAACAGGCGGTGCAAGAAATGTGGCAACACCGCCTCTCAGATTGTCTGGTATGCCGCGGATCTTGAGATTCTTGCTGCGGTGTGTGTGTCCTCCAGTGCCGCAAATCGTTGCTCAAAGGCTTGGTTCTGCTATTGTAGAGACTGCACCTCTTGTTGCAGGTGTACCACCTGTTGCATATTGCTCCTTGATTCTTGCAATAGGACTCACATGCGGCCGTCAGGCACCGGATATCTTTCCGGATGTCAGCCACATCGGCCTGGATTTTCGCCTGAGGTCCACCAGCAATTCCTGCATGACTGTCTTTGTAACCGGGGATGGGTCTGACTGATGCAGTGTCGGCACAGTCACCAGCGGGGCAGGTAAGTATGTTTCTTGTGTACCCAGCGTGGGATCATCAGATATGTCTGATTCTTCGAGGTAAGCGCCTATCTTTTGATCAAGGCCACTGCGTGCCTGCCTCCAGAGGTCACCGATGCTTTTGCCCGGTTTAGGCGGTTCTGGCGTTTTTTTTTTTTTTTTGGTTTTTTTTGGTTTGTTTTTTTCTGCCCGTCTTGATGCAGCCACTAGGGACAGCTAAGTGTCACCCAAAATTGTTGGGTAAAAGTCACAAAATAAGGGTAAAGTAGCTGATTTTCATGGAGCTCATTGAGGTTGTGACTGTTCAGAGTAGCTGACTGGCTCCGCCCCCGTGCTGTAGTTGTTATGGTGTATTTAGAGCCCTTTAAAGTAGCTCTGTCTCCTTTTGTGGTCTTTACTAGGGATCGACCGATATTGATTTTTCAGAGCCGATACCGATACCGATATTCTGTGAACTTTCAGGCCGATAGCCGATATAATTTGCCGATATTCTGTACATTTACCATTTTGGAAAATAAAAACTATTTCTAAAGGTAAATGCACAAAATATACATGCCACGTGTAGTGGATGCAGTGTGACAGGGGAACTGTGTGTGTTTGTGTAGTGGATGCAGTGTGTGTTTGTGTAGTGTGTGTGTTATGGATGCATGTGTGTTTGTGTAGTGTGTGTGGAGGATGCAATGTGTGTTTGTGTAGTGGATGCAGTGTGTATTTGTCTAGCGTGTGTAGTGGATGCAGTGTGTATTAGTGTAGTGTGTATATAATGAAAGCAGAGTGTTTGTGTAGTGTGTGGGTAGTGTGCGTAAAGTGAATGCTGTATATACTAAATGCAAAGTGTGTGTGTATATAATGAATGCAGAGTGTGTGTGTGTATTTGTGTAGTGTGTGTATAGTGAATGTAGTGTGTTTATATAATGCAGAGTGTGTGTTTGTATAGTGTGTGTATATAATGCAGTGTGTGTTTGTGCACACACACACAAACACACTGCATTATATACACACACACACACACACTGCATTATATACACACACTACACAAACACTGCATTATATAAACACACTACACAAACACACACACTGCATTATATACACACTGCACAAACACACTACATAAACACACACCGAATTATATAAACACACTACACAAACACACTGCATTATATACCCACACTACACAAACACACACTGCATTATATACCCACACTACACAAACACACACTGCATTATATACCCACACTACACAAACACACACTGCATTATATACCCACACTACACAAACACACACTGCATTATATACCCACACTACACAAACACACACTGCATTATATACCCACACTACACAAACACACACTGCATTATATACCCACACTACACAAACACACACTGCATTATATACCCACACTACACAAACACACACTGCATTATATACCCACACTACACAAACACACACTGCATTATATACACAGTGTGTTTGTGTAGTGTATGTGTATATAATGCAGTGTGTGAGGGGGCATTTTTTATTAAATTATTAAAAAAAAATTATATTTACTTTATTTATTTTTGTTGTCCCCCCTCCCTGCTTGTTACCTGGCCAGGGAGGGGGGATATAGCAGTCCCTGGTGGTCCAGTGGTATTGGCTGAGCTTTAGGGGGGCGGAGACCAAGCGCTTACTCACCTCCCCGCAGCTCCTCCAGCTCCCCAGTGCAACTCTCGCAGCCAGCGTGTCGCGCGGAGCGTTGCCATGGTGATCCATGGCAACGCTCTGACGGCCGCGGGTCTCGCGAGAGTTGCACTGGGGAGCTGGAGGAGCTGCTGGGAGGTGAGTAAGCGCTTGCTGCCCGTCCCCCCAGGACCGCCGGGCTTGTAATGAGCCTGGCGGTCCTAGGAGGTATTATCGGCAATATCGGTATCTGAATTGGCCGATACCGATATTGCCGAGAATACCGAATATCGTCCGATTATATCGGTAAAACCGATAATCGGTCGATCCCTAGTCTTTACATTTGGTGTATCGCTTGGAGTGCGATGGCGTAGGTTACAGCAGAGATGCTGACACCGCAATTTCCGCCATCTTCGATCTTCAGCTCCTGTCATGTCATCCTCCAGGAGCCCCATGTCGGTGCTGTACTCTTGAACATGTGCAAGAGTACAGTACTGATGTCTATGGAGGATCCCACAGGAGCTTCCATAGAAATTATCTGGAAATGCGCAAGGCAATGTCTTATTCTAATAGCCCCCACTAGCATCAACTGTGGGAGGTAACACAATTTGTCAAGTTTTTTCAACTTAAATATTTATCATAAGACAAAGTAGTCCCTGGTGTCTCATTCTACAGGCAGAAAAAGCAGGTAAATATGAGTTTTCTTTCCACATATTTGCCTGCTTCTTCTTTTCTGCGTTTGCCAAGCCTACCACAGGAGGAAACTGAACTAACTAATCAGTGTTTTATCTCTAGGGATCATGGGGAAATCACAAATGCAATTAAAAATCTTGCAACAAGGACATGCGCTTACCATAACCATCACCTAGGCAACCAACTAAAACATTCTGGGTTGCAATGAAAGTGCCCAGCTGCTGGGAACATGTGAAGCTGAAATGGGAGGTTTAGTTTGTGTGCAACACTGAGGAAGGGGTAAACTGCAGACACTCCCTCAGCTGATAGGCGTGCGCAACAGTGCTAGCTGAGGGAGTTTATAGTGAAGTTTTATAAAAGTTTATGCAGAAAGATAAGTCCTGTGCTCACTCCCATCACTACTGGGCAGCAGCAAAGACTACAGTACACATCAGCCCCAATATATGGTAAAAACCAAAGGAAAACAAGTTACCTGTGCTCTCTCCTTAATCTCTATGTATTTTTAAACAAATGGAGGTTTTAGTTACTTCCAACAACCATGAGAGGATAAGCCCACCTGCCAACGTCAAGGCACTCTACTGTCAGGTGACGTCGAAAGGGACGGAGCACCGACACAGTTACTTTTTCCCCCAAAAAAGGGAGGGGGTGACAGAGTGACTGAGGGAGGGGGGTGTAACGGCCACCCGTGAGTGGAGGGTGTAACGGTCACCTGGCACCCCGACTGGGTACTCCGCCAAAAGACTACTTCCTAGCTGGAACAGGGGACAAACCACAGCCTCTTGCCCGCCTCTTGCCCTCAGTCGCCGTAGCTTGACTGGGTACCTGTCACCTCCTTCCTGGCGCTGAAGGGAAAATTAGCTCTGACACCTCCAGGCACTGGATGACACTCAGTCCTGGAAACTCTGGAACCCAATGGGGAATTAGCTCTAGTCCTTACAAGGACTTTCCCAGTTGAATCTCCTGTAAGCTGGAACTGCAGTCACAGGAGCAAATCTTCTTTCCCTCCAATAACTGGACGACACCGTTTTGGAGTGTAAGCAGGAATCTCAAGTTTAATGGGACACACTGGCCTTTTATACAATTTTCCAGGCCAGAGGAACACCCCCTGGCCTGATGGTACACAGGAACACAAAGGACATAAACCAATCGGAACAAACATACAGTCTGTGACATGCCCATGTACAGCATACAATCCCTTCCCTCTGCTTAGGAGATAATTGAGTAAAGTCCTGTAAGTAACAATTATCTCCAGGCAGAAAAAACACATTTTCACAAAGTTCAGAAAGTACCCCAAAATCCAACATAGTTGGATCAAGTTCAGCCTTCCTCACATTTGTTCTTTTTGCTGTTGATCCAAAAGAAGGCAAAAAACCCAGTTTGAAGCACTTCCAATTTTGCAACAAGCTAGGAAAAAAATTCCTTCTTGACCCCAGAATGGCAGTCAGTTTTATCCTTGGATCAAGCAGTTATTACCCTATAACATCTCCCCATGGGCATGCCGCGGCCGGCACTGTCACTACGTGTCACCAGGGGTTGTTTTCTGGCCAGCTCGTTACCATAGCAGCGTTCCTACTCAGAAGGTGGCAGTCTAACTTTCGTCATAAGTACGGGCTCACCTACGCACTACCAGCCTCATCAGTCAGGCATGCAGGTCATAGACTAGCACGGTGCCACGCTCACCACTCCGAGCCACCACGAGGTCACGTTACAGTGGTTTATAGTTTATAATAACCTTGACAGTGGCACAACGCTCCAACACGGGGATATACAATTATGTTTGAATGGTTAATTATATTATATAGTGCATTAATTATTGGGCATATTCATATTGAAGTAAGCTACAACATTACTTTTGATAATTGTAGAGAGTTGTTCCGCTGCGCCATGTTGTGTTGCTGCTTATGCCGATATTTTTGTCATATTTTGTCATACATGTCTACTTTCATGGTTATAGACCTAGTTACAAAGCAAGAAGTGTTCTGTTTTTAACTGGTACGGGTATTTTGTATCAGGGACAAGTTCTCAAGTCAAGCACTTTCACTATACTACCATAACTTATTCTGACATATGTTACAGACTCAACATGCCAAGCTTAGACATGGAAACATGGAATGTGACGGCAGATGAGAACCATTTGGCCCAACTAGTCTGCCCAATTTTCTAAATACTTTCATTAGTCCCTGGCCTTATCTTATAGTTAGGATAGCCTTATGACTATCCCGTGCATGCTTAAACTACGTTACTGTGTTAATCTCTACCACTTCAGCTGGAAAGCTATTCCATGCATCCTCTACCCTAGACAGACTTGGCTCATCAGATCCTACAGTATATGTGACATTCCTGAACAATTCTTACGTCTTACAAGGTATTGGTAGGTGACCGTAGCGTATGCAAATAATACGATCGTGGAGGATTTTCAGCTGCGGCATGTCACTACTAACTCGTAAGTACCCAATGCCTTCCATTATGTCATCCATAATCTGGTTTAGGCCTTACCCTTAGCAGAATCTGACTACTGCAGAACACAGAGCATACATTGTTCATACAGGTACGTTGCTCCCTGTTCCTTTTACACTGATTTAATATAAGTTATCATTCCATAGAGGCGAGTTGGTATGACCACCTAGGTATTTCTCCCAGGCACCTCATGCCTTAGAGATAGAGGTCCTGCGAGGCCAACACCCATCCTCCACGAAAGAGGTAACAACGCCCCACGGGCCAAATTCATAGCTAGACGCCTTGCATGTTGCATAGCAAGGGAATCACTCGTTACACCCCTTCCGCAGATCAAAGACTCATCCCTTGTAAGCCAACATCCAGCAGATCAACCCCTCGCGCCAACCATAGTTAGAGCCGACCCAGCCGCTTGGCAACCAGTAGGGACTCACCAGTCACCAGTCTAACGAATTGTTTCGCCACTTTGGCACTAGTTAAAACATCTGTATACACCCTCAAGAGGAACTCATGATTCCTACATATACATTTCAGTATGTCCCAAGTTCCAGAAGAAGGAGATGACCTTTCTATTTCAAGTACGCCAACTAGGACTGCCGTCCCTATATGAATAGGGGACACCGGCAGTCCATCTTCCATTAGATCATGGTCTATCACACGAATCATGGCCAAATTACGCAGGGCAGCACACTCTTGACAACTACTGCCCGCAAAGAACTATTCAGGCAAAACGAACCAATAGTAACACATCAGACACGGGGGAAGGCACAAGCAATGACACCTGCATACCAGGTTTGCTTCTGGAGTAACGTCCATGGGACAGATGAACAATAGACTAGAAACACGGTAAGCCCGTAGCTGTCCAGTCGCGAAAAAAAAAAAAAACACTCGCAACTGATATTCCGGCCTCTTCCCATTCACAACCCGGTAATTCTAATATGCCCATTATCTTAGGGCCCTTAAGTCATTACTCCGTCCATATGGGCCGGCAAACCTCATGAAAGACACCCTGGAGGGCAAGGACATTGATCTCGTCTCACTTCTCATTGCCTCACAGGATGTCACAGCATACAGCTCATGCCCCTTAGGTGATATCTCAGTGGTCCTTAAGGCCAGAGACACTAGACTGGAAATTATTCATCAGTATAGTCATAACCTTCTTGGTCTTGTGGCAGTACAGACATTACTGCATTCCACAGGTCTCAGCCTATATGCCTGGCAATTGTGTCCTGTACGTATACCCTCAGGTTATTGGACTCAGCAGGTATATAGTATATTTAGTTATGGCATTTCAGCACCTCTATCATGTTCCCCGTGTCGACCCTACAACGCTCATATGTTACGCTGAAAGTTGCTGTACGATGTCAGTATGATCATAGTTCAATTATGGCTACGCTGTCATAACGAGTAACTTTTTAGCTGATCTATAACCGAAAAAAACTACTAACCTTACCCCATTAAATTCCACTCAGACTTACCCTCCCAATACCACAGGAACTACATTGGGCCTTTTTTAACCTCTTATGCATAGTCCTCACTCAAAGCCATCTATGGACCTTGGCAACATACTTCAGGTAACCTTAGTGGACAACTACGTCTTATTTGCAACCCCTCATTGGGGCACTAAGTTCACATACCATCTGGCTGGAATGTATAAGTAAAGTTCAGCTATCTTACAACGTTCTACCTGTAAGCAACATCTTATAGTATTATACATCTGCTATATCTTGCACGGTCCGCATAAGGCTACACAGTAGCTCTCCTCACGACCCTACCTACACGGCCTACTCCTGGCCAAAAGTACAGAATGTAATAATTCCGTCATAACTGACGTTCTCCTTGCCTCTCTTATTTTACTACTTCAGTCTAACATATTGTCAATTTACGACGCGGGCAACATGCCACATACATTATGATTTGTACTGAATTATCATGTGGGGCATTTAAGTTTCCCTGGGTCGACCTTACTATTCAGCTGCCATCGTGCTTACATAGCCATTCCATACTGGACTATTCCCACGTCACTGCCGCATATTAGACCAGCTCATACACATAATATGTATACCGTCCTTCCCTGGCTATGTGACTGCTCGGCAACCAGGGTACGAGTTACCACATTAGCCAGGCAAGTTCCATGCCTATTGTACGGCCTTACCCAACACCCAGGCTTTTAAGTAATTACAGCTTACAGGGTCAACCATTACCTTATCATACCACAGCCAACTTTTATTCACAACCACACTCTTTACACGTTACAAACGTCCCACCAAAGGGCTATCCACTTTAGCATAATATAGGCCCCCCCATGTGGGCTATTACATACAGCATGGAAATTACAATTTGACATAAGTTTGCACTTATTCACAACCTACCACAGCATGCCTCTACACGTGGCCCTCAATAGGCCATAACTCTCAAGTTACAGACGACCCACTGCGGGCAATCCACCACGACTCAATTCGGCCCCACAGTTGAGCAGTTACAACTAGAAATGTCCCACATACTTCATACACTCTTCTTAGGTTCTTCTAGCAGAAAGATGCCCAGTGGGAGCTCACCTAGGCTAAATATATTTAGGTCTCTCTTCCTTATACATATATATGTCTTTAACTAGGTTCATCCACATATGTAGTTGCCCCGATGCAACGGCTTACACAGAGCTTGCTGTAACCTCAGGGGACAGTTGGCTATGAAGTAGGTGGCAGACGAAGTAAGCCAGATCGAAAGGTTCCATAAGAACTCTGCACGCTTCAAGGTATATTCCATCATAGCCGCAGCAGCAACATGGGGTCATTCATGGGCAAGCAGACCGGTTCAAGGTCTCTGACAATTTGTCAATGGGCCACAAAATAAACCAGTCCGGTCTGGTATCCCTTATTATGAATTCATCAGACGAATAACGGAGGGGAAGCCTGTCACCAATTTTTATCTGGTATGTTACCACGTACCAGGCACTTACAATACAGCTGCTGACCAGTTATCTAGTGTTTAGTTTCAGGCGTTCAGGAGGTCAATAACAACTGCCTCACCTATGGCCACGATCGCTCCCCAACTCGAATAATTACCTATGGAATAGTAAAGTGGCTAAGTCTCAGCAGGAATTTACACAGTTGGCCCTCAAAGAATACGCACACTGCATGACAGAGCTTACGGCATATATCAAAGGTCATGTCAGACCACCACCTTACAAACTGATTCAAGAATACAACGTTGGGGGGCTTTCGCCATTTTTTGCCACATCAAACAAATGTCACACAACACCATTAAGTTATATCTCCCGGACATTCAACACCACATGTTTTCATTTCCGTTCCAGTACCAACACTTTACTTAGTCTACCTCAATACAAAAAGAAAACGGCCCGATCCTCCTTCTCTTACAGAGCACCGCAGTTGTGGAACGACCTCCCGCACAATTTAAAATCATCCCTAAGCCTAAAGTCCTTTAAGAGATCACTCTCTACATACATCAAAACAGAATGCACCTGTCATGGTTGATTATATATTTCCTACCTGTTCTATGTTAAATTTTGTATTTATTGTGTATTAATATTGTTTTTGTATTTTATTGTACCCTAATGTAACAATGCAATTATTTGTGGACCCAGGACATACTTGAAAACATGTATCTTTCCTGGTAAAATATTTTATAAATAAATAATTTACAAACACCATGCTCAAACCACCATATACTTGGTGTGACAAAGTGCCCTTCGCCACTTGTGCCTGGAGAGGACTGCTTGCCCGCCTCTTGCCCTGTGACTATGGATCCTGGGAGATTTGGCCCGTTCAATTCAGTATGATAGGAGTTATGTATTTTTGTATCCTTTTGTGTTTTACTGGGAACATGTGCTCAATGGAGTCTGCTTCTATCCCTGGATAATTGGATTACTTTCCCCATTGTCTCCAGGCTAGAGGGCTCTGTAAAACCAGTTTGGGCCAGATAGCCATGCTGCCAGCCAGGCCCCAAAAGATACTTTACTAACTTATGAACCCCTGGTCTGATTCATGCCATTTTTTTGATACGTTGTTTCCCTGAATGGATTGATTGTGAATATATAATTTTTATATGAATGTGATGTATATTTTAGAAGTTATGAATGCTGTAAAAACTGTATTTCTGGCCAGCAGATAATTGAGCTTTGTGTATTGTAGAAACTCAATTATCTAGCCTGGCCCAGAAGAGGAGTTTTGTGTTGCATAAATTGTGAGTTCTGTGTGCCAGTAAATCAGTCTTGTTCCAGCATTAAGCCTTGGCTCATGTTTGGGGGATTGGAGAAATACACTCTGGGGATTGCTATAATCACTATACTCCCCAGGGTATGATCACTAAGTTCTGCTAAGAGCTTGTTCCTGTTCCTGCCCTCTGGGGAAAGAGAGGTTCACCCACTGGAAGCTGTATCCTGGCCTTGGGTCCAGGGTGGGTGGAGACAGCAGAGACCCCGGCGCAGTTGCATCGCTGGAAGTGGGGTCTGCAGTTCTGATGGTGTCGATTGGACACCGGTAACGTGTGGAGTTACGGATTTATAATTTAGGGCGTGTGTGTGTGTGTGTGTGTGTGTGTGTATATATATATATATATATATATATATATATATTATATATTTCATACTATACTGAAATATCCCCTACCACAAATCTAAATAAATATGTATGTGTGTGTGTGTGTGTGTGTGTGTGTGTGTATATCTATTTCATACTATACTGAAATATCCCCGACCACAAATCTAAATAAATATATGTGTGTGTGTGTGTGTATATATGTGAGTATGTGTGTGTGTGTGTATATATATATATATATGTGTGTGTGTGTGTGTGTATATGTATATGTAGGGGACTTACTCCTTCCACAAATTCAGGCCTAATGGCCTTTCTTCTTGTGCTCGGAATTTAATACGTAATGGATAGTATCTGTAAGGACAAAGTTGGCTGTGGTGTGCCGAAACCAACGTACGAGTGGGCCTGTAAATAAGAGGGCAAAAGAGAAGTTCGAGAAAATACACACTTTATTGCCTTTTTACATAACCAAGTTCCTGAAAGCTTGACGAAGCTCTTTTTCTGGTCGTGGAATATAAGTATGGTATATGGAGGATTTCCATCACTCCAGTCTCTTGATGATGTGGACCGGTGTATTAGTGCTGGAGGCTGAAGAGGCGGCTCCCACGTGAAAGGAGTGCCCGGAGAATGAAGTCGGATTTAAACCCAGTTTAGATAAGTGTTCTGACGTGAGACGTGAATTTAGCAATGTTAAGTGGGTGCCCTTGTATTGATAAGAGCGGAGAGTCTCGTAAGTGCGCGTGAAGGGTTGACCGTAGGTGGTCTAGCGCCTTGACCGGACACCAGGCATTATCAGTAGGGAAGAGCGGAATTACAGTGGGGTGTAGTGAATGTTTGGTTTTAGTTGACTGGATCGAAAGTAGATAGTGATCCTCCACCTTTGTGAGGTGCGATGTTTTTAGGCTGTGCGTGAAATCCCCTTGACAAACAACGGTGAACTCTCTAGGTCTGAGAAAACCGTAGAAAGCAAGATAGCTGCTTTGATCACCAGGTTTGTGTCGGGATCTAATGGGGATTCATCAAGGAGATTGCTAAGTGATCTGTAGATAGGCCCATCTATAGGTAGTCTTGTGATAGTGAGAGGAGCTGAAACCTTTAACATACCTTTCAATACCTTTTTAATGGGATATGATGACAAGAAGGGGGTGTTAGGAAAATTTGTGAGGCTATGGTGCTGCACCCCGGTGAGAGAAAGTTTTATGGTGTTGTGGGAAAGTTTAAGATGTAAGTGGCAGAGGCAAAAGCCACCATGGTTTGTATAGAAAGGTCGCCTTGTAAACCGAATTCTGCAGTGAATTTGTTAAATATGGTAAGTGCCCTATTATAAGAGATAGCTGTTAGGTGATAGTGCTTGGTGAGTGAGAGTCCTAGCGTGATGCATTAGTGTGCTCAGTCCAGGATTAGTTCGTGAAACTGTGGTGTCCTGGATGGCTGGTGGTGAGCCGAAGGGAGTGCCTTAGAGAATACCTTGAATTGAGAGCGAGAAAGAGCATCAGCTGCAGTGTTGTGGATACCCAGAATGTGAAAAAAAAATAAGTGAAACTGACCGGTTGCTGCTAGCCAGGTCAGCTTGCGAATCAGCTGCATGATGGTCAGGGATGATGAGCGCCCCTTGTTAATGATTTCGTCAGCTGCCGAGTTGTCAGAGTAGCATTTTACTGCCTTGCCGGACCAGAGATGACCCCAGGTGTGTGCGGCCGCCACAATGGGATAGATTTCAAATAGGGCTGAGGTCTCCCTGAATCCTGGCAAGGCATCCGTCTCAGCGGGCCAGTGACCCCTAAACCAGTGGTTCCCAAAGATGGCTGCGAAACCAGTGCAGCATCTGTGTGAATGATGGGTGAGGAAGTGGAGAGAGGGGGGATAAACATGGAGATACCGTTCCACTCTGCCAAAAACTTCCCCCACATAGCTAAGTCAGCCTTGGCGTGGGGGTCCAATGAAACTGGGCAAGAGTCCGGTACCCCGTGGAGCAGGCAAAGAAGCCTGGATATAAAAGACCTTCCCTGCGGGATGATGCGCATGGCGAAGTTCAGGGATCTCAGAAGGGACTGGAGTTCCTTCCTGGTGCAAACATCATTCCACAGGAACATGTCTATCTCCCCTCTCAAGCGGGTCAGTTTGTCATGGGGAAGGCTACCTCTGAGGGTAACGGAATCTAGCTCTATCCCCAAAAAGGTTAATTTAGTTGTGGGACCTACAGTAGTTTTAGATGGGGACAAAGGTACTCAAAGTGTGGGAAAAAGTGCTGTAGTGCGGCAGATAGCGGTGGGTGTTTGTGCCCCTGGCTCTATCAGTAGGAAGTCGTCTAGGTAGTGAATAACGGAGTGACACCTGAGGACGTTCAGAAGCAGCCAGCACAGTGTCCCAGCGAAGATATCGAAAAGTTTGGGGCTGCTTCGAGAACCGAAAGTGAGTTGTGTGGAGAAGTAGTACTTTCCTCACCATTTAACACCGTGCAAGTGCCAGAGTGAGGGGTGCATGGGTAGTAACTTAAACACGTTTGTGATGTCTGTTTTGCTGAGCCAGGGGCGATTACCAGAAGAGATGATGGCCTGTATTGCGCCGTTAATAGTTACGTACTGGAGTGAGAATTTGTCTGCTGGAATGAGTACGTTTATGCTGGGAACAAAAGAGGAGTGCGGTGCCGATAAATCGATAATTAGACGTTTTTTATTTGAATATTTGTGAACTGCGACGCCGATTGGGTTAGTGCGCCAGGAAGAAAAAGGTGAGGAGGTGAACGGCCCGATCATGAAACCTTTGGTAATTTCAGAGGAAAGGAGAGTGTCTGTGGAAACTGAGTCTAGACGTGCTGACAGGAGATTAGGACATTCAAGTGTACCTGAGGGGATGGCTACTATACCCATGAGAAACACCTGTGTGAACCCTGTGGTCAGATATTCCACCAGGTGCCTGCTAGGGTGTGACCTTAAGTAAAAAAACAGGTTGTCGACATTAATGTCGGTTAGTCATTTGTTAGGGGACAACCTGGCCGGACACATGGTCTTGGTATGTGCCCTGAAGCAAATGGAGCAGATGTGCAATAATCTACATGCGCTGAAACTGCAAGAGCCTGCGTTGAAATTATTGCACACCTGCGCCTTGCCTAAAAAGGAGATGGGCCTACCCAGCTTGTCACGTAGACCACCTGTTGGTTTGTTGTGAGGGGTGAAAGAGGTATGAGGGGTGGGAGTGGAGGTGGTGGGATCTGCTTCAGAGGGACATAAGTCCGCCATGTGGGATGTGGAATTACATATGGAACAAGACGGGGGGCCTGAGACCAGCGAAGTGGCGACAGAATAGTTCTGTATCCATCTGACACCAGTTAATTCTAACGTTGAACTGTTTCAGATGGGTCGCCGCCTTCGCTGATACTGACTTATGATAGTTGTAGAAAGAAGAGCCCCCGTACTTGATGCCTAAATCCACCACCTTGTGGAGGTAGAGGTCTAGCTCTTCTCTTCTGTGGGGAGACACCGTGCAGATAACATCACGGTATATCCCAAAGGCAATCACGAACTGAGGTATGGTTAGTTTTTTGTTGAGTCTGGGGTCTGTAGTCTTAAGCACCACTGAGATGTCCCTGTAATTGTTTGCCCTGTTCTCCAGCATGTCTTGGGATGCTATAAGCAGAGACACCAGACACATGTCTTTCCCATCTAGGATTTCTTTCCTGATGGAGTCTGGGACGGAGTGAGCTGGTGACTAAAAGGAGAAATAGCTGTGGCTGGTGCTGGAGAAGGGAATATGGGGGGGCATGCGGGGACAGCCGGGGTGGAGACTGGGAGGCCCGGGGTATTACCTGGGGAGGCGATGGCGCTCTCCACCTTAGCCTGCTATTAAGGGTCTGTAGGTTGGCCAAGATTGCTGCCAGGGTATCCTGGGTTGCCGTGCCAGTGCTTGGTGGCTGTCCTTGAGAACTAGTGCTTGGCCTAGGCTCAGGGGCTTGGTAGGTAAGCAGCCTGTAAAGTTCTGCCTTTCTAGCTGTGGCTGGAAAGGAGATTCCCCTGAGCCTTAGCTCGGCCGTAATTTTGGGAATAGTCCATGCTCTCAAGGACGTGGGAGTTGAAGCGGTGAGAGATTCGCCTGGAGACTCTGGTCTGGTTGGCGTAAACGGTATCTCTTCTGGCAGTTCTTGGATGGGGATTGGTTCTTTGGACATTCTAAAAGAAATGATTTTGTGAATGAGATATTAGAAGGGTGAGTAAGGAAACGTGGGGGGGATATGAGGGATGGTATTTATTGGAAGAACTGGACTGTAATGCTAGTGCAGAAGCGAAAAACTTATCTGTGGGATTTTTGGTAGGTGAGGCCCTGCTAATGCCAAGTGGCGGTGAGAGGCTCTACCTATGATTTGGCTTAGGAAATTAGGACACAGACGTGGTGGCAGGGTGTTGGCCTCTCGGTGACTGTAAAGAGAATTCAAAACGTGTGGCCGTGACAGGTGAGGCCCTGTAGTAGGGCGGGCGAGGTGTATAACTATGATTTGGGCGTGGTGCTGTACCTCAGTGTTGAGGTGGGAGATGGCCTCGCGGGACCGGGTTTCCTAATAGGGTGAGCTAAGGCGGTAGCCTAGACCCAGTAGCCAGTTCAATTGTATACTTAAGGTTGACTGGGAAATTCTGATGTGTGGATATTAACCTTGAAAGGTTGTAAATGATATCTGGAACCTTCTAGTATTTTCTTTTTTTTTTATGTGGCGAGTCTTGTCTGCTGCTGTTCTTAAAGAAGAAGCCTGAGGATTAAGACAGATGTTGATGTATTTATGCGTATCGTGGTGACGTGTGGTTTGTAGTGAGGGTTGGCTATTAGGAGCGCAACGTGAGATCCTGAATTGAGGGATCTGAAAGGTTTAGTATAGGATTGGGACGAGTTTGCGTTAAAGAGAAAGGCTGATTGAGGCCTTGGGGTAGTGATTGCCGTACGTGAGTAAGGACGTAAGTACCTGATGGTATGCCTGAGTACGGGATCAGGTAGGTTGGATGTTTTCCGTGGCCTGATGGTAGTATGACCGTAGGCCTGGGTAGAGAAATTGTAAAGAATTAACGTACCGTGGGCGTAAGACCGTGAGTCAATCGTAATGAGACCGAGACCGCGTAAAGTCTTGTATAGAAAGGTCTTGAAAGAGTGGGGAATTATACCTTTAATGAAGTACGAAACTTGTGATGAACATAACTGGTTTAATGTGTAGAAACCGGTGGAGGCCTAGAATACTACTGGTGCTAAGGATTAACCAATGAATATTTAAACAGTTAACGACAGATGTGACAGTATGTAATAAATACCAACATGTATTGCTGTGACAAGTCTAGATAGCTTAATTGTATTTGAGGCCTAGACCTGGATGAAACCAAAGTGAGAAAATTATACCTGTTCCTGTAATAAAAAGAACTTGAAATAGCAACTTTTGAGCAGGAATGCAAGAAACCGATGCAATCTGTAAAGCCAAAGACATGTGACAGAGGCAAGAATAAATGACTGCGTGATTCTAAGGAGAAGATGTAGTACAGATGTGGATTTAACGCAATTACCCTAGAAGATTGTGTTTAATAATTAATATCTGTATGTAGGGTTTGAAAAGGGTTGGTGTATAGTTAGAAAAACCTGTTCTTTATATTGGTAACATGAGAAGTCTATAAGAATTAATAAAATGAATATTAAAACGTGGTTACTATTTAATTAGGTGTAGGAAAAAAGAACCGTATCTTATAATTGTTGAGATTTTAAATGTTTTAGATATATCATACTGGCCAACACAGTTTAAGAAAAAGACTGGTAGTTAGACCGGCTTGAATAACCAATACTGACATGTAGGTATCAGCAATTAACTGACCGAACAGGGAATATGCGTTTACATTTAAAATTTGTGTAAATGAAATTAATGAATTTACTTAGCATGGTTTAAAAGAATTAACCGTAATAGGGATTTGTACCGTGCGTTCGTTTAAACCGTACGAATAGATCAGTACTGAATGAGAAAATAGCGAGGGGTGAATAGGATTATCATCTAACATTAAGGATGCACGAACGGGTAAGTACGAGGTTCGTGCGTATGACCGTATGATCGTGCGTATGGACCTCTTGCTGCAGGAGACTGAAGTTGTTCTGGCGGGAAGCTCGGACCGGAAGTGCTGGTTGCTATGGGGATGGACAATCAGCTGAACGGCAGAGGTGAGTAGGGCCTGGGAGTTTTAAGTAGAGGACTTATTCCTCCCACAAATTCAGGCCTAATGGCCTTTCTATATGTGTGTGTGAAACTGTAACAGAAAATAGTTCCATGCGGGCGACAACAAAACACTGCTGGGCGTGCGATAGTTTAAAATGGCCCCCACCACGTGTTTGTTCATATGCACGACGACCACCCAGCCGACCGTTCGGGAGATGTAAGCGGCTGCGGTTAACCACAGTGTTAAAGAGGTCAAAAAGGTTATTAAGCAAAACACTTCCCTGCTGGGTGGCCCGCCATTCGGTAGTTCGTTTGTTTCAGTGAATGAAACCAGGGAAATAGCCGAAAACCCGTGGACTGACGAACAAACAGGCGAAACCAGTTTTTAAGTTATAATCCAGAGGCAGTGAGGTCTGTCACAAGGGATGTAGCCTTTCCCCCATACATGAGACGAGTCTGTATGTTGAGGGTAAAACAGGAACTCAGCAGATCTGAGGGTTTATTGAACAGCTTGGTCTTTTATGCAGTTTTCCCCACCAAGACCTTGGACCTTGTAGGGCACAGGACACAAAGTCACAGAGACAATCACAACAGTATTGTTCAGTTGGACACTCCCAGATAATGTGCACAAACCCTCCCCTCCGCTTGGGAGATAATGGAGTAAGATACTGTAATTAACTCAATTATATATATTTCACAAAACCCAGAAAACACCCCAAAACATCACATATCCCCATTAATAGCACTGATCTGAGTGAACAACATATCCAAAAATCACCCAGATCAGAGCAGGGGTTCGGGAAATTCGTGGAAGTCATATTTGACAGACCACAAGCATGGCTTCATGCACAAAACAGTTCCAGAGAATTAGGCTGTGCGACAGGTCTATTTTCAATGTCTAAGTTCCGTTCGAATAGTCGAACGGGAACTGTTCGTGCAAATAGACAAATGTTAAAGTGGCATTCGAATTGTCGAACACCGTTCGACTCCTGTTGTGGTTCCGGAGAAGGTAAAGTTCAGCAGTGTACGTGCCGTTGCGTGTTCGATTTGAGTTCCCTGAACTCGACGACAAAACACTGCTGAAAACTTACGACTAAACAAGATTGCCGCTGACACGTGTTCGACTATATGAATGGCGCCCACCCAGCCATTCGTCAATTAGGCTCATTTTTAGCTATTTGTGTGTGTGTGTGTGTGTGTATGTCTGCTCTTATGAGATTAACCCACTTGCTTGGGGAAAAAAATTCCATCTGGGGCTCTCCGCAGTACAAGGCTAAATAGGGCCCTGGGATGAGGCACCTGTGACAGGGAGGGGTGCAAAACCAAGGAGTTGGCTAGACTCCCAAATATATATATATATATATATGTATGTGTGTGTGTATGTATGTATGTATATGTATGTATATGTATGTATATGTATGTATATATAACAAGAGGGGGTTGGCTGCACTCACCTGAACATGCATAAATGGGGGTGCTGCTGGGGGCCAAATAATACAATACACAAGATCCAGCGCACTCACCTATCCACTAAACAGCAACTTGAATGTTGAAAGATTTTATTTGTTTTTTTTTTTAAAAACACCTAATCTAGGCAAAAATAATGGGGGTTTAGTTACATTATATGATCATACATTGCATAAGCTTGCCACAACGTCAATGTACCCCATCTTTGGCAGGTCCTACACTAACAACCTAATGTCTGCTCTTATGATATATATCATAGAGAGATATATATATATATATATATATATATATATATATATATATATATATATATATATATATATATATATATATATATATATATATATATATATATATATATCTATCAAAATACACTAAACCAAACACCTTAAATGCCACTGGTGAAAATATGGATAATGAGCAATTCCCCTTTATCTATTCTGAAAACTGGAGAAAATATGAGATTCTTCCAAATCTTGACTAATATGTTTATTTCCAATTATTTGCATATTTAAATGAAAGTGTTGTATGTCACATTTGGATTTGAGCTCTGGAAGAGCGGATTACTAACTGTGTGTATTTTCCTACCCCGCAGATACTAATAAGGTTCTAACTTACAGTTTAATACTGGTGTTGTTCCAGAATTACTCCAGTAGGCAGTCCCATCAGCTGGGGATGGTATACTTTATGATTCAGGAGCCATAATTTACAGGCTCCTGTATGGTGGGTTCTCTAGGTGAAATTGTTCCCGCCCTGTGTTTGTTTTTTATCTTGTTATATCATCCCACTTGTTATGACTGCCGTTTAGGAAAAACTAAAATTGAAGATTATGCTAGCGCAGTGTACTGATAATCTTAATTTTAATAATGACAGGAGGCGAATATTTTGCATTAACTTTCTTTACTAGCTCCATAGCAGCAAAGAAAAAACTGTTAAAGAACCAATCAGAATGAAACAGAGAATATATAAGTCCACGCATAGTCCATCATTTCCTCTTGACTAATGCGACATCACAAGTTCGAAAAATGACAAACGTGTCCAATCCAACTTTACCCAACTTGATGTAACTTAATCCAATGTTGAAAAAAGTAAGGATTGTCGACTTCTCCATCCTCCAGAAAATTTGTTAAACTGAAAGGAAAGAGACTAGTATCCGTGACCGTAGATCACAAATGTCTGATTATGTATGTAAACTCTCCGCTAGTCATATTCGTCTATCCTTAAAATACTATTGGACTAATCAAACTACAATATATATGGACGACAATACTCCCCATCCTACATCAATTCGGAACCTAAACTGCAGCACGATTATACCCATTAACCTTAACTTACCTCATCATTTGGGTGGGAACATCAAGAAGAAGGGGAGGGAAAATATTCGCCTCCTGTCATTATTAAAATTAAGATTATCAGTACACTGCGCTAGCATAATCTTCAATTTTATAACTTGACAGGAGGCTTCATATTTTGCAGTTTTAACGCTTAGACAGAAGAGAGAATGCGGCACTAGAAGATTGTCGGAAGTAAAATGTCTGGAATGTTTTGCGAGACCAGTCTACCGCTTGGAGGATATCTGCCAATGGTGCGCCGCCGCTCTTCTCACGGAGTGAGCTCCGAAGGCGGTTCCACCCCCGCAAGGGTGAGGATCCATCTAATCCATCTGGATAGTGTGGTGGTCGAGACTGGACCATGAGGTTTAACGTATATCAGTAGTTGTCAAGAGTTTGGTCGACGTAGCATCTCCGTTGCCTCCATATATGCTCTCAATGCCCTAACAACACATAGTTGAGCTTCTGATGTAAAGAACGGGTAAAAAATTGATGTCGAATCGGTCTTGGTTCTCCGAGAGATTTGGAATGTAACTGTAGCGGATGGCACTGGGCTGTCCTGCAAATGTCTTGTGAATAACTACCTTCGTGTGATCTGCTGGTTTTCTATGTATTTAAAAGAATTGTATTCCTCTGATTGTTCGGTAGTTTTATTCCCTTAGTTCATTCGAATGAAACTACCGAACAACCAGACCTCCCCTGTGTGAAGTGTGTCCTCAATTACCCGTTGCAACATTGTTGCGAACGGGTAATTGCCTAGTAAGTAGCCGTCCTTTGTTCTCGGGGGTGGCCGCCATTCGACAAACGAACACGTGGCGGCGGCCATTTTAAAACTCCCGAACAGCGGTGTTTTGCCGTCGAGTGTCTGGAACTCAAATCGGACACTCGAGTAGGCGAACACCGCTGAGACCTCCACAAGCCCGGTCCGTTCGGTTCCTAACTACCGAACGGCCCCTCGTTCGGTAGATAGAAAGAACCGAACGAGGGGATTCAGGCGAACCCTCCCTAGCCTCTATAGCTAGAGGCTTTCGTGTATTTTATTCCCTTATGCCAGGACCGACCGCAGGGCCCATTCGCATGGAACCTTATTCGGCTATCTCAGTTAGTGCGGTCGGTCATTTTATTCCCTCCATACATTTCCCGAACCCCTGGTCTGATCTGGGTGATTTTTGGATATGTTGTTCACCCAGATCAGGGGTATCCGGGGATGTAGGATTTAAAGAGGTACCCCTACGTTTAGGGGTACATCCAGAAACGGGGGGAATTACTGTACTGGATAAGGGGATTATGATGCTGGCTGAGGGGAGGAGATGTGTGGGAGGTTACCAGGACAGGATTGGCTACTGTAATAATGATTGTAAATCCCTCCCTTGCATGGGAGCATGCTTTAAAAGGAGACTGTGGATTAAAGCTTTGAGTTCTGCTCCTGAAACTGTGTGTTGTCCAGTTATTGGGATTGCTGTGGGATATTGCTGTTATTTTACCTGCTGGAAACCTTGCCTGTGGATTTACTATTTACTTGTTCCTGAGCCTCACTTGGATTATAAGCGGAGATAACCTGGGGAATATTGCATCTCCGCTCAGCTATTAAATGATAGTTCATTCGGTTCACGAACGGCCCGCAAAGGTGCCGTTCGTGAAACGAAGGGAAATCAGCTATCTGCTTTCGGCAGATAGCCAATGCAGGTAATACAGGGTTACACAATCACAGTACATTATGCTCTGGAACACACATAGCATGAAAATCATACAGGCAACCCTTAAAGCGACAGTACTTAAATAATGTCCAAGTGGCTAGGTTTGCCACAATGCTCCCCCAGAACCAAGCCGGCATACACAGTCTGATCCGAACGGATCGGCTTGGGGATGTCCGGAGGAGGGCTCACAGATCACTTTTCCAAGTCAGTTTGTCGAGATAACCCGTCGGCGTTACCGTTTTGTTTCCCGGGGCGGTAGTGAATAGTAAAGTCAAAAGGCTGTAGCACCAAACTCCAGCGTGTCAGCCTGGCATTGTCTCCAGCCACACCAACGGGTTGTGATCTGTGAGCAAGGAAAAGGGTTGCCCGTAGAGGTAAGATTGCAATTTTTTCAGGGTCCACACCACGGCCAGGCATTCTTTTTCGATGGCGGCGTAGCTCACTTCCCGGGGTAACAGTTTCCGGCTTAAATACTCTACGGGGTGTTCTCCGCCATCTGCTCCAACTTGGCTCAGTACTGCTCCCAATCCAAACATTGAAGCGTCTGTGTGGACAAGAAAGCGTTTAGTTGGATCAGGAGCAGCGAGTACAGGTGCATTAGTCAGAGCCGTCTTAAGTTGGGTAAATGCCTGTTCACACTCTGGGGGCCAGATACCTTGTCTGGGTAAGTTCTTCCGCGTTAGGTCGGTCATTGTAGTTGGGTACGAATTTCCTGTAGTACCCGGCGGTACCCAGGAATGCGAGGACTTGGGTCTTAGTCCTAGGGGTGGGCCACTGCGCTACGGCTTCAATTTTTGCTGGCTCAGGTTTTTGTTGCCTGCTTCCTACCCGGTGGCCCAAGTATTGCACCTCCGCCATCCCTATGTGGCATTTACTAGGCTTCAGGGTTAACCCTGCCTCTCTGATGCGATCTATTACCGCTCCTATGTGGCGTAGGTGCTCGTCCCAGGTCTGGCTATAAATGGCGATATCATCCAGGTATGCACATGCATAATCCTGGAATCCATCTAGTAGCCGATCTACCATCCGCTGAAATGTTGCGGGGGCGTTCATCATCCCGAATGGCATGACTCTAAACTGGTACAAGCCAAACGGGGTGACGAACGCCGACTTGGGGATGGCCTCCTCGGCTAGTGGGATTTGCCAGTATCCCTTAAACAAATCTATCGTCGTAAGATACTGGCCTCTGGCCATCCTATCCAGCAGCTCGTCTATCCGGGGCATCGGGTAGGCTTCAGACACTGTTTTGTCGTTCAGCCTCCGGTAGTCCACACAGAATCGGGTCGTACCATCCTTTTTGGGGACCAGGACTACCAGTGATGCCCAGGGGCTATCTGAGTGCTCGATAACCCCTAACTGCAGCATCTCCTCAATCTCCTTCCTCATATGTTCCCGTACGGATTCCGGAATCCGATAGGGGGTCTGCCGCATCGGTAGCTGTCCAGGAGTTTCTACTCGGGTGGCTAGCGGAGTGTACCCAGGTAAGTTGGAGAAAGTGGCGCCTTTCGCCACTATCAGCTCCTGTACCTGGGTTCGCTCTTGAGCGCTTAGCCACTCCCCCAGTTGAACCCCCTTGGAGGGCTCTTCCTGCTCTAGCAGATCAGGGAGAGGCAGATTCTCCTGATCTTCCGAGGCGGGCGTGCATATGGCAGCCACGTCCTCGGTCCGCTCGTGGTACGGTTTGAGCATGTTCACATGGAGCATGCGTCGCTTCCCTACCCCGGAGCATGGGCCGATCACATAGGTGGTGTCGCATCTCTGCTCTACCACCTGGTATGGGCCCTGCCAGACGGCCTGCAGTTTGTCTGTGCGGACAGGTTTGAGGATCAACACCTTTTGTCCCACTTGAAAACTATGGTCTCTAGCCCCTCTATCATACCAGCGGCGCTGCCGTTGTTGGGCGGCCTGGAGGTTAGCGCGTACTGCCTGGGTCAATTCCTCCAGGCGGTCCCTGAACGCCAGCACATATGGCACAATAGGGGTTCCATCTGCACTACTCTCTCCCTCCCAATGCTCCCTAATCAGGTCCAACGGTCCCCGTACCCATCTCCCAAACAACAGCTCAAATGGAGAAAAGCCGGTAGATTCCTGAGGTACTTCTCTATAAGCAAACAACAAATGGGGAAGGAATCGTTCCCAGTCCTTATGGGTCTCTCCGAACGTACGGAGCATCTGTTTTAGGGTACCGTTGAATCTTTCACATAATCCGTTGGATTGGGATTGGTAAACGGAGTTTACGATTGGCTTAATGCCACATACCTTCCATAATTGCTGAGTGACCTCGGCTGTAAATTTGGTCCCTCTATCAGAGATTATCTCCTGAGGAAATCCTACCCTAGAGAAGATTTTCATCAGGGCCTCTGCTACTGTTTCAGCGTGTATATTAGATAGGGCGATAGCTTCCGGGTACCGGGTGGCGTAGTCCACCACGGTTAGGATATACCGCTTCCCAGAGGGGCTCGGCTTGGGTAGCGGCCCCACTATGTCTACGGCTACACGGCTAAAAGGCTCCTCAATGATGGGAAGGGGGCACAGTTTAGCTTTGTGGTGGTCCCCCTCTTACCTACCCGCTGACACACGTTGCAGGAGGTACAGTAGTGCCTCACGTCCTTGGAAATTCCCAGCAGAAAAGGGCGTGTGTCAGCCGGTACCGGGTACGGGTCATACCTAAATATTGTGAGTTATCCTCAACAGCTCCGGTCTATATTTTTGGGGAACTACCAACTGCTTGGTCTTCACTGTGACAGAGCCCCCTATCACCCTCTAGGCTATCCTGTACAATAGCTTTTTCTCCCAAATGTACCGCTCCCCCTCCAGCCCGGCCTGATCATTACTTACTCTATCCCTGTATACCTGTAACGTGGGGTCTGTCTGGACCTCGGCTTCAAAGGCGGTCAGGGTGTCCCAGGTCATATAGGTCAGGGGGAGTCACGGTCTCTTACCTGAGCCTCAGAGTGTGTTGGTGGAACCATGGTGCGAGCCTGTTGTCGAGTAGTCACCGGATGCGCTTCTTGCAGAGGGGCCTGAGGTACAAATGCAGACGTCATTCGGCCCAAGTCATTCCCCAATACGACATCCGCGGGTAATTTTTTCATAATAGCCACTTCCACGACCCCCTCCCCAGCACCCCAGTTCAAATGTACCTTCGCAGTGGGTAGGCGGTACATGGCTTCCCCCGCCACCCGTACTGCCACAGACCCGCCGGTGTGCGCGGTATCTGGTACCAAATGAGGGGCCACCAGGGTAGCTCCCGAGTCCCGTAGTCCCTGTACTTCTTCCCCCCCCACAAACACAACTTGACGATGATGCTGCCGGTTGTCGGTGGCTTGGACGGACATCACTTCATATAAAACGCCCAAGGGTTCCTCGGTCTGAAGGCTCAGCAACTCTTGGGTGTCAGGTTCCACCTGGTAGTGATGTGCTGCTGCCCTTGGGGTGGTGTTCTGCCGCACTTGGTTCCACGCTTGTCTGCTCCGGTTCTGGGTGCACTCTCGGGACATATGCCCCCACTGCCGGCAGGTATGGCACTGAATATTTGACCTGCCGTTGTTGCGAGAGGAGGGTGGTGGGTTCCCTTGTGCTGGCCTAAACGGAGTGGAGTTAACTGGTGCGGAGGGGATCGTGTGGGTTGGTGCAGGTGGTCTCGGGTAACTCTTACTAATTGGCCCATGATGCCTCCTGGCATCAAAATGTTGGTCCGCCAATCTAGCGGCTTCCGGTAGGGTGAGAGGTTTGCGGTCCCTCACCCATTCTTGCGCTTCTGGGGAGAGTCCATTAAAAAATTGTTCCAATAGCATAAGTTGGCGCAATTCCTCCATGGTGGTGGCTTGGCTTGCCTGAATCCACCCCTGTGAGGCTTGATCCAACTTGTGTGCCCATTCTGCGTGGGAATCCTTCTCGGGTTTGCGTAATCCACGAAATTTGCGTCGATACGCTTCGGGCGTGATGGCATACCTCTCCAGTATAGCCCTTTTTACTTTAAAATAGTCTTTACTGTCTTCCCTGGGGACAGCGCGATAAGCCTCTGCTGCCCGCCCTGCCAACTTTCCCACTAGCAGGGGTACCCATACTGCCTGCTCCAGGTCGTGCAGGTCACATAGCCGCTCAAAGTCCTGTAAGTACCCATCAATTTCGTCCTTCTCCTCACAGAACGCTTTGAATGCATGATACGATATTTTTGGTTTTACCTGACCGCAGATGGAGGCAGTAATGGATTCTGCCCTGGATGGTGCTCCCTGTTGCTGTTGTGCCATCACGTACTCCTGCACGTCAGCCATCAGGACCGTCAGGATATCCAGGGGCACTGGCTGGGGTAAAAATTCCAGCCGGGTTCTCAGCTCCCTTTTTGTATGGGGTTTCTTCCCTGGCTGGTGGGGGTGTGCTGCTGTGCGCTCGGTCGCCCTCAATCAGTTCAGCGATCAGCACGGCTTTAGAATTATTGCTGGCGCTCTTTCCTCTCGCTTCCAGCAGTTCCTTAAGCGTCTGCCTTTTCAACATAGTGTATTCACTGAACTCTTTCGTCTGTTTGCTGCATACGAATTGCCATTTCCTTTTTCCGTTCGGTTGTTTCTTTCGAATGCGCTGTTTCGGCTGTAGAGTTGGATCCCGTCGCTTGCCACCAATTGTAGCGGAACGCCAATATTAAATCCACGAATTCCGCTGGTACATACGGTAATCCACAGTCAAGCACTGGAAAAAGCAAGGAAATATCCCAAATCTCCCAGTAACCGGACGAAACACAGTTCTGAGAGTCAACTGAGGTCTTTATTTTCAGCTCCACAATTTATACAAGTCCCCATGCAAGGGGTTTCCTGAGTCCCCTCCCAGGGGCACTGCTGCACGAGAGGGATCCTCCCACAGGAATGTACCGTTAAGTGGATTATCCCTCCGTGCAGCAGAACCGACAATTTATATTAAAATGCATAACTGTGGTAATATACGGTCTATTTGCACGAATGGACGTTCGGTAGATAGTTGGGGTCTGAGCGCCTCATTTGTGAGATTACCGCTCAGATCCCAGCTAAAACATCCAAACGCCGCACGAAAAAACACATTTATTAAAATACATGTTTAACTGACCGATTGACTTCCAGGGAACAAAGTACCGAACGGCCCTGAACTCCCGAACGGCCTGGAGGCTCAGCGGTGTTCGTGCCGTCGAGTAGCCGTTTTTAGTACCATGTGCTCGATGACCTAACACCGCTGAGGGAACAAAGGATCCAAGATGGCCGACCGCCGCATGGTCGGTAGTCAAACGGCGGCCACCTAGGAGAGCCTCTAATTACCGATTGCAACAGTGTTGCAATCGGTTAACAAGCGCCACACGTCTCTTAGTGTGTGGGCTATTAAATGATAGTTCATTCGGTTTACGAACGGCCCGTAAAGGTGCCGTTCGTGAAACGAAGGGAAATCAGCTATCTGCTTTCGGCAGATAGCCAATGCAGGTAATACAGGGTTACACAATCACAGTACATTATGCTCTGGAACACACATAGCACGAAAATCATACAGGCAACCCTTAAAGCGACAGTACTTCAATAATGTTGAAGTGGCTAGGTTTGCCACACCTTTGGAAGTGGGAATAGGATTGTCTCGCTCCCGAGTCCGGATAGGACAGTTGCGGGTAGAACTGTTGTGGAGGTCCAGTGCGGGGGGCCTGATGGCCAGAAGCGGCTGGTGGCACGGCCCCTTTGCCGACCAGCCCTGGAAAAATCACCCCTGGAGGGGTTGCCTCTGAATACCTTTCTCATAGAGGTACGAGCTTTGTTTAGGGACGTGAATACATTCACGTGTTTATTGAGCTCCTTCATAAAAGCCTCTCCGAAAAGTTTGCCCTGTGCTTGCGGGCCTAGTTCTTTTACTCCAAGGTCAGCCAGCTTTGGGTCAATGCGGAACAGTGCTGCGTGGCGCCGTTCTGTTGAGAGGGCTGCATTGGTATTCCCCAGGAAGCAGAAGCCCCGCTGGGTCCATTCTCACCATGTCCGCGATAAAAAAGTCCGCTCTGGTATAGGAGTCATCCGCCAGATACATCACTCTGGCTAGTGGTCCCATTGCATCTAGGAGCTTGTCTTGCGCCCCTTTTAAAGCTCCGTTCGATCCCCCTGCATGGATCGCGACCACCTCTCTCCATGAACGTCAGCATGAGCTGATCGAACTCTGGCGTAAGCGCCAACTTGTCTGGCAGGGAGGGTCTAAGACACTCTGCCCGCATCCTCTTACGGATGTGCTTCTCTAACGGTTTCCGGATCCAGAAGTGCATAAACTTCATGAGGTGGTCGGGTGGAGCCCATTCCCCAGAGCGGGGGTGGTGTATATTACTGGGATCAAACATGCGTTGTCCCGTAGTATCCAGGAAAGTCTCTTGCTCCGGGCTAGCAGTTGTCGTGGAAGATTCTGCAATCCCTTTCATCTGGGGCTCACCCAGGAAAGTCTCTGTGACATAGGCGTTGGATCCCCAATCCCCGTCGTCCGAATCCGAGGCCTCTGCCTGCCACTTATCCAGTATGGACAGGGAGTGGGGCATCTCTTCTCCCTCATCCGAGGAGGCGTCGTCGGGGGTTGCTGTAGGCACGGGTGCTGGTGCGTGTTTATTACAGTATCGTTTTGCCGGGCGCTGTCTCTCTTGGGAGGAATCGTCGGATTCTTCGGGAATCCTCCCTGGGGCGACTAGATTTGCCAGACGGCTTGAGGGTATCAGAGGCCGCTGGGAGCACCATTGCCATGGCTTTTTCTAACGATGCAGCTACAGCCGCATTGATCATGGCTTGCATTTGTTCAGTGGAAATCTGTGTCTCCTTTTCCATTATGTCAGTTAGCTGGCAGGCACAGGTTTGGGAGGTGTGGGAACTGTGTGGGAGGGTTTGGATAAGAGGCCGTCGGCCGTATAATGTATAACGCTTAGTAGCGTGTAAAGCGGACTCTCACTGGGGCTCACCCAGGGAAAAAAAGGGGAATTGCTATAGCAAATTCCCGTAGGCAGCACTGATACGGGGGCTCACCCCGTGCCAGAATACTCGTGTAAAACTGACTGGCAGTCCCACTCCCTAAGGGTTACTATACCCCAAATGCACAGGTCCCTTTAATATAAAACATAACACTCATGCTTTTTTAGAAGACTAGTAGTCTGGGTCAGACCAGGAGCTCTCCTTTCTGCAGGCTCTGCCACAGTAGCCACAACACCCACAAGATGGCCCCCGCGATTCTCGCGAGTTCTGGCCCTTTAAAAGCCTGGGAAAAATTTGCGGGGAAAAATAGTAATGAGTGCATTCGGCAAGTTTGGTCGAACAAACTGACGAACGCGGATACCTGTAATGGGTGCGCCCGAAGTAGCTCCCATGTTCGCACGCCGAACACGGCGTACAGGGTTGCCAGGGAAACCTCAGTTCGCGCTTTGTGTAATGCGCGAACGGAAGAGAGACAGCACTGGGAGGGCGGCTTTACAAAGGCAGCCTTCCGGTATCGCGAGGATGTTGTGCGCTGCCTCCCAAATTGCCCGGGTCTGTTCACACGGCAGCCTGTGTGAACAGTACAGGCAACAGGACAATGAAGGTGGCGAACGTTGCCACTGGGGGGGGGTTGTTGAGGGAAGGTGTGTAAAGAGGGGTCCCGGTCGGAGTGCCTCAGAGGGGAAAGCCCTGTGGAACCCAACGCCCTGATGAAAAACCCCCACAAGTTAACCCTGCCCCACACAAATTAAAGGAGCCCCTACCACCCCCAATGTAAGCACTAATCAGTACATAAAACAATTATAACATGGAATTAAAGAAGCAGTACTCTGACCTGACTTGTGATGGAGCAGCAAAGAAAGAGGAAATGACGGACTATGCGTGGACTTATATATTCTGTTTCATTCTGATTGGTTCTTTCTTTAACAGTTTTTTCTTTGCTGCTATGGAGCTAGTAAAGAAAGTTAATGCAAAATATGAAGCCTCCTGTCATGTTATAAAATTTTACTTACTGTAATTTATTTTTCCTTATTCCAAGCGGCAGTCATTCTTTCCCTCCCTTTATACTATAAAAATGTAAAAAAGTGTAAACCTATTTCCTTCTCTCAGCTTGTTATATACTGGGAAGCTCAGGGTGGAGTTGTCCTTTATAAGGCTAGGAGGAGAGGAGACTGGGGACTGCATTTTGTTGTTTTAACCTTTTCAATGCTACCTGTCATGTGAGAAATGGGCAACTACAGCCCACTTGTTATGACTGCCGCTTGGACTAAGGAAAAATAAATTTACGGTAAGTAAAATTTAGGTTTTTGAAACATCGACACATACTTTTTGATTTTATAAAGAGTAATGTTATTTGGAATTCCCAAAGAATATATATACCAAGAAAGTTATGGAGGAGGAAAAAAAGTGATTAAAAATCCCTTCCAGCTGAAGTTAGTGGATAGTCAATACATTATTAAACATAGATCTGCAAACCAGTCAAGCCATAATACTTGCTTTTCCCACATGCAAATTAGTTCAACAGAGAATCACATTTCTGCCTTGTTATTCTATATTAAACATGGATTGCTTAGTTTGTTTGCTGCACACAACAGCTTTGAAACACAACTCTCGAAGTAATGTAAAGCCAATGAACCACTCATTGACAGCTGCTTAGTTGATAATGCAACTCATCAACATAAGGTTAGTAACTGGCCTGAGAGAATGGTTTAACTCCTTGAGGTAAGAGTTCACCCAGAGGTCTCCTGGCACCCTAGCTTAATTTATATGATGTAGTTATGGTTTCTAGAGTGTCCATGCTTTCATTGTTTCCCAACTTTATAATTGTAACAGCCTGTCAGCCTGAAATGTGGCCAGATTGCCCCTCTACAGTCCAATATGATCTCTTCTGCCAGATGGCCCTTCCTTACATCCAGTAACTAACACATCACCCTTCGGTCAATCTCTACACTAACTTCTGTTTCGTTTTAGGATTTGGTTCAAAGCTCTCAGTAACAATGCTCTTGCTTACATCTTTTGTCGTTGGCAGATGAGCTGCAGCCAGGCCTTTTCTAGCATCGCTAACATTATTATTATTATTATTATTATTATTATTATTATTATTATTATATTTATATAGTGCCAACAAATTCCACAGCACTTTACAGTGGTTGGACGAACAAACATGTAGTTGTAACCAGACAAGTTGGACACATAAGAACAGAGGGGGTGAGGACCCTGCTCAATGAGCTTACATGCTAGAGGGAGTAGGGTAAAGTGACACAAAAGGTAAGGATAGTATTAGACTAATGACCGTTGCAAGAGAGGAATCAGTCGGGAGCTATTAACAGTTTAATTGATACGCTTTTATGAAGAAGTGGTTTTTAAATGTTACTGTTCCATTTTCGCAACCACACCCCAGACTCCTACCTGTGAGACCTTCATTGGGATGCCCCCGCCTTTTAAGGTATGCACTCCCACGGTACATTCAAGTCTCCCACTCTCTATAGTGTTTCAAAATAAATCCCTAAAAACAAACTTCTTTAGAGAAACCCACCAACTCTCCCCTTAACACCTCATCCTATTTTACATTCCTCTCTGTCTCCAACTACTGTGCTCCCTCCTCCCAAACATCTCTCCCATCATTTCATGTATATCCAGATCGTTTGATTCTCGAACATCCCTTTATTTATTTGTCCCTTATCCCTTGTTTGGGCAGGGCCCTCTTCTCTTCACCTGCTGTTCCTGTGTCTCAAACAGGTTTTGTTAAAATTAAATATTTTGTCTTGTTTACCTATTGTACAACACTGCAGAATATTCTGGCATATTCTTAATAACTGTAATTGAAACTGCTGCCAAATGATTAACTACATATCCAGTGAACCCTTGTTGGACATAGGTTTGTTAAATAGAAAGGAAACCTCCAGATGGCCTGAGCCATTTTCTGGTGTTGGTGGATCTCACTACAAATGCTTAAAAAAATGCATTAGTATTAATAGAAACCGTATGCCCAAAGTGATGAGACACATTTTCTTGATACATTATAGAGAAATATGTTAAAAGAAAAGATGACCATTAAAAACACAGGCAAGTGCAATAGCTGGCACACCCCCCTGACCGGGAAGAGTGTCAACCAAGCCGTCAAGCAGTAGCTTTTCATTCCAGTCTGTCAGTGGGGATTGAATATATGGGTGTTGTAGCAAAGTTTTCAGGGTGTTGTCGTCTTCATCACAATGTCATGGTTGTGAGAAAGTGACTCTTTTGAAAATAAATCTATTTTATGAAAGTTTTTAGATATTGGGTTTTTTTTCCTCTTATTTTTTTATTATATAATATCAATATAATGCATTAAAAAAAAAAAAGTAGGGGTCCCTTATAAGTAGTGTCTCTTTAAGCTTCCTTTTTCTGAAATGATCAAAGTCAAGTCTTGAATGTAAATTTTATATTGGGGCTCAGACATTTGAGCACAGTTTTATAATAAAATTAACCACAGTTTGCACATGCTTATTTCCACATACCCATGCCCAGTGTAAGAATGGACATTTTGAGTTATGTATTTAAGTGTCAAAATTTTTGTTTATGCATGCTATTCCCCTTTTATTCTTAATGTAAGCTATAACGTTGATTTTTCTAATCTATTTCTAACTTCCACTCTAGGATCTTCTTTCTCAAATGCACCATTACAATACCGGCGTAAAACACAGTGCTCTCGTTGGTCTCCGAGAACTCCTGTCTTCTCACCCTTCATTAATTGAAACTCATATTTCAAATATAATAGCTGAAGTTGCTGCTGTGTTTACAGACAAAGACCCAGCTGTGAGAATGGCTGCAGTTTCTGTCCTTAAGTGCTTGACTCCCATGATTCCACAGGAAAAAGTTGCACCTTTCTTCCCTCTTGTTAGCGCCCACCTATCCAGTGCTATGACTCATATTATAGTTGGCATTCAAGAAGACTCATTAAAGATATTGGATGTCCTTTTAGAAGAGTATGCAGATTTACTTATTGACCGCAGCAACATGTTGTTAAACAATTTTTTGGAACTTATTTCTCATCAGAAGAACTCAAAAGAAGTCGGGGGTGACAAACAATCAGTATGGACCTTATCAATTAATCCTAACAGAAAAATTACATCCCAGAAGTGGCGACTAAATGTACTTAGCAGATTAAAAAAGTTTCTTTCTGTATTGGTAAAGCAGGCTTTTGAAAAGTGTCCAAACACAGAAAATCTGGAAAGTGTTTTCTCCACTAGAAAGCTAGTGGATGTTACATGGATAGAGCACGCAAATGGAAATCAGCCTATTAAAATGTTTACAAGTTCTGAAGAACAACAATCACCATTTAGATTAAGGTAAGGTGTTTTTTTTTTTTAATTTTTTTTTATACATTTTGTGCTGGTCTAGGGGTACTGGGAAGTATATGATGATTCAGGATCCAAATCATATTTTTCAGTGGCTGTCTGAGAATTAGTGATGTTCACTTTTTTAAACCTTTTGTTTTAAAAAAAAATAAAATAAATATGTAACTGGTGTTATTATTAGCAATGCCTTTTTTTAAATCATTGTAATGTGCAACAAGCGGCTATCATGTTGTCTGTGAGCATCAAAAGTATTTGACCCCGTGCTGATTTTGAACATTTGCCCACTGACCAAGAAATGATCAGTCTATAATTTTAATGGTAGGTGTATTTTAACAGTGAGCGACAGAATACCAAAAAAAATCCAGAAAAACGCATGTCAAAAAAGTTATAAATTGATTTGCATGTAAATGAGTGAAATAAGTATTTTATACCCTATCAATCAGCAAGATTTCTGTCTCCCAGGTGTCTTTTATACAGGTAATGAGCTGAGATTAGGAGCACTCTCTTAAAGGCTCTTTACCTGTATTAAAGACACCTGTCCACAGAAGTAATCAATCAGATTCCAAACTCTCCACCATGGCCAAGACCAAAGAGCTGTCCAAGAATGCCAGGGACAATATTGTAGACCTACACAAGGCTGGAATGGGCTACAAGACCATCACCAAGCAGCTTGGTGAGAAGGTGACAACAGTGGGTGCGATTATTCACAAATGAAAGAAACACAAAATAACTGCCAGTCTCTCTAGGTCTGGTGCTCCGTGCAAGATCTCACCTTGTGGAGTTACAATGATCATGAGAAAGGTGAGGAATCAGCCCAGTACTACATGGGAGGATTCATTGTTAATGCTCTCAAGGCAGCTGGGACCATAGTCCCCAAGAAAACAATTGGTTACACACTACGCCGTAAAGTAATTAAATCCTGCAGCGCCCCCAAGGTCCCCCTGCTCAAGAAAGCACATGTACTAGGGATCGACCAATATTGATTTTTTTTTTAGAGCCGATACCGATATTCTGTGAACTTTCTGGCCGATAGCCGATATAATTTGCCGATATTCTGTACCTTTACCATTTTGGAAAATAAAAACTATTTCTAAAGGCAAATGCACAAAATGTACATGCCACGTGTAGTGGATGCAGTGTGTTTAGATAGGGGAGCTGTGTGTGTTTCTGTAGTGTGTGTGTGTGTAGTGGATGCAGTGTGTTTGTGTAGTGTGTGTGTGTGTGTGTGTGTGTAGTGGATGCAGTGTGTGTGTGTAGTGGATGCAGTGTGTGTATATAATGAAAGCAGAGTGTTTGTGTAGTGTGTGTGTGTGTAGTGGATGCACTGTTTGTGTAGTGTGTGTGTAGTGGATGCAGTGTGTTTGTGTAGTGGAAGCAGTGTGTTTGGGTAGTGTGTGTGTGTATAATGAATGAGTATGTGTTTGTATAGTGTGTGTATATAATGCAGTGTGTTTGTGTAGTGTGCATTATATAAATACACTATTGAAAGAAAAAAGGAAAACGTGGAAGCTTGATGATATTGGAACTTAGGCAGTGAAGGGGTTAACCCTAACTGAAATAATTCAAAGGAAAAAGGAGAGAACTACTGCCTAAGAATAGATAAGGTTAAAAGTTAACTTTTAATGGTATGATTAAAATAGAATAAAGAAACAAATAGATATGGAAACTCTCAATACACCAAGGGGGAGTGTAGAGAGATGAAAGATGCACAAAAATAAGATGATTATAATCTCCAAATTGTTATAAATTAATCATTTGACATATAATCAACAGTTAAATAGTGTCTAAAAATTGTTCTCAATTGATCATTTTAATTAGCTAAGTTGTTGCAAATTAATGCTTACTATTGATTTGTGCTGCAAACCAATGTATAAATACTTGTCTCTGAGAGGTAGAGAGGACCAACAATTGATTGAATTCCCAATAAGAGTTTTTAAACGATATTGCAAAAAACTAGCTGTGCCTTCATGGGCACCTACCTCTACAGGACCCCACTAAATGAGCTAACTGGCAAAAGAAATAAGTTAATCTGCAGGACGCCCTAAAAGATACTGGGACTGTTCCTACGTGTTCTCAATGAGAAGATCACTTCTTGTTACTAGAAAATAAAGTTGCAGTTGCTGGTGTTTGAGTACTCATAATTGCTGTCTATATAGATATAAGTCTAGGACCCTTCTCACGATGCCTTCGAGGGCACCTGCTGCTGCTAAAAACCTAAGTTAGCTATTAGTCGGAAGAAGGAAAGAGAAGCCCTGATAAGCATACATCAAACCCCAATCACCTATCATAGTAGAAATAATCGCTATACTAAACGGTTCAAATTGACCCCAATACGAAATGTATAGCGTTCAAAGTGAATTAAATTGTGGTGGTTTGAGAAAGGGGAGCAATCTCCCAGAGAAAACCCCTTTCTCTGGGAGATTGCTCCCCTTTCTCAAACCACCACAATTTAATTCACTTCGAACGCTATACATTTCGTATTGGGGTCAATTTGAACCGTTTAGTATAGCGATTATTTCTACTATGATAGGTGATTGGGGTTTGATGTATGCTTATCAGGGCTTCTCTTTCCTTCTTCCGACTAATAGCTAACTTAGGTTTTTAGCAGCAGCAGGTGCCCTCGAAGGCATCGTGAGAAGGGTCCTAGACTTATATCTATATAGACAGCAATTATGAGTACTCAAACACCAGCAACTGCAACTTTATTTTCTAGTAACAAGAAGTGATCTTCTCATTGAGAACACGTAGGAACAGTCCCAGTATCTTTTAGGGCGTCCTGCAGATTAACTTATTTCTTTTGCCAGTTAGCTCATTTAGTGGGGTCCTGTAGAGGTAGGTGCCCATGAAGGCACAGTTAGTTTTTTGCAATATCGTTTAAAAACTCTTATTGGGAATTCAATCAATTGTTGGTCCTCTCTACCTCTCAGAGACAAGTATTTATACATTGGTTTGCAGCACAAATCAATAGTAAGCATTAATTTGCAACAACTTAGCTAATTAAAATGATCAATTGAGAACAATTTTTAGACACTATTTAACTGTTGATTATATGTCAAATGATTAATTTATAACAATTTGGAGATTATAATCATCTTATTTTTGTGCATCTTTCATCTCTCTACACTCCCCCTTGGTGTATTGAGAGTTTCCATATCTATTTGTTTCTTTATTCTATTTTAATCATACCATTAAAAGTTAACTTTTAACCTTATCTATTCTTAGGCAGTAGTTCTCTCCTTTTTCCTTTGAATTATATAAATACACTACACAAACACTGCATTATATAAACACTACGCAAACACACTGCATTATATACACAGTGTGTTTGTGTAGTGTGTGTATATAATGGAGTGTATATGTGTGTATATAATGGAGTGTGTTTGTGTAGTGTGCATTATAGAAACACTATACAAACACACTGCATTATAAACACAGTGTGTATGTGTATATAATGGAGTGTGTGTGTGTGTGAGGGGGCATTTTTTATTAAATTATTATTTTTTTATATTTAATTATTATTTATTTTTGTTGCCTGGCCAGGGAGGGGGGATATAGCATTCCCTGGTTGTCCAGTGGCATTGGCCGATACCGATATTGCCGAAAATACAGAATATCGGCCGATTTATATCGGTAAAACCAATAATCGGTCGATCCCTAACATGTACAGGTCCGTCTGAAGTTTGCCAATGAACATCTGAATGATTCAGAGGAAAACTGGGTGAAATTGTTGTGGTCAGATGAGACCAAAATTGAGCTCTTTCGCATCAACTCAACTCGCTGTGTTTGGAGGAGGAGGAATGCTGCCCATGACCCTAAGAACACCATTAAACATGGGAATGAAAACATTTTGCTGTGGGGGTGCTTTTGTGCTAAGGGGACAGGACAACTGCACCGCATCAAAGGGACAATGGACATAGCCATGCACCGTCAAATGGGTCGTGGATGGTTATTCCAGCATGACAATTACCCAAAACACACAGCCAAGGCAACAAAGGAGTGTGTCAAGAAGAATCACATTAAGCTTCTGAAGTGGCCTAGTCAGTCTCCAGACCTGAATCCTATAGAAAATCTGTGGAGGGAGCTGAAAGTTCGAGTTGCCAAATGTCAGCCCCAAAACCTTAATGATTTGAAGAGGATATACAAAGAGCAGTGGGACAAAATCCCTCATGAGATGTGTGCAAACCTGGTGGCCAACTACCAGAAACATCTGATCTCTGTAATTGCCAACAAGGGTTTTGCCACAAAGCATTAAGTCGAAGGGGTCAAATACTTATTTCACTTATTGACATGCAAATCAATTTACAATTTTTTTTGACTTGCATTTTTTTTTTTTTTTTGTTGTTGTTGTTGTTCTGTCTCTCAATGTTAAAATACACCTACCATTAAAATTATAGACTGATCATTTCTTTGTCAGTGGGCTAACGTTCAAAATCAGCAGGGGATCAAAAACTTTCCCTTCACTGTATCTCTTACAAATTCTTAGAGTAATGGCTAAGGATAGTGTTAAAGATACACTTCTGCTCCTTAAATAGCCTACATTAGTAGTTATGGTACCTGTAGTGCATTAGTGCTCTCAAAGAATGGTTTGATAACTTTCTTTCAACCAACACCTGCAGCATTTGCTGCTCCTGTCAGGAGAATCTGGTTAGCTACACTGAGCTAAGCAATGCAGTGCAGGGCCACGTTTATTGGCTGAGAATGTCAGCTGAGCACTCATGGCAAATGAGTGTAGTCTTGGATGGGTCAGGCTTAGCTTAACCCCTTAAGGACCAAACTTCTGGAATAAAAGGGAATCATGACATGTCACACATGTCATGTGTCCTAAAGAGGTTAAAGGAACACTATAAGGTAAGTCGAAAACTCTCCTCTATTCCAGCATCGCGCTGGCTTCTCCCCCGATCTGTGTCTATGGCTGAGATTGTCAATTCTGATGAATTCAGCCAAAGAGGAAGGGTATGGGCAGAGCCAAACACACCACTGGCCATTCGGCATCTCCTGAAAGTTCAGTGTATCCATGCACTTGTGCAGCACTGAACTAGGAAGCAACTCTAGTGGCTTTCTAGTATGTGTCACTGATACTCAGTGTTTCTTTAGTGTAAGGGTAAAAGTTAGAAAAAAGGTTGTAGATTTGGGACATTAAGGTTGTGATTTTAAAGACAAGTTTCCTTGAGGGTCACTGGTAAAGTTATCTTCTCTCACAGCGCTGTACTTCCAGGCACTTGTGCACAGCTACACACTGATGTCACAGACACTGTTTGACACTCGTCAGTTTGGTGACGTTGTGTCACTTTATCAGATGGCATCAGTGGAAACCACACTAAGAATCATATCAAAATAGTGGTATGTGTCTAATTTAAAGGGATCCTATAGTGCCGGGAAAACAAACCAGTTTTCCTGGCATTATAGGGTCTTACAGTACCCCCTCCCGTGGGGTTAGAACCCTTTCAGCCACTTAACTGAATCCAGCGCCAATGTCCCTCGGCGCTGGGACAGGTTCCGCCCACGCTCATCCCCCGCCCACTTCAGCTGGCGGTGGAGACCTAATGTGCATTATTCAGTTCTTTCCTATGGGGGAAAATCTGACGCTGGAGGTCCATGAGGACGTACAGTGTCAGATAACGGACCAAAAGTCAGTTTGGATTCCGGAAGTGGCTGGGCAGACTTAGAGCTGCAATGTAAAAATCGCAGTTCTCTGGAACTGCAATGGTTTACATTGCAGCACTAAGTGCAATAGTGAGACAGCACCCAGACCACTTCGATGAGCTGAAGTGGTCTGGGTTCCTACAGTGTACCTTTAAGATTATGACATTACAAAAAACTTGGATAAGGTACAAGTTGGACTTAGCAGCTGTTTAAAAAGAAACTGTAAGCACCCAAACCACTTATTTTCATTGAAGTGACCTGGGTGCAGTGCCCCTGAACCCTGGAAGTGAAAGCATTGCAGTTTTAGAGAAACTGTAATGTTTACCTTACTGAGTTAAAGGGACACTACAGTCACCAGAACAACTATAGCTTAATGTAATTGTTCTGGTGTTCTTTTAAGATGCTAGTGTGTCCCTTCCTTTGAAAATTTTACCCAGCGTATATTCTTGGAAGATGGCTGAGATCCAATCAGCTTGAATCAATGACTGTCATAGAAAATCATTACTTCAGCCCCTTTTTGGAGCTTTGCAGGGTGTGGGTGACTTTCACAAACTTAAATATATACCATTTCTTTTTTTTATATTGTATACTATAAAGATTTTATTAAGATTACATTTTTTAAATCTTTTTAAAGGGCAGCCTCTATCAAGAAAAATATATAGTAGTAGAAGCGTAGAGATTGAAGTGAAGGAAGTCAGTGATACCGATCACTTGGCATACACACACTGTAGTCTAAGAAGCCGGAAGTCCCTCTAGACAGCCACTAGAGGAGGACTTAACCCTGCAAGGTAAATATTGCAGTTTATAAAAACTGCAATAATTACACTTGCAGGGTTAAGGGTGATGGGAGTTGGCATCCAGACCACTTCAATGAGCTAAACAGTGCCTACAGCGTCCTTTTTAAGTGCTGCAACAATGGTGGACTTCAGAGATGAATCCCAGTTATAACAATTTCCCCCACTTTATTAGTCAAGACAGCAAACCGAAACAAGGATAAAATCTAAATGTCAAGTCACAGAAAAAAATAATTTCACGTTACATTCCTATTTTCTCTATTCTTCTTAATCGGCAGTTATCAATCAGTTGTTTGACACATTCTAAAATGGTTTAACTACTTACTCCAAATTACACCTAGTTCCAAAAGCACTATAGCAAGTGCTTTAATTTGCATAAGGAGGTCTGGCTAAAAGTTTGGAGTTATGCAAATTAAAGCTGCATATTTTTTTTTCTCTTTAACAGAAAATGAAGAGAAAAAAATGAGAGTTAGGAAACCAATACATTTCAATTGCACAGACTAGTAGAGATCAAATGCTATACTATTTTAATCTTCTCATAATCTGTGGAACCAGGCAATTTTGACTTCAAAGGGGTTCTCTAAAGCAATATAGGAAAATCTCCTTGTGATGAATTGAATGTTTACATGGATTGCTCCTTCTGGGAAAGCTCCTTAATCTGTTTAGGTTCACTGCAACTTTTCACCAAGACAGACTAATATAGTATTGTATATGTTTTTGCAGGCAATCTTCTGTATTTTCTTCTGGCAGCAACATCACCAGTGCTTAGTATTTTATGTATCCATTAATTTTTTTTTTTATATTATAGTTTTCTCTCATGTCTTCTTTAGGGCCTTCGTCGGGATTACGGGTAACACTGATGAAGGTCTATCTACCGCAAATAATCTGAAAACATTCATTCAATCAATTGTCCCACTGTTAATTGAGTGTTGGATTGAGGAATGTCCTGGAGATATTTCTGGAAACCTTCTTAATCCTGTATCACATAATCTTCTACAACAAGTGCTCAGCATAATTTCTCTTCTATGGAAGTTTAGTGAACACCAAGATGGATCTCCAAAAATGGTAGGAGATTAATTTATTTATCAGTTGGTTTCTAAGTTTTGACATTGTGGATCTCATATGCATGGCGATGGTTCTGATCTGGATGTTGAAGTCTGTCTGAGAGGATATGGCTAGGTGCCAAAAATAATGCAGTGAGGACAAATGTATTAAAACTCCCCACAGTGCATCACCTGCATGTTTCAAGTTGGACTTTGAGGGGTCCTTCTTGTTCATTTCAAAGTTCAGTTTGGCTGAATATCATCCAAGAAATAACATTTTGGCAACCATACAGACAAACCAAAAAAACTGGCCAATCATTCATGTTTTCTTTTGCCGAATGTACACATTGATACAACCCTACAAAGCAGCTGCAGCACACAAGCACAACCATATGACAATGCAAAAAATAAATTTAAAAAAATAATAGAACTGACACACATAGGGACTTTAAAGTATTGTCTTGGTACAGTACTCCTAAACGCTTGCCTCCCCCTGGTGTAGCGATTAGTGTAGTCTCTCTGCCGCCTTTTATTCTTTTTCCTGGATTCCATTTCACACTGGCTTGTCCACATAGGATTCCATTTGGCAACAAGTAGCGAAATCTAATTTAAGGCAAACATATTTGCATGAATAATTCCTTGAATTTCTATATAACGTGCTTCTGAGAAATGTAGATATAAACAAAGTGAAACAAAGAGTGTGTCTCAGAAGCGCCATCAGTCTTTAGACAGCCAGAGTGTGTCTCAATAAGACAATAGTCAGGAAGGCAGTAACCTCTTAAAATCTTTGCTTCTTTGTTGTTGTAGAATAAACTGTTGTGTTATAAGGAAAAATTGATTCATCAAGAGATGAGTAGGGACTGGTGTATAGTTGATATAGTTGTGCCATAAGCTGGACAGATATGTGCAAGACTAAATGGGTCACCCAGTATGTTTTATGTTTGTTGTATTTTTGATTATAGGATGGATGGCTTCGAACAAGTTACCTTAAAGATTTCAAGCATCATTTTATGAAAAAATTTCCATACTCCTTATGTGATGCCATTAAACAGAAGAAAAAAAAAATGAAAAGGTAAAATTCGAACTTTTTACCTTTCCTTAAAGGACACTGAAGGCACTTTTAATCTCATGGAGTCCCCTGGAACAGTCCCTCAATTCAGTGGTAAACAATGAGCAGGTTTGGCTTTTCATGGCAGTGCCCTAACTGGAGGTATGGCTAAGGGGTAGTCAACCTTATAATACCTACCGCCCACTTTTGTGTCTTTGTTGATAGTAAAATGTCCTTACTGCCCACCTGTGACTCAGTAACTCATTTTATAGTGCAAGTGCGAATCTTTTTTTTTTTTTTTCTTCTTTCTTTATTGTCCCTTTTAAAAAAAATAAAGTGTGTGAGGGGGGTTGCTGTGTGTGTGTGGGGGAGGTGGGGATGCATAGGGTCTATGCTGTGTGTAGGTGGGTGATAAGTGAAAATCTATCTTAATGTCTCCCCCTGCCTTCTTCTTACCTTTTACCAGGCAGGGGGGAAATAATGCTGCAAGCCCTGGTTGTCCAGTAGTGGCATGTTCACTTTACAAAAATGTTCCAAAGAGAAGGAACCAAAAAGCATTGGATAACCATTAGGAATAAGAAAACACCTAATTTAATTCTGTGAACAACACATACAAAGGGAATCTAAGAGACAATACCCTCACATGTAAGTCAATGCTAATTCATGGGAAAATCCTTTTATTAAATGCTAGGATAAATGTTGAGTGGTATGTCTACTAAATGTCTCAAAGGGGGTAGGTTTACCACCACTGAGGAGGATAATATAGAGAAGTAAAACTCTATCTCAGTGTTACTTGTAAAAATGAGTCATAGTATTCTAATTGTATCAAAAATATGTATATCTACTCTCTCAAAGTAGTAAGAAAGTTGCAGTAAATAAAGTGTCAGATACGGATAATTTACACAGGGACGTACCAAGAGTAGGAGACTAAGAGTCCTATTACGATCGTGCACACTTTACGTATCTATCAGTGAGTTACCAGACACCTAAGATAAAAGAAATCTCGCTGCTAGACTCAGGATAACTATTCCTACTGGCTGTTAGATTTCTATGATGATTAGATACTGATGGCTCATATATATATAATAATAGTAGATCCCTCACTCAAAGTTCCTTAAGGCAACGGCTGCCATACAGTTCAATACCTCCTGAGATAAGTCTGAGATAAACTAAATCAGATAACACAAAGTGCTACATTAGTAAGCCGAAAAACACCAAATGAAAAGTGAAAACAAAGTGTACAATACGCCCGACACGCGTTTCGGCGCTACTACAATGCGCCTTCGTCCAGGGCTAGTGTAAAGACAGGTTCGTACCCTTGTAAATATCGGCACCAATTAGCTAATACACGCCCATTGGTTCCATTCAACCAATTGTATTATATTTGGGGCGTGGAAAACAGGATGGTGATCCAAATCCCCACCTCTTCGATCCAGTCTCACATGTTCTATCCCAGCGAAGCGTAAATCCTGTAAGCGGCCTGAATGGTGTTCCCTTAAATGCCTGGCGATTGTTGTTTCGTTTTTGTGTTTAACTGAACGAATATGTTCTAAAATACGTAGTTTGAAATGTCTAAAGGTCTTCCAAACTTTTTTTTTTTTTTTACCACAGGAGCAGGTCAAAAGCTAAAACTACTCCTGTGGTATTACAGTTGAAGAAATACTTAACTTGGATCTTATTGTCATCTGAACTATCCTCCATGGCTTTAGAGTCCCGTAGGACAAATTTACACGCCACGCACTTGCCACATTGGTAGATGCCTCTTAGCGTGTTCTTAAGCAATGGATTTTATAGGAGATAGGTGACTTGGTACCAGAAAATACTTAAGGTTCTCTTCTAGCAGTTAGTGATGCATTGGGAGTTAAAGGACCACTATAGTGCCAGGAAAACATACTCGTTTTACTGGCACTATAGTGCCCTGAGGGTGCCCCCACCCTCAGGGTCCCCCTCCCGCCCGGCTCTGGAAAGGGGTTTAAACTTACCTTTTTCCAGCACTGGGCGGAGAGCTCTCCTCCTCCGTTCCGCCCCGTCGGCTGAATGCGCACGCGCGGCAAGAGCTGCGCGCGCATTCAGCCGGTCGCATAGGAAAGCATTATCAATGCTTTCCTATGGACGCTGGCGTGCTCTCACTGTGAAAATCACAGTGAGAATCACCCAAGCGCCTCTAGTGGCTGTCAATGAGACAGCCACTAGAGGAAACAGGGGGAAGGCTTAACCCATTAATAAACATAGCAGTTCCTCTGAAACTATGTTTATATAAAAAAAATAGGTTAACCCTAGAAGGACCTGGCACCCAGACCACTTCATTAAGCTGAAGTGGTCTGGGTGCCTAGAGTGGTCCTTTAATACATGTTTTAGGTGTGCATCTTGTTTAAGTATAGGAAGGCTGAAATTGATGGACGCAAGTCTCTTTTCAGCTATGTAACTATGTAATATAGGCCAAAATTGGTTGAGTATCATTTTGGCCAGTCCCCACCCCTGATCAAAATCCGCAATGTATCTACTGATCCTGTTTTTTGTTGGGTATTTTTTTAATTGGGTAACTAAAATAATATATGAGGGTGGTGCAGTAGGCATTGCTTACCTATATTCCAGTAAGGCTTTTGACACTGTTTCACATAGGCTTATCAATAAACTGCAATCTTACGTTTGGATTCCAATATTGTTGAATGGGTAAGGCAGTGGCTGAGTGACAGGCAACAGAGGGTTGTAGTCAATGGAGTAATAGATATAAGCCAAAAGGCAAATGAGTTGTGGCAGCTGACATTTAATGTGGATAAGTGCAAGATAACATATCTTGGACGTAAAAACCCAAGGGCAGATTACAGAATATTTGATTAGAGTCCTAACCTCAACATCTGAGGAAAGGGATTTAGGGGTAATTATTTCTGATGACTTAAAAGTAGGCAGACAATGTAATAGAGCAACTGGAAATGCTAGCAGAATGCTTGGTTGTATAGGGAGAGGTATTAGCAGTAGAAAGAGGGAAGTTCTCATGCCATTGTACAGAACACTGGTGAGACCTCACTTGGAGTATTGTACACAGTACTGGAGACCGGATCTCCAGAAAGATATTGATACTTGAGAGAGTGAGTTCAGCAAAGGGCTACTAAACTGGTTCATGGATTACAGGATAAAACTTACAAGGAAAGGTTAAAGGATTTTAACATGTATAGCTTGGAGGAAAGATGAGACGGAGAATATGATGAACAAGTTTTAAATTAGAGGGGCAAAGGTTTAAAAATAACAGGAAGTATTACTTCCTGATATTTATCAGGAAGTGTAGTGGATGAATGGAATTATCTCCCCTGCTGGCCTTAGACAATGGCCATCGAGGCCCACCTGGCTTTTTAGTGGGCGGTAGGGGCCAGGTTGACTACCCATTGGTTACACACTTCCCTCTAGCCATATCGATTCACACATGCAATGGCACTGAGGCTGAACTGGGTCAACTGACACTCCCAGTCAAGTACAGTTGCCCATTGTTGCTGAGGCCAATGCTACCTCCTTCTTAGACACTTGTTTAGAATTTTACTAAAATCTGAATAATGCTGAATGGAAGTACAGTACCAGGGGACTCCAGATACTATAGCCTCTTCAATGAGAGAAAGTAGTTACATTGCCCCTTTAAATCTGAACGGTGTTCTTGTTAACTCTTTGAAGTCTTTATTTCATTATAGTGGCTCATTGTGCAATTCTGTGCATTTTACAAGATCACTTGAATGTAGTGAGAGTGTTAATTTTTCCTGTATAGAAGTATGTGCCTTAACTTTCATCACGGGAATGCTATTTATAACTCAAATGCTTAAGGAACCAAACTAAACTGCTTCAAATTCCATCTATACGTTGTGCTAGCAATTATGTGATTGCTATGGTAACTCCCTAGCCAATGCTGCTTGTGCTGGTTAGGGAGTATAGGACCTGAGTGACCTGAATAACAATGCCAGTGTGTTGGCATCATGGAGCAGATTTGCCCTGCTTGGGCAAGTTTCCCTAAACAGGGCAGTCAGCAATTAGCTAAGGAGGAGCCTGGTAAGTGGTGCCCATTTCACTTTAACTACTATAACTTATACAGTTCTATGGTTTTCTTTGTTTTCCTGTCATCATTTAGGAGACATCTCTTCCTTTTCAGTGATAATGCAAATATACACCTCCCCCTGACAAAGTGCGTATTGAGTATTATGGGGAAATGATACTTGCATTAAGCTCCACTCTTTATTATTATTTGTCAAGCATTGGAAAAATATCCAAGACAAAGTAGTCTTTACTCTCTTATGTATTTAAAGAAAAATAGCTTCTGAAATAGGAGAGAAAAGGAAATGACAGTAGAAAAGCAATTTTGTGGTAGAAATTAAAGCAATTTCATTTATGCAAGTATGACTATGTTTAGAAAATATATGTTCATTTTATACCACAGTATGTTAATTTGTGAACGAACATAGCAATTTGTAATGTATGGTGTTTTATTTCCCCTCAACAGCAAAGACTGTGTACTTACAAACAATGGCCTGGACAGTCTCTTATTAAATTTAACATTGTGTGACATCATGGTATCCCTTGCAAGTGCCACAACACTAGAAGAGGATTCAGGATGGTTAGCCATGATTAGAATGTTTGTCATAGACAAGCTGATGCACGGAGCCAAGCTAAACTGCAAGCAATTAAAAAGGTTGCTTGAGGTAACCAGCAGACTTCTAAATATTCAGAGGAATAGAGGTATGTGAGGACTTAAGATTTAAATAATAATTTTTAAATTTGTGTTTTCAACTGTTGCATTCTATTGTAATTCACTTTTGGTTAATCTTTCTTAAATTGTTATAGTTCTGCCTGGTTTAATGTTAAAATCTGAGCACAAAAAAATGAAGCTGAGCAAAACGCCACAAAATAGATTTTTAAAAATGATCTATGTGCAAAAAGACAAAAAAAAGCAAGAAAAGAACCGAGAGAATACAAGCAAAAATAAGTAAATGGACCACACAGCTCCAAATCAGTGATCTAAAAAAAATAGAATATCACTTAAATGTCGCTCAACAGGAAAACAAACTACCATACAATGCTCATAGAAAAATAATTACGTTTCCCAAAAGCACGATGTGCAACGATAATGAAAAATTGGCTTTTTAAACAAATAAAAACAATGTTTTGCAATATGCAAAGTAAACTGGAAACTGGCTGTGCAATCCAAAGTGTCTGATTTTTCTATATTCCAAAATATAATAAAATGTATCTAAAGAATGTAGCAGTGGCTATTGGCTACATTAATTATGTAGTCATAGGAGTTCGCCCTAAAGCACAAACACACACGCAATGTTAAACACAATACACACCCCAGGCAAGCCATAAGACTTGCTTTTACCATAGAAATCACACTAACTAACAGTGCTCTCACTACAGCAAGGGATTCTGGGTAGGCATATGCAAATTAGCTCAACAAAGAACCACATTTGTGCCTCATAATTAAAGGATTGTACTATTATCATGACGGAAAGTCATGATTTTATTAAAGACACAGAGGCAAGTATTATGCTGCACTCTTTCTTTAATTCCCTCAGCAGCAAAGAAACATTATTTGAAAAAGATAACATTAGAACAGATATAAACATCATAATGATGATGTCCGCCTAGCAACATGACCCTCCAATCAGTGACATCCGTCTCCTATAGTAGGCGGAGCATTGATGACCATTTCCTCTTTCTTGCGAATCCCGAAGAATAAATCAACTCCGAACAAGGAACGGACAAACAAACCGGAACTATGCCTGTGCTTCAGAGACTTCGTTCAACCAAATCATGCCAAAAGAAACAAGAAAATATGGGAATGTCCAGAAATCGAGGTTTGCCAGCATATATAGAGGACTGGTCGTCTGATTAAACATTGATCATTCATAAATGTAGTATGAGGAAACTACCAGCCTGAAGATGACAGTGACAAATAAAGTCCATCATTAAATAATGCCCTAGAGCAATGTAGAAATGTGATGGCATCAGTAGCGTCAAATTGAACTTACCAAGGGGAGGTCTGTAACTTACCTTAACATCCAATCCGTCCAAGGGCGGGTGGTTGGGATAATACTCGCCTCTGTGTCTTCAATAAAATCATGACTTTCCATCATGATGATAGTAAAATTCTTGAATTTTATTAAAGACTCCTATTATGCTATTTCAAAGCTGTGATATCACGGCTTCTGCGAAATGCTGGATTGGTTTGAAATAGAAGTTACGGAAAGTAGATTCCGTGGACCAATCAGATACTTTGGAGGCCATGGCATCGCGAACTGAATGATGAGAAAATATGGAGGTATCAATGCCTGCCAAGGACATGAGCCACTTGACCCAGTGGGCCAGGGTGGGAGAGAATACCGGAGCATGCGGTTTATGAAAGGAGATAAAGAGCTGGGGTTCCAAACCAGTCCGGAGGGGTGTGGTACGAGCTTCGTACACCCTGAGACACGCTACCCGGCAGAGGAGTGGCGTTGTGGGGAAAGCCGCATATCAGACCGACCGGGAGGATGATTTTGTCCTCTGCGAGATGTCAAAAATGACTCAGTCTGGGGAGAAGGAGCAGGCATTGACATAGAGTGCTCTAACGTCTGATACTCTTTTTACATGAGATTAGGCACAATAGCATGACCAGTTTAGCCGAGAGTTGTTTCAGGGATAAAGCCTCGTTGTCTGGCCACATAGTCAGGAAGTTCAATACCAGGGAGACGTCCCATAGGGATAAATAACGAGGTAAAGGTGGCCTTGCAAAGCGGATGTCGCGGAGGATGCGACAGACAAGTGGGTGTCGCCCTACCGGGGTACCGTCAATGCCGGTGTGGCCGGCTGAAATCGCTGAGCGGTAGAGGTTTACCGTCCGATAAGCTTTTCCATTCTCATAGTGGGAAGTTAAGAATTGGAGGACTGTTGTCACAGGAGTTGATAGGGGATCCACACCCCTTGACACGCACCAATCATCCCATGTGCGCCAAGCAGACTTGTAAGACTGTCTCGTGCCGGGTCCCCATGCGCCCTTGAGAAGTTGGAATCGATTGCCCAGGGTCCCCGGAAATTAACCATGCCGTGAGGCGAAGGAGACCCTGGAGGGTCAGGGGGTGGTGGCTCCCGTCTGGTTCCCGCAGGAGGGAGTGGGAGTCCGGGAGGAGTCTTGGGCGATCTATAGCCATCTCTGGTAATGGAGGGAACCAGTGTTGGACAATCCTGGTAGATATTCTGCTCTGACAGCAATGTTGTGTTGAAGGAAAAATTGCCAGAAGTCTCGAGACAGATTTGCTTGGACTTTGGACCTCGTGCCTCCCAGATGGTTTATATAATGGACAGCCGAGATGTTGTCCATCTTCAACAGAATTGAGCACTGGGATAGGGTCGGGGATAGGTTGCGAATCGCAAAGGACCCCGGAAAGCAATTTATATGTAAGGTAGACTCTAATTCCGACCATCGCCCGCCTGTGGAGACATCTCCGCAACGAGCTCCCCACCCGTAAGAGCTCGCGTCTGACTCTGACTACATCTGGAGCTGAACCGAAAAGGGCTTTGCCATTCCACGGCTCCATGTGTAGGAGACACCAGTGGAGTTCTTCCTTTGCTTCTGCATCTAGTGTCAGAGAATCCTCGTATGAGGCACCGCTCCTGAGGTATGATGCCTGTAGGCTCTGTAGTGAAGGGGGCCTGGAAATATGGCCTGTATAGAGGCAGCCAGGAGCCCGATGACACGGGCCAGGTGCTTGAGAGATAGTTGAGGGGAGGCCAGAACACACCTTATCTCTTTTTGATACTCCTCATTTTGGAGGTAGGTAAAAATAGGGTTTGCATCACCGAATCCACCAGGAGGCCTAGGAACTCTATTTACTGAGTGGGATCTAGTATGGATTTTCCCCAGTTGATAATGAATCCCAGGTTCTGTAGTAAGGTTGTGGTCCAACTGAGGTGAGTATGCAGTAGGGGCACCGATTGGGATAGCAGTAAGATGTTGTCTAAGTAAATGATTAGACGAATCCCCCGACTGCGTAGAAGCGCAATAACTGGTTTCATGAGCTTGGTGAAGCACCAAGGAGCAGAAAAGACCGAAGGGAAGGCAGCGGAACCGCCATTTCCTTCCTTGCCATGTGAATTGCAGGAAATCCTGATGGGCCTTCGCAATGGGCACTGTGAAATAAGCGTCTCTTAGATAGAATTTTACCATCCAGTCTGATGGTTGGAGCAAATCCCGTAGTCAATGAATGCCTTCCATTTTGAAATGGTGGTAGCTTACATAGGAATTTAGGTGTTTGAGATTGATGACTGGGTGGGTACCGCCACCCTTCTTGGGGACAATAAACAGGTTGCTCACAAAACCCGAGGATTTCTAGAATAGCCCCTTTGAGTACCAACTCTTGGATTTCCTCGGAGACGAGCATTGTGTTTACTTTAGGGTTAATCCTCTAGTGGCTGTCTCATTGACAGCCGCTAGCGGCGCTTCCGCGCTTCTCACTGTGATTTTCACAGTGAGAAGACGCCAGCTTCCATAGGAAAGCCTTGTGAATGCTTTCCTATGTACTGGCTGAATGCGCGCGCATTCTGCCGATGACGACGTCGCTATGGAGGAGGAGGAGGAGAGTCCCCCGCCCGGTGCTGGAGAAAGAGGTAAGTTTAACCCCTTCCTTTGTTTTATGTGCCTAATATAATCACCTAAAGTCTCACCTTGCCCAGCCCGCATAGTGGGCTATGTTTTGCAAGGTGTTATACCAACTATATGTCCACACATCTTTCCTACATGATAACAGAAGGGCAAAATCTCCTTTTAATCCCACATCCCTCCACCCATAGGCTCCAGGGGCCGCTTTTTTCAATCTATTTTGCAGGTACCCAGTACCTGTACACTATTCTGGACATAGTTATTTTTCTGTTTTATGTTCGAAACCTTTCTATTTTTTTATTTTTTTTGGTATCTGCCTCGATAAGCACAGACCGACAACCTTCCAGTAGCCATAAATGCGCCTTCACTCTAATCTCTCTAGCTAAGTCATGGCAACCAAAAGTTGTAAAATACAACTCCTATGACATCACATTACCCATGTTTCCCTTGAACAGCACTATTCGAAGCCCTGCAACATTTCTTCCCCAACCCTACAGAGACACCCACTGCTAGAGACCACTAGATTTGAGATGCATGAAAATTGTTCATAAAATGGCACAACCTTCATGTATGTACTGGATGGAGGGGGGGTCCTGGCTGGCCTGGATGGACACATTCCCCTTCCCACACAGATGATCCACATGACTCTTGCCAACAACGCAATCCGTGAATTATTTCTATGGCTATAACATTTTTCTCCCTTAATGCTAAGGGTCTTAATTCCCCACACAAAGTACTCCTCAGCACAAGTAGCTAGTGCTGTGTTCATCTCTAAACCATTCTAAATCACAAATGGCACCTGTCAGGGTGCCCTCTCTCGCCCCTGCTTTTTATACTGACCCTGGAAATATTAGCATATCAAATTAGGACCAACCCAAACATTACCGGCATTGGCATACAAGACATAGACTGTCTCTCAATGTTTGCAGACGACCATCTATTGTCCATTGACAACCCTCCAGATCCCTTCTGGCCATTCTGCATATTCTTTACAACTATGGCAAACAGACTAACAGAAGGACAGGTTGAGAAATTCCACCTATGGGCACCTGTCTCATCTCTACAAAATATCTCACCTTGGCTGTCTGTCAATAAATGGCACAAACTGGGCATTACACACACAGAACACTTTTATGACTCACTGTTGACATTCCCAGAACTACAATCACACTATACAGTTTCAAACGCATGTGTTTTCTTATATTCAATTAAGAAGTATACTATCTAGATCAGGGGTGGGCAATCTGCGGCACTCCAGATGTGTTGGACTACATCTCCCATAATGCTCTTAGGGCCGTAATGCTAGCAGAGCATAGAGGGAGATGTAGTCCAAAACATCTGGAGGGCCGCAGACTGCCCACCCCTGCTCTAGATGGGTTCAACTCCAATCACCTTTCGAACCCCAACTACTATATGATAGAATTCTATAAACGATGCCGCGCATCACCAATCAAACCTAAAGCCCTCTCGTTATGTTTACCACCACAAAACTTTACATACATATCCCAGTGGAGGGTGGAATGTAACCTGGCTCCAGACGCCTCAAACTGGAATAAAATACTTCACGCCCTCAAAGGCCTGACAACTATTCTCACAATGAAGCCCACAAGAAATTAAAATACAGGCGGTACTTCACACCCAGCCACCTACACAAACTTTTCCCTACAGTGCCAGCTACATGCTGGTGATGTGGAGAGGGGGAAGGCAACATGATCCACATATGGTGGTGCTGCCCCACTCTCAAACATTTGTGGTCCAGGGTTCATTTTCTTTTTCACAACATGCACTTCAGGGATATCCCCGTTACACCACTTACCCTCCCCCCTTCCCCCCCCCCCTTATATATATGATTTGATGTCTGCCATCATCCCAAATCAATCTACTCAAATTAGAACCTTTTGGTAACCTTGGCTAGACTACAGAAGCAAAACTCAAATAACCACGAGCACCTCAACATGACTTATTGGCGTGCTCTAACATCCACGCTCCGAATCCAAAAAGCAATCACAAAGAACCACCATCTATACATTCGTCCTTTAATTTGTTTCTTTGACTTTACTATGTTGAGGTTCCGTAAATTATTGATATACCTCAACAAAACGATTCTATATGGGTTAGCCCTACTCACTCATTTATTTTAAGCGTACCGATCGCTCACCACCGACCCTGTTATAGAGATGGCACATTACATGCCCTAGTTAATTTCATTACACTACACAATGATCGCAAATTTAGGACGCAAGAGATACCTCCTCTCACTTTTTTTCTTTTTCTTTTTTCTTCTTCTTTACTCCCTGTATATATACACCCTTCGTAATTCTGTAGAGGTTTCAATTCTGATGACCCATATCCGCTCCACCACACGTGTACTGAATTTGAATGTTAGATGCGTAATATGTATGCCATACCCCAAACTTTTATTTTTTTTGTACCCCACTATTGAATATGAAAACTCAAACTGCTATTACAAAAAAGAATACAAAGTTGCATTCCTAACACTATAGTGCTCTCTGGGCCCCCCTCTCCCTGTGACACATAAAGGGTTAAAAACCCATTATTTGCTCACCCGATTCCAGTGCCGATATCAGTCTTGACATCCAATTGGGTGTGGGGGGGAGGGGAAGCACCTTAGGCCCTCCTTATAAGAAACTTTGCCTCAATCCTACAGGGTTTTCGCGGACGCTGGGTGTCCTCCTGCAGAGCGTGAAGACAGCCAGTGTCCTGTAAGTTTCCGGAAGCGCTTCTAGAGGCTGTCTAGTACACAATCACTAGGGGCTGGCTTAGTCTGGTTTCTCTAAAGCTGCAAAATTTTACATTGCAGGACTATGGGGAACATGGCAGTGCACCCAGACATCTTCAATGAGTTGAAGTTGTCTGGGTGCCTATAGTATCCCTTTAACACTGCGTATATTTGTTTATAAAGCCTATCTGTGTGTTCCAAGGATTTTATCTTTGCATATTTGTGTTTTTGGGTAACTTTTTTGTTTTTCTATGAACATTGTATGGTAGCTAGTTTTCCTGCTGAGTGTTACTTAAGTGATATTTCCTCTTTTTATCAATCTTTTGAAGCTGAGTTGTCTATTTACTTATTTTCTGCTTGTATTCTCTTTTTTTTTTCTGTTCTATCCTGCATTGAAATTAGTAATATTTTGATGCCTCTATGGTTCCCCATACATTTTGGTTTGTATTAAGTTTTGTGTGTATCCGGTACCCGTTTGATGCTCTTACCTTCTTTTTAATTTCCTTTGCGTTATTTCATCCTTGACTTTCTTTGCTATAAATCTGTTTTGAGGCAGTTGTGTACTGCAGGGCTCAAAATGTATAAATGCCAATAATAACTCAAGCTGTTATTCCACCCTAAAATATGAACTTTTTTTCAACAAGTTAATTGTAAAATAATTTAACAAAATTGTAGAAGTTTGGGCATTATCAGCTTTCTTAACCTCAAAGTAAACAAAACAAAATGTGAGCCAGAGTATTTATTTTGGTGTTCCTTGAAACAGATTTTGTTAAATACAACCTATTTAAAAATAGAAAATGATGCAAAATTAATGTATGGAAGTTTCTGAATTAAGTTGTATTGTACTCATGACTGCTTGCAGCCCATAAGGGTGGAGGGAAGCTTGCAACAACTCTCTGCTTCCTGGTGGAATCAGAACCTGGGGCTTTACCTGCAATACTGAGCTCTGTCACGTGAAGCGCTGTGCTTGATAAAGTTATCATGAGACAGCTCCCCAGTGCTTAAAATCAGGCCTAAAATGTATAGTACAGTGATTTAAGTAGATGAATATATAAATGCATGTTGTAGTGATCGTGCAACTAATTAAATAATTGATGTTTTGTTTTATTTAGCGGCCACGGAAAAATTGATTCATGCAGTGTACATGATGTATCAGCAGAAGGATTTACTTTTTCCTGTGCGTTCAATGCTACTGAATTTTTTTAATAAGGTTTACTTAAAGGAAGAGGATATGTGTCTCAATCTGGGGAGGTAAATATGTGTACATCTGTGTACTAATTTGCTAGTTTTCCAATTATCTGAGCCTACTGCCCATGAAAATACTGTATCTTGCAAATTTAGTACTTTGCCATTTGTCTTTTATGATGGTCTATAATAGCCTTATGCATTGGGAATATCTGACTGCAAAAAATACATTTTGTTCTGTGTACCAGATGTTTTGGCAGGGGTAGTTGATTAAATGGTTACACATACATTGCTAAAACATTTGGTATGTTCTTTGTAATATATTTAAAGAAACCTGTATGTTCTTGCTCGTAATTATTTAAGCATAACTAGTGCTTAAAGGATCACAAACATGTAGACCATATAGTGAAAACCCACCATTTAGGTGGCTTGTCCCCCCCTCCCTTAGCCCCCTCAGAATGGGTTAAAACTCACCTTATTTTCAGCTCTCCACGGGTCTACCGGCGCTGGTCCCGCTCCCTTGGTTACATCATCAAACTTGCCGATTTTTAGGCAATCTGTGGGTAAACCATTTGGCTAAAATCGGCACGGGGTGGGGCGGGGCCAAACGCTGTTTTGGCCAATCAGCACCTCCTCATAGAGATGCATTGAATTGATGCATCTCTATGAGGAAAATTCAGCTACTTCATGCAGAGCGTGGGGATGCTGAATGGCAGGGCTGCTTACTGTGCAGCCCTGAGCTAGGAAGCACCTCCAGTGGACATCTAAGAAATGGCCACTTGGAGGTGTCCCTAGGGGCAATATAAACACTGCCTTTTCTCTGAAAAGACAGTGTTTACATGAAAATGCCTGAAGGGAGATATTCTACTCACCAGCACAACTACATTAAGCTGTAGTTGTTCTGGTGACTGTAGTGTCCCTTTAATAGTACTGATGTTTGCTTTCCTTTGTAAGCCCCTAAAAGAATGTATAAAGAGTTGTTACTCCAGGAACGAGTTTGACTTAAAGGAAAGATATTTGCTCAAATCATGAGTGTCCAAGTTCATTCTTGGAGCATCCAGCATATCTGTATTTTATGGGTCAGAAAGTTTTCACTACATATTCCAAAGTGTAGATAAGAGAATGCTGTAGCACCCGCAGTAGTTCTTTCTGGAAATACTCTCCTCTGTGTTCCTCAAACTTTCATAAGAGTTCTACAATTAAGAATCTCTTAACTTCAAACAAGGATAAAAGTTTGGATCCTCAGGATATTAAAGTAACAGTCCCTTATCAAAATTGTCCTGTATAAACTTTAGCATGCCTGTGACTGAAAAATAGTAGAATCATGGTTGTCCCACTCAACGGAAGCTGGCCACAGTAGAAAGCTATTGATGTAGATTGCTCCCCAGGGCAACTCTTTTGTGGAGCACATATAAGTGAGAGAGGCGAATGTGCCCGTAACCTGTTTTGTTTTTAATGTTTATTTTTCTCTCTTCTCCATTTTGTTGCTTGAAAACATTAAAACATGTATATATTTTTTTATTTTTTTTTAAATAGAAGCAGAAGCAAAGTTTTATCTCGTTGGCTTGCTAACCTTCCTCTGCAACTTGCTCAGCTGGGCTCCAAAAACCCTAATCTTTCCGCATTAATGATTGAAACAATCTATACTGCTGCATCTCGTTCAAACAAAGAATTACTGCAAAGCCTTCAGAGCACTGCTTGTGAAATTTATGGTATATACTACTTTTATGTTTTCTTAATTTGAACTGTATTTTAGTAACATCAGAAAATACAGACTTTGGACTGAGATAATCCCATATATCTCTATTCTCCCGGGTATAGTATGACACCCACACATATGTTAATTCTGGAGTGTTTCCAGCCCAGGGTAGTTCCTGTCACAAACCTATTACTAAATGAAGATATATTTCACAAAAATTATGCTCATGTATCCTAGCAGTTTAATTATTAAAAAATAATAATTTTAGTGTATTGTGAATATGACTGTGTATATTTAGGTCCTACATTTACCCCTTCATTGTCTATACCCATTTTGAAGGTATATTATCATACCCCAGAACTGGGCATACACAATTTTACAAGTGAAATTAGTTTACAGCTAACACATTTTGTTGGCACTTGTTGCCCTATGGTTGGATTGGCAACCTTTGACTTGCCAGATGATGGAAATGTAGTCAACAACATCTGAAAAGCTGGAGGTTGCCTGCTTGACCCTGATAGGGACCCAGGTGTGGCGAAAGCTGCCTCGCCACTGGACATTTGAGAGGCCTGGTTGCCCGCCTCCTACCTGCTGACTATGGCCCCTTGTGAATTTGTACTTTTGAATGCAATATTTGGGCATATGGTATTTTATATTGCTGCTACTGGCCCTTTAAGGGCCATCCGTGGACATATTATGACTGTTAGGAACAATGCCCTTTAAGACTGTGTAGCAGATTGCATTCAGGCTGTATTTAATATTATGTGTTCGGTAAACGGTGTTATGTGTATGCAGCATTCGCCTGATTGTTCGGTAGAATCACTCCATTCATTATATTGGGTGAAACTACCAAACAACCAGACCACCCTGGAGTAAGTGTGCCTCCAATTACTGTTTGCAACAATGTTGCAAACGGGTAATTGCCAATCTGTGTAATGTGTTCTTTGTCCTCTGGGGGGCCGCCATTCGGGAAACGAACACGTGGCGGCCGCCATCTTAAACTCCCGAACAGCGGTGTTTTGCCGTCGAGTGTCTGGAACTAAAATCGGACACTCGACTAGGCAAACACCGCTGAGACCTCCAGACTTCCATGAATTTGTGTGGAAACTACCGAATGACCCGCCGTTCGGTAGAAAGAACCCCACGAACAAGGGAATTCGTTTAAACCCTCCCCAGGCTCTACAACCCAGGCAATTCGTGTGTTTCATTCATTGACCGACTGCAGGGCCAAAATACATGGAACTATTTTCGGATACTTTTGTCATGCAGTCGGTCAAAACTTTAACCCTCCATAATTCCCGAACCCCTGGTCCGATCTGGGTGATTTTTGGATATGTGTCTCACCCAGATCAGGGCTACCAGGGGATGTAACATTTAAAGGGGTAACCCTATGTTTAAGGGTACATCCAGTATCCCAGGGAATTTGTGTCTGGACTAATGGGATTATGTGTCACGCTAAGGGGAGGAGATGTGTGGGGTAACTGGTACATTATTGGCTGGGGTACTAATTGTTGTGGATCCCTCCCTTGCATGGGAGAATATCTTAAAAGGAGGTTGTGTGAATAAATCTTGAGATTCTGCTTAACCCTCAAAATGAAGTGTCGTCTCGTTATTGGGGGAATTGGATTGTATGCTGACTGCCAGGAGTGTAACCCTTTCTTATGGTTTTCCTGTTTGGATATTTCCATTGTTCATGTGTTTCCAGTTCGGGAGATCGGTGCTTATAGTAGCTGTCGGTGTAGCTGAGAAAGGGGAATATCGCCTAAACTGTTTTTAACCTCTGGTGAGCAAAACGGTCCGTTACACCAGGCAACAGAGTTGGCGCTAACTTCAAAATCATTTTGCTCTTCAGTTTCACATCTCCACTTTTGGTTTTTGTAAAAAGGAAATCTCTGCATAAGTTATACTTTTCAGAACAGTTTTATAATTTTAAGAAAACTTTTGATCAATATCTTCTTTCTGTGAAAATAGAACATTGCTAAGGATGCAGGTTTATGTAGCATAAAGCTGCAAAACTTTTTATTTAAAGGGACTGTGACAAAACCGTTATTTTGCCTTCCCAGGGGCTATTCTCCGTCACAGTTCAGGAATCTGCCTAAACCTTGCTTTTATACTTTTCCCTCATTCGGTGCTTCAAATTGCTGAACACCGACCACCCCCCACCGGCTCATTAAGTACAAAGAAATCTGCAAGAACTAAGTGCTGTCTCTGTATGTCCGCCGTTCGTATAACCAAACGACACATGGTGGAGAAAATGGCGGCCATCTTCTCGCATGAAAGCAGGCAGCGGGACTTGGTTGTAGAGTGTTTGGAACTCCAAAGCGGACAATCTATGGCGCGAACACCGGCAAAACTATGCCAACAGCTGCTTCTGTTCGCGACAAGCCAGGAGAGCGCTGTTCTTTACGTTTGTTCGTACAGACCTCACGAACAAACACTACCACTGAGCCAGGGGAACAGTTCACCCTTTCGTGTGTTTTGGAACTCCCGAACATGACTAACCGCTACCTCTAAAACTGTGAAACTATTTTGGGCAGGTGCCTCGTGAGCAATCTGTCAAAACTTCTCCCAGGTGGCAAATCAGCTAGAATAGTGGGATCTGAGCTCCATTTATACATCTTGGGCGCTCAGATCCAGGCTATCCGGGGATGTATAGACTATGGGGATTCCATTTTTATGTTAAATATGCATTTTGGTGTGTTTTCTGTAAATTGGCATTTTTGCTTAGTCATGGTGACATGGCATTTTGTGGGTGTGTTTGTGAGAGTGCCAAGTTGAAAAGTTGTGGCCTACATGGATTGGATTAGTTGTTCCAGCACATTTCAGAGATGCTTAATCGGATTGAGATATGGGGAATTTGGAGGCCAAGGTAACAACTTGAACTCTTTGTCATGTTCCTCAAACCACTTCTGACCCATTTTTGCAGTGTGACCGGGAACAATGTTTTCCCAGCAGGACATTGCCCAAAACATAACACTGACTCCACTGGCCTGCCTTCCTCCCATAGTGCATACTGCTGCCATCTCTTCCCCAGGTACCCACAACACACATGCACCCGGCCATCCACCTGATCAGACTGGCAACCTTTTTCCATTGTTCCATGGTCAGTTCTGACACTCATGTCCCCATTGAAGGCATTTTCGTTAGTGGACATTGATACTTTGACCAGTCTGTGGCTTCATAATGCACTGCGTGTTTTGACATCTTTCTTTGATGGTCAGCATTACGTTTTTCAGCAATTTGAGCTAAAGTAACTCTTCTGTGTGATCGGACCACACGGGCTAGCCTTTGCTCCCCATGTGCATCAATGAGTCTTGGGCACTTCTGACTCTGGCTCACCAGATGTCCTCACTTGCAGTAGTAACTTCTGCATACCGGGAACACCCCACAAGACTTGCTGTTTTGGAGATGCTCTAACCCAGTTATCTAGCCATCACTATTGAGTCCCTGTCAAAGTCGCTGAGATCTTCGCTTGCTCACTATTCTTACTTCCCACAGATGAAATTCAAGAACTGACTGCTTACGTGCTGTCTAATATATCCCACCCCTTGACAGGTGCCATTGTAACAATATAATCAATGTTGTTCACTTCACTTGTCAGTGGTTTTTATGTTGTGGCTAATGTCTTCTGCAGCTCTTTACATTTATAAATTGGGGTTATAACTGAAAACCACTAAAACAAGCAATTCCAAATGTTAATATGAAACATTTTTTAAGGTCATAAAAACATAGGTTTTTAAGGACACTGTCAAGCTACAGTCAAAAGAAATTGAGGTATAAAAACACAAGAGGAAGAGCAAGATGAGTGGTAAGTTATACAGTTGAGTGCAGGACAGCAGAAAAGTTGGAAATTATGGGTGTGAATTTGACTGTGGTACCAATAGTATGTTGGAAAAGGGAGCAGATGGTATTAAGAAATGAAAATCTGGTATAATATGTAGTCTAAATTAAGATATAAGCAGCCCTTACGCAATCCTGTATGCAAACGTTAAGAAATACAAATAATATAATGTTTGTTATATCCCATCAGTTTGTACTGCCACATTTTCTCACAATATAATTAAACAGTTTACGATGTCTTCCTTTCTGCTTGTTAGTGATAACTGCCCTATAAACAGTAGGATGACTACCCATCAGTTAATACTGCTACTAAGACTTGGTATAGGAAAAAAATAAATGTTTCACGATATTGTAAATGGCGTTTTAATAAATTTCATGTTTATTTTTTTTATATATATATTTTATTTTTATTTATTTTTTCTTGTATCCAGATCCACAAGGTGGCGCTTTTGTGCTTCTGCCAGCTGAATCACAGCAATTTTTGGTACAGCTTTTATATTTTTTGCCATGTATATCATCAGATTTACTTGTTTGTTTAAACCGATGCTGCATTACTGAAAATATTCCATCTAATCTTGTGTCAATGCTTATTGGAATATTACATATTAGGTGAGTTAAAATTTTTATTTATATTGCATTGTTTCTTTGGGCCTGGTTTGTGCTGTGAATAAATAGTTAGCCAGTATTTAACTAAAGTGTTTTTACAAATACAGCCTGCACATTTTATGACTGTCTTCTAATCAAAACTGGCAGTCAAGAGTAAATGTTACTGTAAAAAGTGTAGAATGTAGTATTACAAATGTTTGTTTGGCGTCTGTGTTAGAGGGATTTTACCTATAAAATTATATACATATGCCTCCTTCCATTTCTGCTGGAGCTATTATGCATGACACAAAACATTTTGCCACCACAGCATAATTTACCATAATTCTGATAAAACTTATTAAGCCTTATACGTAAATTTTACTACTATACCACCATACACTCCCAGGAACCAGTTTATAGCGTGTGACTTAAAAAAATAAAAATTGCGTTGGTATGTTGTGGTTTTGGTTTTTTGGTTTTTTTTTTTTGCTTGCTTTATTTTATATAAAAAATAGTAAGCAAGCAAAAAAAATACATGAACAAAACATACAACAGTCTGCATTTTATTCTTGTTTCATATCTTTTGTTAATGAACCTGGTATATGCTGTCACAGCTTCATAAGCCTACTAATTTTGTACCTCTCTTCTAACATTGGAGTTTCCAAGTGATAACTATAGCCAAAAATGTTTTCTTTGAAGCACAACTTGGCTGTTCTGGATTGCCATGTTATTGGTGTCCTGTTCTACATGATTTTTAGTCAGTGTATGTAGCTAACTCAGCAAGAAACACATAAGAAATCTTGAAAACTAACTGGATCACTTAAGAAGACTATTAAATTGCATATGTTTATATTTGATACTTGAGCCAAAAATCTGCTCCACTTATTTTTGATGAGATTCTCAAACTTAGAACATTCAGTGCAAGATACAGAGAATGGGTAATGTATTAAATTATGGCCTTTAAAGGGATACTCTAAGACTGTTTACTTTAAAAGTTTGAATCTTTAATACTATTAATTGAAATGTAATATCACACAGGAGGCTCCAGCAAGATATTAAGTGACCAGGTGATAAAACATTCTAAATTAAACAGACTGTGCAGTAAAAGGCAGGGAGGCTGTGTAGGTCACGCACAGGGAGGTGTGACTAGGGCTGTATAAACAAAGTGGTTTAACACCTAAATGGCAGAGAATTGAGTGGTTAGACTGCAGTTAGAGCTACTTTATATTAAAGTTGTTTTGGTGTTTATAGGATCCCTTTAAGCAAACAGGATAGAGGTGGGCAGTTGTGCAAGTGCTTAAGTTAATGTAAATAAAATCTGAAGAGCACTGCTGAAGAATCTGATTGAACAGACATTTTTAAGATGGAATGATCACATTTTCAAGTACTAAATAGGAATTGTTTTCTTTAGAGGTGAAACGGTTTTCTGCTTTGGTCTAGCCTTTTACTTGCAAATCATACTTAAGGAGAAAATAAATGTAAGCTTAACAGCTGCAAAAGATGTTTACTATTGACATCTCAATTATATGATCTATATTGAAACGTGTTTTTTAAGAACATGTTATTACTTTAATTATTCTTTATTATCTTTATATTACAGGTCCCCATTTGCATGCTGGACACACCAGTCACAGGAGAGTGCAATGAATGAAACAGATTATTTCAGTTTTTTGTTCTCAACCCTAATAGGTAGAATACAGATTTTAAACTGTTTTTGTTTTAATGGCTGTGGAATATTATTGCCTTCTTTCAAATATATGTTTTAATCTTTGATTTGTTTTTGTCATTATTTTATTTTTCCTTCATAATGTAATAAGAATTGATTTGATTAGTAGGGAGTATCTTTTCACAACTGAATATTGTGAGCATGTTTTGTTCAATAATTGGAGCTCAGCAGTAGGATTCCCTTACATGGATGGATCATGACTTGACACTCTTTCAATGTGCATGTTGTTGTACTGGGCTCATCATGAGTGTGTCAGAGACCAGGAGTAATGACATTGTTAATCCCTCCTGCCTTGATGTGTATTGGTATTGGTGACCACTAACAAACAAGAATGTGGAGTGGGGAAGATAATAGACATATGTTAAATCAAATCCGAGATGTGATCACTCTGATCGTGTAGTCATAAGGTGCATACCTGGGAAGTAAATCTAATCTGATTTGTTTAGTATAGTAGGGGAAAAGGAAAATACAATTTTAATGCTCACAATGTTCATCGGGGTCTTGATCACCTCTATAACCAAGACCATTCTCCCCTGATTGTTTAGTTTAGTTGGGTGATCAGCTCTAGGTTTTTCCAATTTTTTTTTACATTTAAAGACCACTATAGGCACCCAGACCACTTTAGCTTAATGAAGTAGTCTGGGTGCCAGGTCCATCTAGGGTTAACCCTGCCTGCTGTAAACATATGCTATGTTTACATATGGGTTAATCCAGCCTCTAGTGGATGTCTTATTGACAGCCGCTAGAGGCGCTTCCGTGCTTCTCACTGTGATTTTCACAGTGAAAAGACGCCAGCGTCCATAGGAAAGCATTGAGTAGTGCTTTCCTATGGACTGAATGAATGCGTGCAGCTCTTGCAACGCATGCACATTCAGCCGATGACGTCGGAAGGAGGAGGAGACTCCCCAGCACCGAGGGAGCCCGGCGCTGGGCTGAGCCCCACTTCAGCCCGGCAGGAGGGGGGCCATGAGTGTGGGGGGACCTATTAACACTATAGTGCCAGGAAAATAAGTTATTCCAACTACCCCGAAAGGGCATACTATTTCTTAAAGAAGACACCCGAGGGTATTTCAAAAGGCATATTTCGAACGTTAGTGTGAAATCATTTTTCCACTAGCTTGTATCAAGTGTAGTGGTAATAAGCATTTTTTTTCTGCCTTTTTGACACACAGTGAGTTTGTGGTCCTTTAAGGATTATAGAGAATGCTGTGCTCTTGGGAACCTTCAATTCAATTAAAAAAAATAAAAAATGGTAACCTTCCCCAAATCTGTGCATCGACACAATCCTGTCTTTTGGGCTCTGCAGAGAGCTACTTGGCCCTCAATTAGTATTTATAAACGGATTTTTGCAAGTTGCAGCAAATTCACAGCTAATGTAAAACATACAAGAACAAAAGAGGTTAGAATTCACACATATTTGGTTGTTCTTAAGGTAAAGAACTTGGAACTGTAAATGCTGCATTAGATAAGTAGATGATACAGACCATATTTAAAGAGAGTGCCTAAATACGCTAATCAGCCACAACATTAAAACCACTGACAGGAGAAGTGAAAAACATTGACTATATCATTACTATGGCACCTGTCAAGGGGTGGAATGTATTGGGTTAGGCAGCAAGTGAACAGTCATTTCTTAAATTTCATGTGTTGGAAGCAGGAAAATGGGCAGGCAAAAAGACTTTGACAAGGGCCAAATAGTGCTGAATAAACGACTGGGTAAGAGCACCTCCAAAATGGCAACTCTACAGTGATAAGTGCCTACCATAAGTGGTGTAAGGAAGATCGATGAACTGGCATCAGGGTCATGGGTGCTTAAGGCTCATTGATGCACATGGGGAGCTAAGACTAGCTTGTCTAGTCCAATAACAGAATAGCTACTGTAGCTTACCTTGCTGAAAAACTTAATGCTGGCCACAACACACAACAGTAAGATAGAACATCTCAGTTTGCCTATGGTACTGCATATCCAAAGAACTGTTATAGTGCCCATGATTACGTTTATCTTGTAGAGTCCATGCTTCAACACATCACTGCTGTTTTGGCAGCACGGGGGGGACCTAAACGATATGATGCAGGTGGTTTTCAAGTAGTAGCTGGTCAATGTAGATCCAGTATGGCATTGAGGTTTAAAATGTTGTTTTTCTCACATTTCATGTTTTTGCACAGATGAAATTTAGAATGTTGATTCCCACAGTTATTCTCAATATCATTGATTATATATTCAATTTATGCAGTGTGTAAATGCCTATATTTTCACTTTCTCTTTTTATTAATTTTATTTTATTCCTTTAACATAAGGGTTCAATGCAGAGAAATTGATTTGGATGCAGAACAATAAATCTCATCGTGTCAGCAAGACACGAGTTTCACGAATTGGTCTGTATTTGACTGATCAATCGCATTTTGTTCATCACTGGACAGTTACAAAGGTAAACATTTTCAGTATCAATTTATCATTGACTGTAGTAGCATAGTTAAAGTAAGATTTATTTTTTAATTAAGCAATAAAAAAAAAAAAACCTTAACCTCTTAAGGACACAGCTTCAGAACACAACACAGGCAATTTTTGCATTTTTTGCTGTTTGTGTTCAACTGCATTTTGCATATCTCTCATTTATTGTACCAACACATATTATATACCATTTTTTTAGATGACAGGGCTTTAATTTTATGTGACATACATCTATAAATTCTCATTTATTACAAGAAAATGCAAAATAATAAGATTTTCTTTCCAAGTTTTGGCAATAATAATGTGTACATAATATGTACAGCTTAGGAAAAGTAATTCAAAATAAATTCATTTGTGTCTTTACAGAGTTTATAATATGTGTAGTATTTCAGTTTATTTTAAAAGTTACAGGTCACAAACTACAAGGACTAAAATAAAATTTCAATGTGAAACAATTTTAGAAGTTGGTATGTTCGTCTTGGAAGTTTAATACCCATCACAGAAACAAAATTGCTATAAAAAGTATATATTTATATAAAGTAGACAAGGCATCACATGCTATTTACCTATGGTTATTTTGATACTTTTTACATTTCACCACCAATCTCTGCTAAATATTGGTGTAAAATTGTGTTTGGCATATACACATATAACAAGATTTTTGTCATGTATATTTCGTAAAGCTAGTGCGTGCTATTTCTGTACAGAAACCCAAATTGTGTTCAGCTACATCTGCAGAGAACAATAGCCCCGTTATATGCCTTTGTCACTATTCTGTGAAGCTACAATACCATATAGGAGACCATGCTATTTCAGTTTCTATAGTTAGAATGTTCATAGATGTTCCTATGTCTGCTTTTGTGGCATTATAGCCGTTTGACTGTTCAAATAACCCCACAAAGGCCTTCCATTTGAGAAAGCAGAAACTCCAGGGTATCTTATTAGGCATATATTATACCTTAACTTGCCAAAACATTTCGACAATTTATTTCACATTTTGTGTTTTTTTTTGTTTTTTTTTTTACACATACGTGTTGTACATATTATAAGTGCCACTGTCATAAACTCCCCCTAAGTACGCTCAATTAACTCTTTGGAGTAAAGCAATATGCCCAATGTATGACCTAGAAACTTTTGTGAAGTTAAAGTGCTGTAAAAGAGACCTGTCAATTTCAGATTTTTAAGTGTGGATTTTCATAGATGGTTTTGATGGGTCCGTGTTCTATTTTGAAATATTTTAGCTGCTTATTCCAACTACCCCGAAAGGGCATACTATTTCTTAAAGAAGACACCCGAGGGTATTTCAAAAGGCATATTTTGAACGTTAGTGTGAAATCATTTTTCCACTAGCTTGTATCAAGTGTAGTGGTAATAAGCATTTTTTTCTGCCTTTTTGACACACACAGTGAGTTTGTACTGTATATTTTGCAATCCTTATGTGTGCTACAGCTATATAATACTTCCTATCTTGCTCAGCTATGTCGCCTGAGCACAGCAATAACCCCCATATGTACCTTTGCCAGGTATAAGTGGACATTGAAGGGGCACATTTGAGACACAAACATCTGTTTGTTTTTTTTAAACTTGGGATTTTTACAGTGTCCATATCCCACTTTTTTTTTTCATATTTAATATTTTTATTTGTGCATAGCTGTTTTGACATACATTCTCGGGGTGCCCCAATAGCAATCCATGAGTTTTATGTTTAACAATAGGAGCAGTAAGAAAATGGCACAATATTTTTTTTTTTTTAATAGCAATTAACTAATAGCGTAATAGCAGGTTAATTTTCTCAGACAAGTAAGCAGAATATGTAACTTGTCACCATTGCCCTGAGCAGTGGGTTGGTGTCAGTGTATAGCGAGAAGTGGCTATAGAGGAGCCATAGACAGAGAAAGGCATATAGGAGACATGGAAAGTAATGGAAAACATTTTCCTTGCTAATGACTGACTCAGCTGCTTCTCTCTTATGTCAGCAGGCTTATGTGACAGTCCCCTCCCCCCCCCCTCCCCCCGTGGGTCAACCAACTCCAGTCCTTAGCAGAATGGATTTCATCCATCGGGCGTTCTTCGCCTGTATAGTGACCTCTTCAGCCCCAGGCTTGTTCGAGGGCCGGCATCTGTGTACCACAGACCTGGTTTCTGCAGCAGTCCAAGTCTATTCCCTGCCGGGAGTGATCAGAGGGTCGAGGTGGTGTTCGCCGTGGGCGATGAGGGGTATGTAAGCCCCTTGTGGCTCTCAGCCTGGGAAGATGAACTGTAGGTTTTGTGTGTTTTTTTTTTTGTTGAAGTGCCACCTTGAGTAGGTCTCCTCTCAGGCCGTTGCTTAATTCCCGGCTCCTTTACGCTTGCTTGCCGCAGTAGCTTGGGCGCGGTGATTTAATCGGAGCCAGAAACGATGGAATATGGCATCCAGCTTCTTCGGGATGTCTGCCATGTGGTCTTTGGTGGTTGCTTGCTTGGGACTCAGAGTTTAATTGCGAGGGAGTGGCATCCACCATTTTGCAGCGGCTGTATTTTTGCTCAGCGGTCTTGTCTGAGTGGTGTTAGCTTAGTCGTTCTAGTAGGCTGTAAGTGGACTGGGTTGACCCCCACCAGTTATGGTGGGGAGGGGTAGGAGTGCTGCGGTGCCAGACCCCGGGTAGTAGCGCGGTGGATCGGCCGCCTCCCCCACTTCCTCATCCCAGGTAGGCTGCAACAAAGCTCCCGGGCTCTCTGGGTGAGTGAGTGCTGGTTTGCTTTCGGGTTTTGCAATCCCGGGTCCCCTGACCTTCGTTATGTGGGTTGCTGTCCGTGGAAGCCCCAATATCAGGTAAAATACCCCAAAATCCAGCTTTGTTTCAGGAGCTCTGGCTTTCCACGTCTTGCCGGCTCAGAGGTCAGGCTCCGTCCCCCATATCCCACTTTTGAGTTGTTGTTTTTTTGTAGGTTGATTATTCCAACTACCCCACAAAGGCATACCATTTCTTAAAGAAGAAGGCCAACGGTATTTCAAAAGGCATATTTTGAACCTTACCACAAAATTTATTTTTCCGTTAGCTTGTATCAAGTGTAGTGGTAATAAGCCTTTTTTTCTGTCTTTTTGACACACACACTGAGTTTGTAATATATATTTTGCAAATCTTATGTGCTACGGCAGTATAATACTTCATATGTTGCTCAGCTATGTCATCTGAGTACAGCAATACCCCCGTATGTACCTTTACCAGGTATATGATGATGTTGAAGGGGCACATTTGGGACAGTCATTTAAGTTTGAATTTTTACGCTCGGTCATTGCTCCACTTTGGATTTTTTTTAGCAAGGTGTTTCAAAAGGCATATTTTAAACCTTAGCGTGGGATAATTTTTTTTGCTAGATTTTACTAAGTGTACCATCTTTTCCCCTTTAAAAATTTTTTTTTACTTTTTCAAAGGTTTTTTTTTTAACTTTTTAAAACTTTTTACTGTTAACCCCTAACTAGCCTAACAGGAAATCTCTTTCCCCCACTAACTTCTACCCACTCTGGCTAAATAAATAATTTACAAATATTTAAGTAACTAAATAAATGTAATCCCTGAGGGTTAAAAAAAACAAAAAAAAAAACAAAACCTCATGGGTTAAAAGAAAAAATCAGATCACAGTGAAATACTGTGATCTTTTTTTTGATCACTGCAGGGAAGGGGTTAAATTTTACTGGGGAGGAGTGAGGGGAGGGAGGATTTTACAACTAACTTTTTTTTTTTTTTTTTCTTTCTTCACAGTGAGAGACAGATCAGCACTCCCAGTCAGAGTGATCACATGGGCTGTGAAACTGCTTGCTGTAGTGTGCCTCAGACAGGGAAGCACACTGCAGGAACATTAATTTTAGTATTGGACAGAAATTTTCCGTTCTGTGTCCTTAAGGGGTTAATGTCACACACCTCTATTTCCTTTGGTCAGACATATATAATCTGCTGATGGTGACATTTTAAGCTGGTAATTAGTGTAAAATGTGGAGGTGCAATGACGTGTTATTTTTACATCTTTTTCCATATGTCCAAGCGGCAGCTACAACAAATGGGTAGTTACCCATTCCTCTCACACAAGACAGGTAACATTGAAAAGGTTAAACTAAGATTCTCCTAACCTTACTAAGGGCTACTCTACCCTCTGCTCTGTAGTGTATACCTGTCCTAAGCAGATGGTCAGGTAGCAGAAATATCTTGTTGACAAAATAGGTTACGCTACTCACACTTTTGTGTTATGGCCAGGCGTGGCAAAGGGGTTGCAACTCCTGGAAGGCTCCTCTTGGCTTTTGTGAAGGATTGCCTGGTCTTTGAGCTTGTTCTTATTTTGTTTCAGGTTGTGGAACAAACACCGGATTCATGTGTCCCACTCTTTTATCTCATCCGCCCAATGTGCCAGAAGCTGGAAGAGTTATAGGTGCATCTGTATGCACAGCTTGGGGACTAGGTAGAATGGACATCTGTGTAGTGGTGTTTTTTAATTTAGAAATTGCAGAGTACAATGCTTACGTGACTGCCTGTTGCTAGGTTTGTATCAGAAGCCTAATGTCAGGATATTTAAACCCAGATGTAACTATCTGTGCTTGTGGTGTGTGTCAGATTAGCCTCCAGTGTGCTCTCACCTCCAGCACACCCAAAGGTTTGAGGTAAGACAAGTGGCTTTTACCTTAAGTCTTTTTTATTTATTTCTTTATTTTAGATTGACTAACAGTTGGTAGTCTGGTGGGGGGAAAAGCACATGCTTTTTTTCCCCCTTGGTTTCTGAGCATAGGTAGGCATATATCACGGTTATAAGGCCTTTTGGCATATTTTCATTTATGCAAATGCATTCTAAAAAAGTCATTGTTTTTTGTGCCGCTTCTTGAATGTGGGATTGTTTAGCAAAATTTTTAATCTGTAAGTATCTGAAGAAATCAGATGGTATAAGGTGTCTCCTCTGGCTTAAGGTATCAAAGGGGATTACCTCCGTGCCTTGGAATAGGTGCCATAGCCGCTGTAGGCCTGCCTGTTATTGGTTCCTGAAATCTCTGGCTGACATTCCCGGGGTAAATGCCCTGTTGCGAAGGTAGGGCATGAGGGGAGATGGGGTCGACACAGAGAAATCCCATAATCTCAATGAGTTGAGTATTGTTGGGCAAGTTGCCCTGATCATGGGTCTATGGTCTTTTGGTACCCATATGAGGAATTGTGGTAAGTCTGCTCCCACCATGAGGGATTCTAGGTCTGCCCACCTCCTCTGGGATAGAGTGCCACATTGCTACTTGCGTCTGCTGAGCCGCTAGATAATAGAAGTATAAATTAGGTAGTCCCAACCCACCCCGTGTTTAGAAACATAGAATGTGATGGCAGATAAGAATGATTTGGCCCATCTAGTCTGCCCAATTTTTTAAAATGCTTTCATTAGTCCCTGGCCTTATCTTATAGCTAGGATATTCTTATGCCTATCCCATGCATGCTTAAACTCCTTTACTGTATTAACCTCTACCACTTCAGCTGGAAAGCTATTCCATGCATCCACTACCCTCTCAGTAAAGTAATACTTCCTGATATTATTTTTAAACCTTTGCCCCTCTAATTTAAGACTGTCCTCTTGTTGTGGTAGTTTTTCTTCTTTTAAGTATAGTCTACTCCTTTTCTGTGTTGATTCCCTTTATGTATTTAAATGTTTCTATCATATCCCCCCGTCTCGTCTTTCCTCCAACCTATACATGTTAAGATCCTTTAACCTTTCCTGGTAAGTTTTATCCTTCAATCCATGAACCAGTTTAGTAGCCCTTCTCTTAAGTATCAATATCCTTCTGGAGACACGGTCTCCAGTACGGCGTACAATACTCCAAGTGAGGTCTCACCAGTGTTGTGTACAATGGCATGAGCACTTCCCTCTTTCTACTGCTAATACCTCTCCTTATACAACCAAGCATTCTGCTAGCATTTCCTGCTGCTCTATTACATTGTCTGCCCACCTTTAAGTCATCAGAAATAATCATCCCTAAATCCCTTTCCTCAGATGTTGAGGTTAGGACTCTATCAAATATTCTGTACAAATATTCAGTTTCTAGCTGTCTCAAAGTGCCCTCCTCAGGGCGGCTTCGGTGTTGTTTTTCTAACGTTCTAAGTTCTGAAAGGAGTCTTTTTAATCTGTGAAATTTCTTTTTCTTTTTTTGCAGTTGCTAGTTTTATTAGGGTGCCCCGTATTACTGTCTTGTGGGCTGCCCATATTGTCTCTAATCTTAGGTCAGGGGAGGCATTTGTGTTAATTTTTTCTTTTATTATTATTATAGAATTTAGGAGCAGGTCTGTTCCGTGAGTTCTGGGTCTCGTAATAACGATGAATTGTTTCCACGTCCATGGGGACGCAGCACATAGGTTCCCCAGGGTAAGGGTCACATTTGCATGGTCAGACCATGAGATGGAGCCAATCGATGATCCTGTGATTCGGGCTAAGCTACACTCGTTTTATTCTGGAGTATGTGCCATGTGGGGCAGAATAACACTTATAGTCGACTGTGCTCGGATGATGTGCCCTCCAGACGTCCACCAGCCCCACGGTGGTCTTGAACCCATGGAAAAGCTTGTCCTGTCCTCCCCCCCTTTCCTTGAGTTCTAGGTACCCCTTTGTGTCCACTTCTGTCTATGAAGGGACATGGTGCTGCATTGAAGTCCCGCCCCCAGTATGGTCATTCCGTGTGGTAAAGCTTGGACCTTGGCCGTCAGTACGTCCCAGAACCAGGGGTCTGGATGATTCTGTGCATACACATTTATTAGGCGAAACGTGTGTGAAAGTAAAGTGCTGAACACGATGATGTAGCATCCATCCAAATCTAGTTCGGAAGACGTTATTTTTAGTGGGCAGCTATTCCGAATCAGGTTTGCAACTCCATTGCATTTGCGGAGTGCTCGAGCTTCGTATGACGTGTCGTATGTGTGGTCCCTCAACCTGAAGCTAACATGTTTGGGCAAGTGCGTCTCTTGTTTGAAGGCTACATCTGACTTCATCCTCTTCAGTTCTCTGCACAGAAGACGTCTCTTGATAGGGGCGTTAAGTCCCTTCACATTCAATGAGTTGAAGCTTACAGCCATAATTCCTTTCTAAGTATAGTTCTGTCATGGGCGTCCACCCCCGCCCCCCAACCCACCCCAGTCCAAGTTGAAACGGAAATAAAGTTGAGTAAGGAAAGCAGAGATAGAAGAGATTGAGAGGTAGAAGAGGTGCTCTATTTGCGCGTCTAGAAGAGTTCAGAACTCGTCTGGTCTTACCGATCGCCAGACCTGGTTGGGGTACATTAGCTGGCACCTCTACCGCGCATAGCGCCTGTACAAGATGTGGGTCCATGAACCTAAACCTTTTCCCGCTATGGTGCATTTGTTTTGGATATATATGGCGCTCAAATTAGCTACTCAGGTAACGTTATCTTATAGAAATTTGGAGATAAGAAACAAAAACAACTCTAACATGTAGAACAGTTAGGCTCACCACAGGTTCACTATGTCCTAAGCTCTGTATGCGTCTGCTTCGTCTCCGTCTGTATATCTAGGGAGGCATAAGTGCCATATGGTGCAGTGTTTGTTAGGTATTGGGTTTGAAGAATCCTGCTGTAGGTGTGGGTGCCGTGGCTTCAGCTCTCTGCCTCCTGGGGGTTTACCCATGTGGCCATGGAGTTGCGTCACCTGGGGATAGGGGAAACAGTTGCAATGCATTCTGGGGAGGGGGGGCTTTATTTGTGGGTCCGTGCTCCAGTATCCCTAGGAGGGACAAGAATCGGGGTCAAAGTTGCGTGGCTTTGTGGTATGACTAGGTATTAACTGCTCATTGCCTGGGACTGTATGTTGTGCCCGTCAACCCGTATGAGGAAACTTCTCCGTTTCCTTGTCACTGCCTATTGTGTCTTTTGATGGGGGGGTCACAGTCGTAACCCTGGGACATCTCGGTTAGTAGTGGGGGTATGGCATGGGTCATGGGTGGAAATTCTAGCCAAATTATGTTGTTTTTTTTTTCTAGTTTGTAAATCTGAAGTGTGGTTAGCAACTAAACCCTGTATCTCTTTAATTGTGAAACACTGTAGTATTTTATTGCAACAATCTCCATTTGATATAAATTGAGCTGGTTGATCTGAACAGTTCTATATTCTGTAAAATTCTTATTCTGTCAAAGAAAAAGTGATTTTCACATTGCGCACTAATTTCTACTTTTATTAATTGAGACGTTTTCATTATAACAATTAAAAGTTTTATTAGTGGTAAGTTTGTTATATTTCTTTTGAAAGCAAACTCTCAAGCTGAGTTTTCCTTTTATTAGTTGTTACAATTCTGATTACGCTGTCGACCAATTTTTTTTTGGGTTGCAGTATATTTTGTTTCTGTGGCTTCATTTTTTTTAAAGAATAAGGTATTATCTCATAGTTTTATACCTGTGTCGTTCCAAAATTAATTCAGTTAGCAGTCCCATCACATTGGGATGTATACTTTGTAATTCAGGGGCCATAACCCATTTGCTCCTGTATTGTGGGTTCTCCATAGCCAAGCGGCAGTCATGATTTCCCTCCCTTTCTTCTATGGATAAAAATAAATAAAATGTATCCTTCTATTAGCTTGTCATTTCCTGGGGGGGCTTAGGGTAGAGTTGTCCTTTATAGGGCTAGGAAAGGAGACGACTGGGGGTGGGGACTGCATTTTGTTTTTTTAACCTTGCTGCTTGTGCTGTGAGAGAGGAATGGATAACTACCAATTTGTTTTGGCTGCCACTTGGACTATGGAGAGAGAAATGTACGGTAAGTAAAATTTAGTTATTTTTATGACCATGTTAGTTGTTGGAAAGTCTCAACAAAAAGAAGGGGGAAGCAGAATCTTAGCTGGATTTGTAGCTGTTGAATTTAATCTTTCATGGTCCATTGTAAACTCAGCTACTCTTTTCAACAGTTATATGTAATTTAGTGATGTTTTTGTCTAGATCTTCCTTTTTCTTCAAATTATGTTTTGCAAACTTTTGTTTACTTATTTTAACAGGCTGTGTGCCACAGTTTGTCCTCATTGAGAGCGAGGCGTCAGTGTTTTGAAATCCTTCAGAATGCGATTAATAACAATCTGGTAAGGTTTTCATATAGCTGTCACTTTTTTTTTTTTTACATTCTTTATTTTCAAGGTGCATAGTGATCACAAAGCAAGCACGAGTCAAGACCATAGAACATAGACTGAAACAGATATGTGGTAACACATGGTATACGCAGGAAATAAATACAATTTTTTTTTTTTTTTTTTTAAATACATAACTTGTGCACAAGGAGCAAGAGAGTATTACTGACCTGAAGTAAGCCATTTAGTGGGTAGTGGTCCCTAGTAAATATTTCTAAGATACGTTCCCCATGCTAATTCTGATGTTTTGAGGGAGCTTAAAATCTTGGGGTAACATATGAAGCTCTGTCACATTTTTAAAACGATATTCATTTTTTTGTTTATTTAAATTTTGAATCAAGGGATGCGTTGCCCTTGAGGAATATTTGTCTGAAAGAGAAAAATGTGTGTTGAACAGATGTGTTTTGGTAGGTGCCTTCTGGTGAAAGTTTCCTCAAAAATATTCTTTGAGGAGTGTCGCTCTATATGGGTGGGAGAGGTGTGTGCATGATTAGGTTATACCTGGTTCATATTCGGAAGGGTCTGAAACCTCATATAATAAGTGATGAGATAAGGAGTGGTTTCTTTGTTAAACAAAAACAAATATTTAAACTCTCACTCCCAATGCCTGGAATGAACCTTAAAAGAATGGAAAAGGGTTTATTACCAAACTTGTTAACCCTCAGTGTGATTGTTTATATTGGAATAAAGCAATTGTGGAGAAATAAGAAAAATATATTTTATATATATATATATAAATTTTATTTTTTATATATATATATGCGTGTGTACTTTTTTATTTTATAATATATTATTTATTTTGTTTAATTCCATAGAGTGGATTGGTGGTAATCCCAGACAGCACTGCTGGATCAGTTGTATGTGCCATAAATACACTTCATGATCCCTGTTGCATTCCTAATGATAGTTTGAATAAATTCTTAGCCTCCAGCTGTTACAGCATATTCAACTTCCTGCTGACAAAAGAAAAAGATGTTGAGCATATGCCCAAAAGGTAACTGCCTACAATTGTTGTTTCTAGACATGCATCTATTTAATCATTCTTAGAGAACCAGTGACGCATAAAAAGAATCACATGTTAAAGGAACACTCCAGACACATAAAACACTTAAGTTTGTTGAAGTGATTTATGTGTCTAGAGTCTTTATGTTGTTAATAGTTTTTAAAAGTGCTGAATTTCAGTAGAACCTGCACTTTTATAACTGAAAGCAGTAACACCAGCTCAGATGTCAAAGCACGCTGGAATCGAGAGCTCTCGCCTTTATCCTCTTTTCAATGAGCACTACTTCAGCTCTTTTAGGAACATTGGAAAGCAATGTGCACACTTGAGGAGAAGTCTCTGGTCAATTTTCCGGCACAGAGTTTTGGGAAAAGAGGAAGGGGGTCTTGCTTTTTTTCATATACCTTAAGAAAACATGCAGAATTATGTCCGGCACTGCAGTCTAAGACTTGGAGGCCTGTCTAAATTGGAGGACTCACCTACCCTCCTTCACTCTATCCTGACAGAGGTATTAATGTCCTGCTCCACTGGGATCACCTTAAAGCGGCACTGTCATGCTGAACTTACCCTTCTTTAATCGATTCTTCTTCTCTCCCTCTCTCAGGATCATTTCTTCATGTCTGCTCTAGTTTTCTTTAAAGCATAAGACAAAGTAGGGACGACTTTGTCTTATGGAGGTTTCTTACACCTGACCAGCGGAGGAGCAAAGTGTGCTTCATTTCCGGTGGTCAGAGCAATTTTCCCACAATCCTCACCTTTGATCCCGCGACGCTTCCTGTCAGTATTCCCCAACATCCTATCACTTAGACAGAACGCCGGCGAAACTATAGAATGTCGTCCTAACAGAATGCGAACAGTTTTTCCATTCATGTTAGGACACAATTCGAGACTTTGTTTGGATGAATGGAACTCCGATCCTATTCATGCCGTGGCTGCATCTTGAGCTATAGAGCTTCTATTACATATCAAATAGTAATATATGAAACCTAATTTAATGTGAAAAAATTAAGAAATGTTTTTTAAATGTGAATGTCATAATACTGTTGGCTTTTCCTGCAATAAAACCAATGCCACCAATGTACAGGTTTCATGGTGTTTTGGAAAGTCGCAGGGTCAATTTTTGGACTTGCCCATTTCAATTTTTACACATTGAAATTTGCTAGATTGGTTTGCTGGTCCAGTTTTTTTTTTTTTTTTAGTAGACATTGTCACAAACCTTGGCCAAAGTTAGTGTTCATATTGAGTTTTGCATTTTTCACACACACACTGCACTTTAACCGACATGGTTGTCATTATAGGTTTTATTGCTCTAAAATACTCATTTGTGTTCAGTGATGTCTGATGAATTTAACAGTATTTAACAGTAACAGTAAAACAGTGTCATGTTTTATTTAACAGAAATAAAGCCAAAATGGAGAAACCATGTCTGAAAAACTAAGTACACCCTTACTGCTTCCATAGGAATTAAGAGTCTAGGTAGCAGACAGGTGCTGCTAATCAAATGCCCTTTCTTAAAGGGACACTCCAGGCACCCAGACCACTTCTGCCCAACTGGTCTGGGTGCCAACTCCACTACCCTTAACCCTGCAACTGTAATTATTGCAGTTTTTATAAACTGCAATAATTACCTTGCAGGGTTAACTCCTCCTCTAGTGCCTACTAGACAGCCAGCTAGAGGGCACATCCTGATTCATAGCACAGGTTTTCTGTGCTATAGCGTCGCTGGACGTCCTCACGCAAGAAGCAGCGGCGAGAGACATTGTCGCTGCCTCTGGTAAGTCACTGAAGGGGTTTTGACCGGGGGTGGGAGGTGGGAGGGAGAGGGGACCTGCAGTGCCAGGAAAACTAATTGTTTTCCTGGCACTGGAGTGTCCCTTTAATCAACAAGTGTGACCACCTCTATAAAAGCCTATGTTTTAGCAGTTTGCTGGTCTGGGACATTCAGATGTGTGTTAACACAATGCCAAGGAGGAAAGACATCAGCAATGATCTCAGAAAAGCAATTGTTGCTGCCCATCAAACTGGGAAGGATTATAAGGCAATTTCCAAGCAATTTAAATTTCATTCTACAGTGAGAAAGATTTTCAAAAGTGGAAAACATTCAAGACCATTGCCAATCTTGTCAACGTCCCAGTAAATTCTCTCCAAGATCAGACCGCGCAGTGTTCAGAGAAATGTCAAAAAAAATTCAAAAGTTACATCTCCGACTCTACAGGCCCCATTTAGCATGTTAAATGTTAAAGTTCATGAGAGTACAATCAGGGCTGGTGCAAGGATTGTTGCGGCGCCCCTCCTCCCCCTCATATGCTCTTCACATGATGTGACATCACAATGCCCCACTCATACGATCTGACTATTTCATGATAGTACCATTTTCAATATTTACATTAATCAAAATTATTATATGTTGCGATTAAGCCTATTTACAATAGTAAATAATTACTTGCCATTGCTAAAGAAACAAGCTACTGTGGTTCTGGTGCCTATGGTCTCCCTTTAAGGACCAAATAGCCAAACTTTCAACTGGCTGAATAGGGATGTTTTCTTCCATTTGGATTTGTGAAACTCACTTTGATTTCACAAAGATTCACACTTTTATGAATAAACCTGTTAACAATTTAGCTCAAAATGTAAATTTCACTAAAGAGACGTTTCAAGCACCATTACCACTACAATGCACAGTGGTGACCCCCTCCTCCCTCTGATGTAAGTAGTTAAACTATTTTAGAACTGTTTGACTCCTTACCTGGCCCTGCTTTCACTACATCAGCTAAAGAGCCAAAAGATCTCTGCCTTAGCTGAGCCTGAGAACGTCAGTTGATGTAGTGGTGGTGGGGATCAGCTTAAAGACCTGTATCCCTAACAGTAGTGCAAAAATAACTATTTAGATGTCGGGCCCCCCCTCTCCATTTTGATGATCTCAGCAAATCCAATGCTTTCTTACAAGAAAACATTAGGAGGCTATTACGCATGTGCGGCAAATCACTACACCAATCAGCATCTCCTCATAGAGCTGAATTGAATCAATGCATCTCTAAGGTGAACGTTTAGCTGCTCCATGCAGAGTGTGGAGACGCTGAGCATCAGTGCTCCACAGTGCAGTACTGACCCAGGAAGCACATCAGTGGCTCAGGCAGCAATGTTTACATTGCTGAGCCTGCAGGGACAGGTTCTATTCAACAGAACTACTACATTAAGCTGTAGTGGTTCTGGTGACACTAGTGTCACTTTGTGTGGCGAGTTAGAGATTAGTGCACTAATACTATACTAGATTGCCTGCTTACCACCAGATGAGGACGAGATGATGATGATCTCTGGCTGCAGTCTGGCTCCTTGGTCTGGTGAAGAGCAGGCTCTCTGGAGGCTGCTTGCAGCTGCTCACCAAAACCAATGCCCTGGGGAAACCGGAAGCAGCTTAATTTGCACCTCCTTGGCTGTCCCATACCCCCTGAACAAACCACAACAAAACTCCTGGAACAATGTCCTTCGGACAGGCATGATCAAAGTGGAGATGTTTGGCCATAATACACAGTGGCAGGCTTGGCAAAAACCAAACACCGCATATGAGCACAAACACCTCATACCAACTGTCCAGCATGGTGGTGTGATGATTGAGCTTGTTTTGGGGTCATGGGACTTCGGAACCTTTCAGTCATTAAGTCAGCCATTAACTCCTCTGTATACAAAGTATTGCAGAGTTAAATGTTAGGCCAAATTTGGTCACACAACAGGACAATAATCCCAAGCGCAGCAGCAAATCTACAACAAAATGGCTGAAAAAGAAAAGAATCAAGGTGAAATTCTGTGGAGGGACCCTAAGATAGCTGTGCATAAACAAATGCCAGCATAGCTCCATGAACTGAAGCAACGTTTTTAAGAACAGTGGGCCAAAATTCCCCAACAACGATGAGAGAGACTGATAGTGATACAGAAAATGATAACTTAAAGTTATTGCTGCTATAGGTAATTCTACAAGCTATTGAATCCTCATTGAATGGCATCTCCATTTTGGCTTTATTTTTGTTAAATATTTCTGAGGTTGTATTTACCTAGTTTTTAGACTTGATAAGGAACAGATCATTATGTCCAGATATCTAAAATCATAGCATTCAAAGGGTATTCTTCTTTGTTTCCAATGACTGTAAAAGAGGATAGAGTTATATAATCTTTCTTGGTGTTTTGGAAGAAAGAAACACTTCAATGGAAATGTCTTAATTTTTTTTAAAACCGTTTAGTAGACCCAAAGAAAACATACATGCGTTTATTTTTGCATATTTTCTTTGGGGGTACTTGCAAAACCTTCAGATGTGTTGTCTGCTGCTTTTGCAAGCTCTTTCCCTTTTCCACTGTACAGACTTCCAATCAGTACTGGGAAATACTCCAATCAGAGGTTTCTCACTGGGAAACCTCTGTGCATCCCTTAGCTCTGTGGAGTAAATGGATGCAGAAAAAAATCCTCAGTCTATTATTTTCTATTGAAATTGGCACTTTTATAAACTATCACAAATGTAGCACTCCAGACACATCAAGTTCTACAGCAAGATGAAGTGCTTTATGTGTAAGAAGACTAACTTGAACAAATTCCAATTATAAAAACCTAAAACTCTTTAAAGAAGTACACTACTCCTTTTTGCAGATATGTGTGTGGAAAAAAAAAAAAAAGTGCAAAACCTCTTATAGTCAAATAGTGCTCAGGTAAGGCTTATATATATATTTATTTATTTTATTTTTTTCCCCAGAGATTCATTGTGGGGAACTTGCATATCTTTACTATCTATGCTTCCTAATGTCCTGAAGCTGATGTTGCAAAGTCTCCAAGTTAGCAGGGCCTGTCAGGAGGAACTGCCTATTATTGCTCAATTACTTCGTCTCCTTTTGCAAAACACGCAGCTTAGAAGTCACATGATGACCAATGCTTTTCTTGTCCAGCAAACTCTCCAAGATGTTATGGTATGTAAAAATGTTTTTCCCTTTCTTTATTATCATAGTAAGTGTATACTTTTATTTGTCACATAACAGAAATAGAACATTAATCATTCAATAATAAGAGTTATGTGGAACTTTATAACAACATTTAGAGCAGGGCTTCCCAAACTTTTATGGTCCAAGACCCACTTTCTTTTAATGCATATTTTAAAAAATTAACACCAAGGCAATCGGCTTTAGAGGCATACAATTGGCACACCATGTCAATCCGCTTTAGAGGCATATAATTGGCACATCATGGCAATCATTTTTAGAGCCATACAATTGGCACACTATGGCAATCAGTTTTATAAGAATAAAAGTGGCACACCATGGCAATCAGATTTAAAAGCATACAATTGGCACACCATGGCAATCTGTTTTAGAGACATACAATTGGAACATCATGGCAACTTTAGATGCAGAAAGTTGGCACACCATGGCAATCCGCTTGAGATGCATAAAATTAGCACACCACGGCAATCAGTTTTAGATGCATACACTTGGCACATCATGGCAACTTTAGTTTCATAAAATTTGCACACCATGGCAAGCAGTTATAGAGGCATACAGCTGGAACATCATGGCAGCTTTAGATGCATAAACTTGGCACACAATGGCAATCACTTGTAGATGCATAAACATGGCACATTGTGGCAACTTTAGATGCATAAGATTGGCACACCATGGCAATCTGCTTTAAAGGGCATAAACTAGGCATATCATGGCACTCTGTTTTAGATTCATATAACTGGCAAACCGTGGCAATCGGCTTTAGATGCATAAGATTGGCAAATCATGGCCGTTTTAGAGGTAGAAACTTGGCATATCATGCCAATCGGTTTTAGAGGCATACAGTTTTTTTAGTTCCCCCCACTCCAACCCCAGACTTTATATTTCAGACTGGGCCCCTAAAAACAGCATTGATTAACTACACCCAGTACTCACACGCAACGAGGCCCTGCAGAATCTTCTAAGCAGAGGTATCCTCTCTGGAAAGCTGCCCACCCTAACCCATGTCCATTACTATACTTATAGATAGTGCAGATCAGTTGGTTTTGAAAACACCCCGATCAAGTCACTAAACCTCTCCTCATGTGAAATCATTCTGTTTACAAACTGCACCCTTAACCATTGTTTAATCACTCATCGGTGTGTGTGTGTGTGTGTGTGTATACAGTTGCAAGAAAAAGTATGTGAACCCTTTGGAATGATATGGATTTCTGCACAAATTGGTCATAAAATGTGATCTGATCATCATCATCTAAGTCACAACAATAGACAATCACAGTCTGCTTAAACTAATAACACACAAAGAATTAAATGTTGCCATGTTTTTATTGAGCACACCATGTAAACCTTCACAGTGCAGGTGGAAAAAGTATGTGAACCCTGGGAGAGTATGTGAACTCCATGGGAGAGCTGGAGTGTATTCCTTACCTGTCCAGTGTGGCTGCTGGTTGTGCAGGCAGGGGGCGCACAGGCTGAGTAGGCGGGTCAAATCTGACGAAAATCGTGAGGGTGCGAGGCCCCTCTCATCTGCCTAGGGAGAGAGCCAGCACAGTCTGCAGCTCACACCCGGCGGACTGGATAGAAAGACCACCAGACCACCAGGGAAACAAAGATATTATTAACCCCCTCTCTGTCACTCCCTCCCTCAGTAACTGTTATCTGTCACTCCCTCACTCTGTCACCCCCTCACTCTGTCACCCCCTCACTCTGTCACCCTCTGTCACTCGGTCACCCCCTCCCTTTTCTTGGGGAAAAAAAGTAGTTTTCGTTTTCTGTTCCGACCTTGGATTTTCATTTCGGTGCATCCCTAAATAAAAACAAATCACAATTAACCCTTCTCAGAAAAACAGACTGAATTTGAAACATATAGCTTTGTTCTTATGCTTGTGCATTAACCCCTTAAGGATGGAGGCGATTCTGAACCATAATGAAACCTTTAGCTCTTGGTTTGTTCAACTATAATTTAACCCTTTCCCGCCGGTTAACGGACCAGTTCCGTCATGCGGTAAAGTTAACCCCAGATCGCGGCGATCGCTGGGTTAATGCTCCTCCGGTCTGCCTCTGTATTAGAGGCAGACTGGGAGCACCGGATCACGCTGTCCCTGAAGCAATGATCGCTCTGACAGGCTGTCAGTGCAAGCACATGTGCTGCAGGGACTCATGATCCACTTCCCTGCTCTTCCGTGTTCTGTGTGAAGTGCAGGGAGACTGATCACTGCTGATCTGCTTCCCCTGTAAAAAAAAAAAAAAAAAATAGTTTAAAATCCCACCCCCCTTTACCCATTTTACATAAAAAAATAACCCCTTCCCTGCCAATTGATCACTGACTTCAGTGATCAATTGGCAGGGGCTACATTTTACTGTGATCTGTTTTTTTTTGTTTTAACCCCTGAGGGTCAAATTGTATTTTTGTAACCCTCGGGGGTTAATTTTATTAATTAATTTAAATCTTAAAATGATATATTTAGCTAGCTGGGGTAGGTGGAAGTTAGTGGGGAGTTGGGGAATTTGGTGTTAGGCTAGCTAGGGGTTAATGTTAATGTTAAAAAAACTTTACCCAGTCCTAATAAAAACTAACCCCTTCCCTGACAATTGATCATTACCTACAATGATCAAAATACAGATCACAGTATTATACTGTTATCCGATTTATTTATTTTTTAAATCCCTTAGGGTTAATTTTTATTTATTTTATTTATTCATTAATTTAAATATTTTAAAATTATATATTTTGCTAGCTGGGGTGGGTGGGAGTTAGTGGAAATTGGGTAATTTACGGTTAGTGCTGCTTACTGCCAGTTAGGGGTTAACAGTAAAAACAAAAATTTATAGAAATATTAAATCTGTAAAAAAAAACATAGTTTAAAAACAAGTTTTAAAAAGTAAAAAAAAGTTTAAAATACATTTAAAAATGCTCATTACCACTACACCTGGAACAAACTAGAGAAAAATCATATCCCAAAAATTATCCCAGGTTCAAAATATGCCTTTTGAATTACCCCAGGGTGTATTCTTTAATAAATAGTATTTGTTTGTGGGGAAGTTTGAATAACCAACCAGCTAAACCACTCTAAAATGGAACATAGATACAACAAAAAGGCAGAAAAAAAAGCTTATTACCACTACACTTGGTACAAGCTAAGATTCAAAATATGCATTTTGACATACCCTGGGATGTCTTTTTTAAGAAATGGTATGCCTTTATGGTGTAGTTGTAATATGTAGCCATGCTCAAGTGCTCCAAAGTGGCACACGGATGCATCAAAACCCTCCATGAAAATTCACATTTAAAAACCTGAACTTGTCATGTCTCTTACAGCACTGTAACTTCACAAAAGTGTCTAGGTCATACATTGGGCATATTGTTTTACTCAGAAGATGTAACTGAGCATAATTTGGGGATTTATCTGACAGTGTTACATATTAAGTGTAAGAAATACTCGGCAAAAATGCCATTCCCCCCCCCCCCCTCACCACAAACATTGACATAAATTGGTGAAAAAATGGTGACATGTATACACCATATAAGATACCCTGGGGTGTCTGCTTTATCAGACGAAAGCCCTTTATGTGGTTATTTGAACAGTCACACTGCTATAATACCCTAAAATGAGACCAATGCCTGTCAAATGCACGGAAATTCTAACTATAGAAATTGAAATAGCCTTGTCTCTTATTTGGCATTGTAGCCACAGAAAAGTGCCAAAGGCATACAATGTGGGGGTATTCTATTCAGCAGTTGTAGCTGAACAAAATATGGGGTTCTGTGCAGGAAGAGCACACACCAGCTTTACAAAATGCTCATTACAAAAACCTTTATATGCCAAAATAAAGAAAAAACACACTTTTACTCCAATATTTAGCAGATATTGGCGATGAAATGGCTACTTTTAAAAGTATCAAACTAACCTTAGGTAAATAGCCTGTGATGTGTGTGTGTGTGTGTGTGTGTGTATATATGTATGTGTGTATATATATATATATATATATATATATATATATATATGTGTATGTATATATGTATATATGTATGTATATATGTATGTATATATGTATGTATGTATATATGTATATGTATGTATATATGTATATGTATGTATATATGTATATGTATGTATATATGTATATGTATGTATGTATATGTATGTATGTATGTATATGTATGTGTGTATATGTATATGTATGTGTGTATATGTGTGTATATGTATATGTATGTGTGTATATGTGTGTATATGTATATATATATATATATATTATCAAATTATTTTTTTTCCTGTGATGGCTACTAAACCTACACGACAAACATACCCGCTTCTAAAATTGTTGCATATTGAAATTTTATTTTAGTCCTTTTGTGACCAGTAACTTTCAAAATAAGCTGAAATCCTATACACATGATGTACTCTATAAATCAAGACACATAAATGAATTTATTTGAATTACTTTTTCTAAGCTGGACATATTATACACACGTATTATTGCCATATGTGACATCAACTTAAAACCCTGTTTGCCCTCTAAAAAAAACCAATATATAATGTGTTGGTGCAATAAATGAGAGATACAAATTGCGTTTGAACACAAACAGAAAAGAATGCAAAAATGGCTTCTGAAGCTGTGTCCTAAAGGGGTTAAGGATTTCTCTTCAAGTGCCCCTATACATATTTTATATTGGTTTTTATAAGGGACATGAAGCAAATTTTTTTTTTTTACTATTCTATATGTATACCTAATACAACATCAGGTGTGAATAAAATATTGAAGAGAAAAAAACAAAATTTGATCACATTTTTGCTTATACTTTTTACACATCCAATTCAACTAAATAAAATGAATTCAAAATAGATTCATATTTCAGCCCTAATATGTCTAGGATCTAAATACATTTTTGATAGTTAACGTTAACTGACCACTATAGGCACCCAGACCACTTCAGCTCAATAAAGTGGTCTGGGTGCCAGGTCCCTCTAGTTTTAACCATGCAGCTTAAAACACAGCAGTTTCAGAAACTATGTTTCACTGAGGGTTAATCCAGCCTCTAGTGGCTGTCTCACTGACAGCCGCTAGAGGCACTTCCACGATTCTCCCTGTGAAAATCACAGTGAGAAGACGCTAGATGTTCATAGGAAAGCATTGAGTAATGCTTTCATATGGGCTGTTTGAATGCACGTGCGGTTCTTGCTGTGCATGCGCATTCGGATCTGATGTCGCCAGGGGGTGGAGAGTTCCCCAGCACAGAGGGAGCTCGGCGCTGGAGAAAGGTAAGTGGCTGAATGGGTTTTAACCCCTTCAGCCAAGCGGGAGGGGGGCCCTGAGGGTTGGGGTGACCTAATGACTTCCACTGCACTGACAGAGTAAAACTTGCTCTCATGTGATGCCAAAGCTCCATAGTAAAGCATATGGAAAAGTGTGAATGTGTGTGCGACTATTAGATACCAATGTTTCTCTATGAGAAGCATTGGATTGGACTGTACCAGAGTAGGCCATGAGAGGTAAGCCGCACAGAGTGAGTCTCTGCTCTTGGAAAAGGCAAGTAAATCCCTATTTTATTAACCTTGATTTACACCCAGGGAGAGCGGGAGACCGACCTACAGGTTGGGACAGGGGCACTATAGCGTTGGGTATCCTGAATTGTATTCCTAATGCAATAGTGTTTCTTAAATAATATGTGTTGGGTGCAATAAAGGAGGAATATGGAAATTGTGGTTAAAGACACACACAGCAAAAATTGCCTTAATTGCTTTGGTCCTTAAGAACAAAACAAGCAAACTGAAACTTGGTCATTAAGGGGTTAAATGGTCGCTCGAACCAATGTAGTGGTTCTGGTACAAACTCTGCCTTTATTTGGTCCACCTCTTGCTGTTTGAGTGAAGTCCTTCTTGGAGTGGTCCTGCAGTATTTGCAAGACTGATGCTTGACACCGAACACTCCCCACATAGATGTATTGAGCCAATAACTAACAAATTCATGGAGATGAAATGGATATAGTGCCTACAGTGCCCTTTTAATGAATATGGATTTTGCACATGTTCAGTCATATACACATATCAAGCAAGCAGAAACCTTTGCACTGTAAGTTTGATCTGTCTGCATAGGTTTAATGTTTAGAAATGTGTACTTTTTTTTTTTCTTTTTTTTTTTTAATTATCTTTTTAATTTTAGAATCTGAAAAGTTGTGAAATTCAAGAACAATGGCTTACAGACCTACAGTATTGCTACAATGTTTACCTTTCAAAAAATCCTCATGAATCGTCTGCCCTTGGAATTGTATACTGAAAATGGACCTTGGTGAAAGAACTAGCTAATAAATAGATTGTGTTAGCATAATGTAAAACAAGTAAATGGGTTATTTGCGTGTAATAGCATTTTATTTACTAAATCTAAGAAATGTTTGTGCTCTCTGTTTACGTAATCTGCAAGACCACTATATAATAGAGACTATAAGCAGTGCTTTGGTATTACATGTGTAAATCTGAACCTAAAAAAAGCCTATTCTTAAATGTTTTTAAGTTGAAATGTTATTATATTATTGGTGGACTTAACATAATGCATTTGACTGCTCTTGACAGGCTACAGCTATGCTACCCAGTCCACTGTACAGCCATTTTTATTTTATAGCTTTGAATTAGTTGTGATGTTGAGGTTTATTTTCTAAATGTTTATGATTTTCAATAGCAACATTTAGGTCCATCAGTATATTGCATAGGACAGTACTGCAATTTATCACAGAAGATGTACTTGTGTCCTTTAAAACCTTAATTTCTGAGAAGAATTTTCAGAAGCCTTATATTTTACTTCACTGGGTATACTAATCCCTTAAAGACCAGGGATCAGACAAGTCCCTTTTTATCACGTGAAACATAAAACCGGCCTTAAGGGGTGAACACAGCTGTTTTTATGTTTTACTGAGTAATTGAAAATACATGTTTTTCCTAAATCGTATTGATTCAACATTGATGTTCATATTGTCAGCTTTTAAAGCGGTACCTTCTTTTTTGTAAATATTACTCGAAAAATTATGCACCTGATTTGTGTAGTGTTTCCTTCTATTAAGATTTTGATTGCATGCACATGTATAGATAATATGAATTGGCTTCATATTTGCATACACCCTTATTTTGTCATGCTTCTTAATGTATATCAGAAAATTACTACTGCATTTGTGGCCTAGAAAACATTACACATTTATGTTGTGCATAACCTTTATTGATTGATTTTTACAAATCTGAAAAAAAATAATTGCTTGGTGATTTACAGGATTATTTACTAAAGTAAAGTTTAAATTTAAGGTCAAAATGGCTTGGAAAAATTCATGTAGTTCAGCAACTCTGGCCTTAGATTTGAAATTCACCTTAACTTTGAATTCTCACTTTAGTTAAACAACTCTGTTAGAATTACTTTTGTGAATGTCAGTTTGGTTTTTATTTATAGTTTTAGAATGTGTGTGTTAAATCTGTTCAAGGCATGTTCTCCAACTTTGATAAAGTATTTAGATCACATGTATTTCAACTTGGAATGATTACAAATTTTGATCCTTTGCCAAATATGTGTTACTTTTTCTAAATGCAAATATTAAATTACACAAAACAGATTCAAGAAGTAAATAATTTTTGTTTTTGGTAGAGTGTTTTAAATTGCTTCTTTATTTCGATCTTCTTTGGATATATATATATATATATATATATATATATATATATTTTCCTTTTTACACCTCTTCACCATGATCTATACAGCAAAACTGCTTCATTAAGCTAAAGTTGTTTTGGTGACTGTAGAATATTGAAGAAATACTATATATAAAAGACTTATTCAACTAAATAAACACAGACCAGTTATTACAGTGACTATAATGTCCCTGTAATGTGGCCTCTATGAAGTAAAATGTACTTACTTTCCAGAGTAATACAGAATGTATAGAACCAAAACAGGAAACACCTGAAGTGTACTAAGGCACTTCAGGAGGGGAAGGGAGTGAATATAAAAGCAACTTTTATAGTAGAACATGAGTTACAGATAACTTAAACCACAAAAATTAGCTAAGTACAATACTACCCATAAACATTATGTACAGGGTAGCCACAGGCTGCCAAACAAGGAAGGGTAAATTAGGATCAGAGAGATCAGTGGTACCTGGGGAATACATATTGTTGTATGACTTCTGTTTTTTTTTTTTTTTTCATTAAGTGTATTTTAATACACTTAGAGTAAAATTACACACGTGTATATATAATTATGTATTCTAAAAATTGAATATTAAAAATAAACTGTAAAAATATTTTTTAAATTATATATGTAATTTTATTCTAACTGTATTTTGATATTTAAACATATTATTTATATATATATATATATATATATATATATATATATATATATATATATATATATCTCAAAATACACTTAGAGATAAATATATAATTTCATTCTATGTATATCTCCTTAACGACTGTGGACGTACAGAGTGCGTAAGACAAAAAACGGTTGTTAAGGACCGCAGACGTACCTAGTATGTTCGCGGCAAATAGGAGCCCTTGACTTACCTGCACCAGCGACCTAGGTCGGGGGGGAGCCTGGCCCTCACGGGCCATGTGGTCACCGTGATCACATCGCCGCAACAGGAGCTGCCAGCAGGGGGACTGTCTGAGCTGTTGAGATATATACACATATATCTCAAAATACACTTATAATCAAATCATATATATATAATTATAAAATGATGTGATTATAATATATATAGGAAATGAAAGTGTGTGTGTGTGTGTGTATATATATATATATATATATATATATATATATATATTGCAGGGAAAACACATTTATAAAAAAAATGAATAAAACACTAACTTTGGCCAGCGTTTGTTACTAAGTGGCTACTACAAAAGACTGGACATACCCCTTTTTGAATACCCTGGGTTGTCTACATTTGAAAATGGTATGCCATGATGGGGTTATTTCACATTCCTGGGCTAACATATGGTCTCAAAAGGCAACACAGACCCAGCAAACTGATTTGGGCAAGCCCTATATTGACCCTGTAACTTTCAAAAACACCATAAAACCTGTACATTGGGGGTATTGTTAGACTATGGAGACTTCGCTGGATACAAATGAGTGTTATAAATCAGTAAAACTTATCACGACAATGAAATCACCAGTAAAAGTGCAGTTTGTGTGTTAAAAAAAAAATGCTAACTTTGGCCAGCGTTTGTGACTAAGTGGCTACTACAAAAGACTGGACATATACCCCATTTTGGATACCGTGGGTTGTCTACTTTTACAAATGGTATGCCATGATGGGGTGGCTACTACAAAAGACTGGACATATACCCCATTTTGGATACCGTGGGTTGTCTACTTTTACAAATGGTATGCCATGATGGGGTTAATTTTCATTCCTGGGCTCATAGGCCCAGCAAACCAATCTGGCAAATTTCAATGTGCAAACATAGAAAAGGGCAAATCCCTATATTTGACCCTTGTAAGTTTGTAAAACCTGTACATTGGGGTAACTGTTGTACTTGGTAGATGTTGCTGAACATATTTTGGGGTGTTCATTGGCAGTAACACATAACAGGAACTCAGAATCCATGCCGAAAGTACGTGAGAGAAAAATAACACAAAAAAATTGTCCCAAATAGGACATGGGTGCATGATGACCAGTTGGAAAACTGGAATGCACACCCTCCAAATAAGGTCTTTTAACCCCCAGAGAACCCGACACACCTATACATAGGTGGTATCACTGTACTCAGGAGATGTTGCTGAACACATATTGGGGTGTTCTTTGGCAGTAACCCTTAAAGTTCTCCATACATGTATTCTTAAATTACTATGTGTCAAAAAAATCACCAGTAGTTTTTTGTTTTTAATTTGGCATAGATTGGTGGTAAAATGGTTGCATGAAAAAGAGTCAAAATACCCCAAGTTTAATACATTAGGTTGTCGTCTTTTAAAAAATATATACATGTGAAGGGTTATTCAGGGATTCCTGACAGATATCAGTGTTACAATATAACTTGCGTTTATTTTGAAAAAAGTGTTTTGGAAATAGCAAAGTGCTACTTGTACTTATTGACCTATAACTTATGAAAAAAAAAAAAGCTAAGAACATGTTAACATTGGGTATTTCTAAACTCAGGACAAAATTTAGAAACTAGCATGGGTGTTTTTTGGCAGTTGTAGATGGGTAACAGATTTTGGGGGTCAAAAAGTGTTTTAAATTTTTTCATTTTATAAAAACAAAATTTTTTAGTAAATTATATATGATGAAAATAATGGTATCAATTGAAAGACCATTTAATGGCAAGACAAACGGTATATAATATGTGTGGGCATAGTAAAATTACAGCTAAAGACAAACAACCCAGAAATATATAAAGAGCCCTGGTCCTTAACAGTAAGAAAATTGAAAAACGGGCTGGTCGCTAAGGGGTTAAATAGCTTATAGGATCATATTATGCTTATCTTTATTCCTCAGCAGCAAAGAAAAAAATATTCAAAGAAAACAAGCATGTACCCTCAAGTGTTAAACCGAACATGTCATCCAATGAGAGTGCTCCTTGCACAGTAATCCCCAATGTGGCCTTAAATCACTCCTCTTTCTTGATAATGCTGACTAACATCCGAAACATATAAAACACGATCAACAAGAAAGATGAAAAACAGCAACTCTGTAGACAACCTCTTATGGGACTCATCTGCCAGAAAGTGAATAACACTGGTTCAAACTGTGCCAAAACCAGTTGATGCTGAAAGGAATAGAAAAAAGAAAGTAGTAAAATGTGTTTATGTATATTTTAAAAAAACTTCCACAATGCAATAATTAAGCATAACAACATATCCGCATAGAAAAACAGAATACTACCATGACAGAATAGTTCAAAGAAGCAAATATACAAATAGTACCATGAAGACTGTAAAACAACATAATGAGAAATGGTAATGGTATTTATTAATTAATTAGTTTACATCATAAAGAAAGCATAGTGAGTTTAATGCTTTGGAGACACCACTATGGGCAGTGTGTAGGAAGACATGTGCTTCTGGCAGTGACATCACAGGCCAGTTTACTTAGGAATACACTGAATAAAAAAACAGATGTAAGAGGAACGCTGGCTCTCTTTGCCTTTACCTGACTGAACCTAAGATGTAGTACCAGCTCTGAATTAACCCCAGCCAAAGGGCTGGGGCCTGGTAAGTAATATGAATCCATTGTAACATTTAGCAACTGTTGTAGCCTTTTGTAATGAATGTTATAGTTTTGTATTGTAATATTATTGTAGTAAATTGACATTCTGCTAGCATCTGTTTGTTATTATATTAAATATACATTTAGTATTACGTTTTGTGTATTTTCTATCCACATATTCGACCATAATACACAAACTATAAAAATATTAATGTTACTTATTGCTTAATTATTATATATTAAAAGATTAATATTCATATTTAAGTCACGGCCAAAACAGAAACCCAGGAGGGAGGGAGCACATAAAAGTGCAGCAAGATCCAGTGCACGAACATCCAACACATGTTTACAGGAGATCAGGCATCACCAGCTTCGCACTGAGTTACTTAAGCAAAAGATCCTAACTTCCTGGCTAATAATGGCAGCATCACTTATGGGTAGCTCCTCCCTTAGTAGTCACAGGACAGGAATTAATTAGATTAATTAATCAGACTGATAGGTATAAGGAGTCCCTCCTCCCCTTACACCTCAGTCTTTTTTCCTGTCCTTAGCAAGTTCTACAGGACTTTTTACATTTTGTTTTAATGGCTCACCTTCCTGCGTTTGTCGTGGGTTCGTTCCAAATGAAGTTCAGCCTCTCTTCATTTGAAGGACCCAGTAAACAGCCTACATGAGCAGGACTAACTGGGTCAGGTTCAGTGTAAGTACTGAACTGCAGCGTGGGAAGTAAGGGAGACACTATTTTCTGTTTTAATGTGGGGTTGGTTAAGCCTTAAAAATTCCCCCTGTTTTCAGCCTGCCCCTACTAATGGGGGTTATATACCCCCCCATACCTTGTTGGCAGTATTGGAGTCCATACTTAGGAGTCTTGTCCTTTGGGATCTGTTCTCTTGCCTCTTTGTTGGTGCCTTCCCTGCTCCCTAGCTCTGTTCCAGCCTCTGATGGGATGTGTGGGGCTGTGCAGGCTTCCCTGCTCCCTGGGGCTCCCTGTGCGCCCGGGCATTGGGGGCTGGAACGCATTTGCGTTCCAGCCGACTGTTTGTTACTTGCGGCCGGTTCCGGCGAAACCGGAAGTGATTTGCCAGTCGCGAGTGTTTGGAATGCATAGTGTGCGTTCCAGCGCTCTGCGCATGCGCGAACCTGGCGATCAGCTGTTCGCTGCCCGGACCTATTTAAAACGTTTGTATCTGCTGCCTGGTCGCTGTATTTGTTGGCCGTATGTTGGTTTTTCCCCTGGGAAAGCATTGGTGTCCAGTTTGTGCCCAGCTACTCCTATCTGCTACCTGGCTGCATAGTGGATGCTCTACTCTTTAAGGTAGGATTGCTGGTTTTACTACTTATTGAAAGTATTGCTTGTCAGCTTGCCTCTTTGTCCCTTTGGGGAATTTGGTCTTGAATTTTCCTTTGGTTCTTCTTTTTAGTATGGATTCTCCCTCTGCCTCTGCAAGATCCCTCTCTAGAAAACATAGGTGAGCCATTTATTATTGTGTTGGGGGGGGGGGTTGTTAAAAGAGTGCCATACTGAGCCTGTAATATATGTCATATATGGCTTTATTCCAGCCCCAGCGTTCATTTGGATTCTCCAGCGAGAAAATCACGGGAAAAGTCAAATAAATGCATTAATTGTTGTTCGCCTGCTCCAAATGGAAGGAACCTTTGCAGGGAATGCTTGTTGGAAGTCGCTGATGCCCCCAGTAGGAGCTCTCCACAAGACGACCTTAAGCTCTGGATTTCTCAGGCTATTGCTGAGGGCTTTAAGGCTACCACGGGATCTAGTGGTCCAAGTAAGAGACCTCAGTCTTCCAGCTCTGATGAGGACCCAGATGTCTGGGAGGTATCAGATGAAGGTGAGGAGGAAGCTGAATGTGCCTCAAGGTCTCTTGACTCCAGGTCTGTTGATAGACTTATTACCCTTCTCAGAGACACGCTTAGTCTCACAGAAGAAAGATCTGAATTGAAGGAGGCTGACAGGTTTTTTGAGGACCTAAAACCGAACAGACCTACTTTCCCGGTGCATGCGTCAATCAGGGATATGATCCTTCAGGAATGGAATAAGCCTGAAAAGAAGTCCACCTTAAAAAATAAGTTTGCGAGGGTTTATCCGTACTGTACAGTGGATTGCTGCCTGTGGAACTCAGTTCCTAAAATTGACGCTGCAGTGATCCATATGGCTAAGAAAACTACACTGCCTATTGACTCCATGGCATATCTCAGGGAGCCTATGGAGAAGCGTATGGATGGAGACCTGATTAAAGCCTACTTGGCCCTAGGGTCCGCCCTTCATCAGGCAGTGGCACTGACGACTCTTTCCAGAGCCTTGAAAGTGTGGCTCGCTAATCTGAAGGACGACATTGATCAGGGTGTCCGTAGGGAACATCTGTTGGAAAGCCTCAAGGACTTCAGTCTGGCCACGGAATTCTGTTCAGAGGCCTCCCTGGACATCACTCGCATTATTGCCAAAAGCATGGCACTGTCTGTGGCTTCTAGAAGGGCCTTGTGGCTTCATTCGTGGGGTGCTGACTATGCTTCTAAGGCTTCCCTGTGTGCACTTCCGTTCCAAGGGGATCTCCTTTTTGGGAAAATTCTTGAGGATGCTATTCAAAAAGCTGCTGATGGGGAAAAAGGCGTTTTTACCTCAAGCTGGCAGGAAGAGTTTTCCCTCCTCCTGGAAGACCAAGCGCTTCAAGGATCGGTCCTTTCGGGACAGCAGGAGCTATAAACCAGGAAGGGAGTTTTCCAGGAATTCTTCAGGGAAATCCTATTCACACTCATCTTCCAATAAGGCTTCCAGAGGAAGGGGTGCTAGAACCCCAGGGAAGAACTTCTGAAGGTCCCCAGGCCCATTCGGGGATGGTGGGAGGAAGACTGAAGTTCTTCTACCCCATATGGGCCAGCAATATGTCAGACCTATGGGTCACTTCCATCGTAAAAGAAGGTTACAGAATAGAATTCTCATCTCACCCGAAAACTGCATTCTTCAGAAAATCAAAGGTACCGGTAGGCATCAAACGAAGGGCCATGAGGTCCTGCATTTCTGTACTCCTGGAACAAAAAGTGGTGGAAGAAGTTCCAAAACGGGAATGGTTCCAGGGAATTTACTCCACGGTCTTCTTGGCCCCAAAACCACAGAGAAAATGGCGTCTCATCTTGAATTTGAAAGGCGTGAACTCCTTGCTCGACGTAAGGACGTTCAAAATGGAATCCTTGAGGTCCATCTTGAAGTGTGTCAAAAAAGGAGACTGGATGACCTCAATAGACTTAAGGGACGCCTACTATCATATCCCGATACATCAAGATCATGTGCGTTTTCTCAGGTTTTGGGTGCTAGGAAGGCACTTCCAGTTCCGGGGACTACCCTTTGGCCTCAGCCTGACTCCAAGAACGTTCTCAAAAGTTCTGGTCACCTTGATAGCCTTTATAAGGGAAAAGGGTATCGAGATATTCCATTACTTGGACGACATTCTTATCTTGGGCCCATCTCAAGGAATTGTTGCTCAACATACGTCAGTGGCAATGGCCATTCTTCAAGATCATGGTTGGCTCCTGAACGTGGAAAAGAGCTCCCTCGTTCCTGCACAAACGATCATTTTCCTGGGTGCGGTAGTGAATACCGTGTCTGCACATTCCTGTTCCTGTCTCCAGAAAGGGTCAAGAAGATCAGGGACAAAGTAAGGAAGCTACAAGATCTCGAAACTGCACCTGCAAGAGAAGTCATGAGCCTCCTGGGTTCCTTGACATCAACAATAGGCTTGGTGAAGTGGGCCCAGTGGAAGTTCCGTCCGGCCCAGAACTGCTTCCTTCTCCAGTTCAACAGGGTGGAAGCGGATTGGGAACAGATGATATCTCTTCCCCTTCCCGTAAGGAAAGCCTTAAACTGGTGGAAGAGCGAGAGGAATTTGACAACAGGTTATTACAACAGATGCCAGTTCTTTTGGTTGGGGTGCCCACTTCAGTTCTGTATGGACTCAAGGGAAATGGACCCGAGAAGAGTCGCCTACACTCAAACTTAAGGGAACTGAGGGCGGTTTACAAGGCCATTTTGAGATTCCTACCAAGGCTAAGGAATTCTTGGGTTCTAATCAAAACAGACAACCGAGCGGTGGCCTCGTATGTGAACAACCAAGGTGGCACGAGGAACAGGT